ATACTACGAAACATTAAGGGGAACATTTATAAGTGTATTTATAAAGCAAACACACCTTTGTAATGAAAAGAAAGCAACTGAAAAGCAATAATCGAGTTAAATGAATTGGATAGATTCGAGCACCACAGTCAATACCTATATTTTATAAATCCCCTAGCCAATTGATGAGAAACAAATACTCCGTTCTACGTACGAAAGCACTTAGAGATTCTAAGAAAATTCAAGTCAAAAGACGTGTACAATTAAGAATAATTTATTTCAGCATTGCATTTTAAATTTTAAATACCTGTTTCAAAACCCGGTGTAATTTTTCTAAGTTGGTACAGCGTACAAATAAAAAAGGAACAACGGCAAGAAGAAGCGCGATTCATCTCTTGATTTCTTTTAAATATTTGTTTGGCAACAATAAGGCTAATCGTACTTTCTGAAATAGTCCCAAATGAATACAAATAAGAATAAGCGTTCTCCGTGAAGTTTTTCACGGTAAACTCAATTAGGGTGAAAAGTGAGTTAAAAGAAAATTAAAAAGTAGATTTACAAAAAGTTTGTGTTCTCGCAAACGCATTATTAAGAACGATTTATAAAGATAAATCGCAGAGGTTCTCAAAATGTTGCTGAAATTTTGTAGGTAAATATGAGAAATCGTGGGCAAATACCCGTGTGCAAAATATTATCTACATTTTTGTTGGCAATTCTTAAAGCTTAATAGTTTTAAAATTAGAATTAGAAATCCAGATCTCAACCCTGTGGATCTATTTCTTTGAACTCAACCTAATTTAAAAGCGTTCGTAACTGGTTTATTTCTTTCAATGTTTTGCAATGTGCAAAAGTATCAACATTAGCATAGCTTTAATTTTACCAAGAAGAATATTTCAAATATCTATACTATAATTTATTCAAAATCCAATAATTTTAAAGTTTATTTCAAAATATCATGAAAGCTTAGTCCATATTTCAACTTTATCACCGATTTTTTTTACCTCTCTCAAATAAAATAACCAATATCTTTTGTTGTTTAAAAACATTGAATATGGAACTAGTGGAAGGTCATAGTTTTCATATTAAAGTATGCATAAAATGTAAGAGAGTATAGAGTATGCAATAGAAAACTGACAGAACATATCATTTGTATTTTCTTCTTGTAAAGAGAATTAAGTCTGGAACTTTTATATAATTTAGGAAATAAAGTCCTAGTATTTTATTATTAAGACAGTTTAAATTAACAGCCGCCAATGATAACATTGCTTATTCAAGGTCACTTACGTTCACTAACAAAGACCAACGGGATCACCAACTGCTTCACGTCATGTAGGTAGGTATGTGTGATTAGTCAATATGCCTGGAGCTAGGGCGACACGTTAAAAACAACCATTAGGAGCATACCATTTTATGATCCTAATGGTTGCCAATTGTCTTCGTCAGAAATGCCGTTAGAAAGCTAAATGTGCTTTGTAAGATTTTTTTCTAGGTGTTTTATACTTATAACTAGTTTCGAGATATTAACAGTTGAAAATCACTTTCCTGAAATTCTTGGTCTTGGTATACAAAAAAAAGTCATATTCAGACCATATCAATATGTGGAAATTATACATGATAAACTTAAATTGTCTGTCTATATACAGAGTGTCCGGAAACTATACCGACAAACAAAGGTAGCAATTTCATATCGATTTAACATAAATCGTCTTATCCAAAAATGCTTCCTTTGGTAGGTAGAGCTTTTTGAGGACGGTCCTTTGACTTTTTTATTGTTCAGATCGCTATTTATCTAGAAGGATCAAGCTTAGGTTATACTCTTATACGAGGTGTTTATTAAACACACGGCAGAAATTCCCCGGACTATTCTAAGAATCTTTTATCCTCTGATGATTTTTGAAAAGCTGCTTTGTCCCGAAGATACAAGACGAGAAAAATTTTTGACAATAACATTTTATTAGGTATCAAAAATTAGGTAGGTACATATAAAGCTTCTTAATCTACATGAACTGTTGAAAATTACTACCTCCAGCTAGGAAGTAAGAAGCCAAACTTTTCCTAATTGACTACCGAACTCTTTCAAACACACCAGTGTCGCTTTATCCGATTTCTTAAACCTTCCACATTTTCCACTGGAGTAGTATAAACTAATGATGGCCCCATAGGAAATAAACCAGAGGGTTTAAGTCTGGGGATCGAGCAGGCCATAAGTAATGTCCACCTCGACCAATCCAGCGATCTCCGTATGTTACTGTTAAAAACTGACGAGCAACCACATTAAAATGTGCTGGCGCACCATCGTGAATAAACCACATTGCATTTCTTGTTGCCAATGGTACATCCTCCAGAAACTGAAGTAGCGTTTGTTACCTCGCCAGTAAGTCTTAGTAAATAGTTGAGGGATTTGAACCTATGTGTGCAAAAGCCATTGAGTTCAACAGCTAAAGACAGAAAATACACGTCAAACAGCCAAAAGTCAATCAGTCTCCACAAATTCGACACATACAAAATGATCAGTCACGAGACGTGTTCAAATGAAATCCACGTTCAAACTGGTTTCTTTTCAATGCCTGCACTTGCCTCCTTTTTTTCTTTCAAAAAAAATTTATACTCGGTAAACCCAGTGTAGTAGGCCATACTTTTATTTCGACTACTTACATTAATAATTTCAAAAATATCAAAATTGGTTTTGTCGAAAATTTTTCTTGCCTTGTATCTTCAGAATAAAGCGGCTTTTCAAAAATCATCAAAGGACAAAATATTCTTAGTCCAGGGAATATGTTTAATAAACACCCTGTACAGAGACAGCCTTTCGTAACTATAGGCGTTACATTTGGGAGGGTCATACTTTTTTATTTTCGACTTTTTGGCATTTTCAATATCAAAATCGAAAACTTCAGAGTATTCTAGATTAAAAATTCTTTGCTACTATTTAGTAGTTTGTTTTGCATTTTAACGTTGATATAATTAAATTTATGTAAAATAAGATAATTAAGGTAAGTGCTGCCACTTTTTTTAATGTCACAAATGCAACAAAAATCTCCAAACTAGTTCCTGTCGTATTTTAGACAATATAGTGGCTATCTTTAATACACATGATTGGCACAGTGTCCTGTGTGTCCTTAGCATTAACTACTGTTGACCGTTTTAGTACCGCTGGCGCACGTACAATTAGTTTAAAATTCAGCATTGAAAAAATATAAACGGCAATCCCGCCGCCGTCTTGAAACCGCTCCTCCTTCAATACCGTCTAATTTAAACTCTGCAATTCTCGCACACCCATTGAAATACAGCTTAAAAAATCTTTTATCGGCTAAGTTTTAAAAACTCTAAAAGTTGCCTGAATGAGGCGTAACTAGCGCCATGAATATTTATAGATTTAATTACATGATTTCATTTACCGGCTGAAAGGCCGTGAAAGCGGGATTCACGTTTATATCAATGTGGAAATTAGGAGGGACATTTTACGAAATTATGCACTTGTTCTGCACAAAAAGGGGCATTGTGTGTGTCCAAAATACACAGGAAGAACAAAATTCCGGTTTGAATTGTCGTGATTACTGCCGTAATTATAACATCAGCGATAAACGTAAAATGCTTAAAAACAGGTCATTTAACGACGACACAGACGTCCGATATTGCCAACTTAATTACGAATTGAGGGTTGGCGGAGCTGCAAGCTCATACAACTCTTGAAAGAACACTAAAGAGTTTATACCATGTGTGTCACAGCCACCAGCTAAGTAGCTTGCAAAATGATCACCACTGTGTTACATTTTTATAAAGGTGGTGAGATGTAGTAATACCACACCTACGAATAATCACTGCTATTCAATGCTTAGATGGTCAAACTGACAGAAAGCGACCTGCAGGTACTATGAAAACAGGACCTGTGCCATGCCATAAGTCGAAACTTTTCTTAATTGTTATCAAACAACTACTTTGCGGACTAATGCCCCGAGCAGCAATATCTAGTAAACAAGTAGTATCATTCGTTCTGCTGCAGAATCACCAAACATACCAATTTCGAACTTATTTATTCTCATCTCTATGCCACCGTGGAATAACCTACCAATGATTACCAACTATTTTTGGTGTTTAAAGTACAAAAAATGGGTAGTGCAGAGACCTCTCCCCATGCCTGTAAATAAAACACCACAAATAGTTGGATTATTCGTATTTCGTTCCACCTATAAGCATACTAATGAAAACAAAGGACAGTCTGTACGATATTTGTTGAGATATAATTTCAAGAAGGCCCCTGCGTCACTTTCTTGGAATTACCCGCATTCGACACCCGAGGTAAAAAGACATTGACGGAAAATTTCAAGACACGCCCCTGCTGCGGTAAATTTTTACAATAGTTCCGATAATTCTTTTGGAATTCTATCTCAACAAATATTATACTGAGGGTTAATTTCTGTGCGCAGCAAAATAAAACTCTCAACGGTAAAAATAAAAGTATTTTTATTGAAAACAAAGTTAGTGAAAAAGAAGTATTGTCGGGCCGAACGTTCGCTGAAGAGTCTTGGTATGGAGTCGCTCGCGTGTATATGTATCTGGTCCTGGCGCCAACCTGCCGTGGTACTTTCCTGGAATCCTGATGCGTTCCAGGAAAGGAAATATCACAGAGAGACTACTTTGAAGGAGATATGATAAAAATTGAAGATTGAATAAAAACTTCTATTATTCTTTGATCAAACCTCGTATATCCGTTTTTTGGCAGGATTCTCTCTGTAAGCAATTTGTTTGCAGTTTTCTTTTTAATTTTGATTCCTATGATGTCTGACAGTTGTAATGAAATACCTACCATTTTCAACCTCTAATTAAAAAATCCCTAACTTTATTAAACAAAAGGTCAGTAACTGTAGAAAATTTGTGATAATTTAACATTGTTAGCCAATAATTAGGACTAGGTTAGAAGCAGGTGTAATCCTAGTGTTTCTTATTTTTGCATATATAAAAGAAGTTATGAGGAATAAAATAATTATATATAAGTAATTATAAAAAATAACAACCTTTATTTATGTATAACATACCCAAAACAACAAAAAATAATTAAAAACTTTTAAGCCTTTTAAGCCAAAGTAGCCTTACTTCCTGCCCTAAATTCGTCAATGGTATTGCCTCTTTCAAATTTGGAATATCTGAAAAAATTCGATACACAAACAAATCAGCGATTTTACATTGCCTCTTCATCTTTAGAATGTTTTGATTATCAAGTATTTGACATATATGAATTATTCCGTTGATATTACTCACAAATTAATAGATGCAACACTTACATTCTTTCATATTTCAGCCTCTCTTGTTCAGGCAGAGACGGTCTTGTTTTACTTATTGCCTCTTTCAAATGTTTCTGAGTTACTTGCGACTTTGTAATAGCTAAGGACTCCTGAAACAAATATCAAAATGTACTTATACGTATAGGTGCGTTACAAGTATGAGCACAAACATGTGGTAATGAAATATAAAATAGGTACTGATTATTCAATTTTCTTTAAATGCAAAACATCATTAGATGCAATATTTAAGTTGTTATAAACAGAAATGCTTAAATTTTGTAACGATTTGAAATTTATTTTCAAAGGACCCCGAACGGTATTCATGAAATTGGCTGAAATTGTGATTAAGTTATTGGTTTTGTCTTATAGACTATCCGAAATCAGTTGAACATGTATAAAAACGCCTAACAATACAATTTAATGAGTTTCAAAGGTGTTCCTATAAAAGTTTTCTACTAAAGGTAAAAAATAGTAATTTACATATGTGTAGAAAATTTCTATTATATGTTCATTTGACCAACATACCAACATATTTTAATTATTTATGTCCTCAAACAATTTTACTGTATTGATGGTAAATTTTGGTTATGACATATCAAAAATCAATCAAAATTTTCTTTAAAATATATTACTGCACTGCACTGCTAGGCAATTTCTCAACAACTGAATTTATGGCCGGTCGCCCAGTGCGGCTATGTTTCTGCGCCGTTTGCCCGCATGTGCATTCTTCAACTGGGTGTACTTGGTTACGAAAATCAATTCTTTCCTATTTATAGCGGTCTTAGTCAGTTCTGCTGATGATGGCTGCAAAGTAGTATGAACAGGTAGAATATTGCAATAAAAACAGAAACTTTTGTGAAATTTATCAGAAAATCATACTACTTGGCAGCCATTAACAGCAGAACTATCTCAGACCATTACAAGTAGGAAAGAATCCATTTTCGAACCCAAGTACTGTGGAGACTTTTGGTTAGTAACACAAAACCACATAATTTCGGCCAATTTCACCGAGCCCACATTTTCATAAAGACTGTGCGGGGTACTTTCCAACTTCCATAAATTTCAAGGTACTGGAGAAAAACTGAAATTTTACATTTTCTTCTTTGTTTCATACCAGGATGAAGTTTTGTTTAGGTAATTCATTTATTTTGCATTATCAGAACACTTCCAATTCCAGATTGTATTTTATTTTTCAATTATACATTTTTTATTTTCTCAATCAGGTACACCTGCAAAAATCTTATATGGCTGCTATTAGCAAACAAAAAACAGCATGTACATTACTGAAAAACAAAAGACGATCTTACGAATGTTATGAATAGCATGAATGAAGTCTTCCTAATAACATGAGCTTTAAAATTAATCAAATGAATGTTGGTCGTAATGAAATAAATGTCTTTCATAAGCATTTTAAATTTTATGCGTCAAGTAAAACTTAAATTAGAAAGTTTAGAAACATCTAACATCGTAACTCTGTCCAAGCGGAAAAATTATATCCTGTAAAAATAACGAAATGTCTATAAAGTGTAATATATGTTTTTTCATTAATAATATTTGAAAAAATTATTTTTTATTTTAGACAATTTTTAATTACCAGCTTTCCTACGAAATTATTTCTTTAACGTACCTTCATATTTTTTCAAATAATAGTAAGTATAATACTTCATCTGAAAATTTTAGGAATTTTCTTAGATTTGGTTTGAGTTAGCAATACCTATGTATATGTATACAACTACCACTTAAAAAAGTATTAAAAAATATAAAAAATATCCTGTGTATAAAAATCAAAACTTCACATTACTTTTCGCCAAAAGCAATTTGAATTTTTTCAACCCCTAGCATCACAGCAATTTTCCTACCAATAACAAAGTGTAGGGGAGGGAACCCCCTTTCAATCTTCCAACCACCCGCAGCTCGTAGAAGTATAAGAAGTGTTTAAGATAACCTTATCTTCTTATTAGTCAGAGTTGTCGCTCCAAACTAAATCCAGTTAATGAAGACGCCTAATGACTGGGGTAATTATGATCGCTTAATGGTTGTCACGCCCGCCGCCACCTTATTCTAACTTGTGCTCCGTTAAAATTCGCCCATTCTGCCCTCTTTAATCAACGGAATCCCGCCAAGTGCGCCGCCTCATCGCAAACACACGTATTAATGGCGATATTAAGTTCGTTTGTTCATTATAGTGGAGCTCCGTTTTAATTTCTAAAGTTGCACCATCGGCGCGCGTGTCGACCAACGGAAACGGTCTAGATTTCAATATTCCCATGTGATTTAATGTACTGATAATTTCTTATAACTAGAAAATTGCAAAATTAAAAGAAAGCCCAAAGGATTTTGACATTTTTTGATATTCTAACCTAAAAATGCAAAAATCACGGTTTTTCGGTATATTCGGGGTCAGATTACAACGTGAATTATTTTTTTCCCTAAAATCGCGTTAAACCATCTCAAAGGACCACTGTTACTCTTCTAAGCGCACTTAGATTTTAAAAAAAAAATTTTTTTTCCATAGAGATATGATAGATTAAAGTTTAGTACTTCAGAGATTTCGTTACACCAGGGAAATTTATCCAAAAACGAAATATACGGTACTTTTATGTTTCTTGCGTCGCTGAATTTGAAAACACCGGCGGACCTGCTCCATAACTTCAATGTTTCAAGATTTTCTAACCTAAAATTGCGAAAACACTACTATATGTATACACGCTGTTATACTCGCATGCTAAGCTCATGACAGGTTCATCATAATGCGTTATAACCCACGACACGTTAACCTAAATGCGCAATAACCAGCGAGGGTTAAACCCACGACAGGTTAACCTTAAATACGGAATAACCTGCGAACGTTAAACCCACGTCAGGTAAACCTAAGTACGCTATAACCTGCGATACTAAACCCATGACAGGTAAACCTAAATGCGCAATAATCAGCGAGGGCTAAACAGCGCACTAAGGATTTGGTGAAACTGTTATGGTATAGTGTATATTTTAATAAATAAATAAATAAATGCATCTCTTGAGTTTTATTTCATAATCTGTTTAAACCTGCACTAATTCTTCTATTAATTTATCTTGTGTTGATATTTATTAAAAATGTTTCAAAATTATACTCGATAAGAGCCTTCCTTAATCGTGGACATTATCGGATTGTTCTCTTATAATTAGTAAGAGACCAATCCGATAATATCCATGTCTGTAAGAGACTCTTACAGATATTTTATAGCATTTTTTTTTATGTATTATCAAATAAACTGCAGAAACCACTATAATAAATAATTGCTGATCATAGATTACCACAGACTTTGAAAATTTCCAGTAATTTTGTATTAATAGTATCAAAGTTTTCTAATTAAAGAAAGTTTAGCGAAAAAGCAATTATTCAACACTAAATATTAAGAGAATTCTTAAAAATACCAGAATACTGAAAGTTATCTGTCATTATAGACAGTGTGATCAACGTCTGTTATAATTACAAGACGCCTTTCCTTGACTTGTTTTAGTTTTAGATATTAGTAAATAACCAAATATACTAATACTAATTTTCAAAATACTGATTGAGTCGGAACATATCATCCATCAATGTATCATTTGCTACAGTCCACATTAGCTTACCAAGTTTTTGATGAACGACAAAATGGTTTTCATTCATGTAGAAAAAGTGAAGACCTTCAGATGCATATGTCTAACGTTCTTCCTGCTGAAATTGCAGGAAAGACAAAAAGACTTCACTGTTTACAGCAAGTCTACTAATTAGGTAAATCTACAAAAACGGTATTACGAGTAGGTACGTTTCGTGGTGTACAAAATTTAAACAACTTCCAGCCAAAAAAGCTCGCTATCGGAATTTCTTAGAGATTACTGGAGCAATTGATAACACTTCTTATGACTCCATCCCAAAGGGGGCAATTTGGTGAGGGTGACTATGTTCCGAAGACTCTTCAAGGTGTAATTTTATTTGCGTTGTTGTGGTGCATCGTACTCGAGGATTTCTTAAAGGAACATCTCAACAAAATGAAACGGACTACCAATATAAGGTGCAGTTTATTGAAAATATACAACTACCTGGGTGGGCAGAATTTCTGTCATCTCAGGACTAAAGATTTCAGCGGAGCTAGTGCTTGTCTTCGTATGTAGCAAAGGCATGTTTTAAACACTACTACCAAAAGCACAACAAATTGCAAAGAGGCAATTTTGTGTGAAATTTAGTTCTCATGAGAATATAACGCCGATGTTGCAAAACTTTCCGGGTTGATTCCTTTCGACCAAGGAAACAAAAAACAAACAACAGTAACATTTTTTCCTAAAACAATTTCTGATTCCAATCGCACTCGTTTCCTTTCCTTCCAATTTCACATGAAGATAAACACTACGAAGGAACTTCGCTGCACCATATTCGAAGTCTATATGTTTAAGTTTCATATTCAATCTTTAAAAGATTTTAGGTTTTTTTTTATTTTGCCAAAAGGAAAATGTATTGCAACATCATTATTATACCCTTTACTTTTCGACACCTGTTGAAAGTTTCGTATACCTCAAAACTCATAAAAAATATTATAAGAAATTAATGAAGGTGTAATAATAATCAATATAAAGAACAATTTCATGACTATTTTACTGTCGTGGTGTAATTTTTTGGTGAAAATAAACTGGTTAATATAATCTAGCAGCGGTTGTTGACGCCTATGGACGACCAAAATCGCACCTTTTCGAAAAACTCACGTTTCAGCTTCGTTTAATTTAATTTCCATTGTGGATCGTGTTTGAATGGGTCTTTAATTATGCTAATTTTATATGTAACGCCTTTCTATCAAGCCCGATTGCCTTTTATGTGTTATTATAAATTAATCAAGTTAATTAAGAGCATATTCCAACGCCCCTTAATGTGTAACATAATAAATTATTTCAGATGTTGTTTCGATTCGCAACCGACGATCTTTTTAACCCGTTCCTCGTGGAAACCTTATTAGATTAAATTAAACGGGTTCAATGTAGACTGCAGGAATGAAAGTGCGATTTGTTTGCAATTCTTGCAATTCAGGGCGTAAATTTTATACGTTCCTTTGACGACATTAAAGTAAATTAGCAGGTAGCAATTTTACTGCTAATTTCTTTGAATAATATATACCTTTTGCAAATCATAATTAATTTTGAAAAGTTAAATGCAATCAGAGGTGTATCCAGTCTATCAAATGAAAGAAAACCGAGAGTAGTATGCAGGCGTTAATACTGTTTTTCATCCACAAAGGGAGCTACACATTCATCAGTTCAAACTGCGGCGCACTGTCGAGACCTATTGCGGTCCGCCGAAATCATCCATGCATTAGCCCTGATTTATGATCTTTGAGTTGTTACATAAGTTTTTTTAAATTGCCTTGAGGCGTTCTTATTTTTTCTTTTCTGAATCTAAATTTCCTACAAATTTCTATGATTATAAATAAGGGTCCTCATTTTATAATGCAATATTGGAAAATTGTAGGTGAAGAATGAATGACGATTAGAAGTGGCACACGCAGATAATATATATGTCTAGGGGAGCCTGCTGAATATCGAACTCAATGTGCTGCATTCTTGTATACCGAGGTTTCCGAAAACACCATAAAAGTATACGGAAAAAAGACTGAAACCGGCTAACTCTTGAAACAGTTTTGATTTGAAGTAATACAAATCAATATCAGCAAACAAATTGAAAGTCTTATAAAATCTTTTACAACGGCACCTATCCTTTTGCACTGTTTGAAGCAGGAAGATATATATTGAGAACTGGATCGAAAACGTATTAGAATACATATCAGAGGAAATTATCAATTTGGCACAGTTGTTTGGACAACTTGATGAGATTAGAAAATCAAAACTTAGTTTGAGTTCCAGGGTACTGAGAAGACTGATGAGTTAATCAATACACGCTCATCTACAGCCCCGTAATATAGGCCCAAACTCTCCTACGATATTGCTAACTGCGTGATTAACAGATTCCACCCAGAAGTGGGTGAAAGAAAAGTTCAAGGATGGTGACAAGAAACCTGTGGACCAAGATAACCATCGCAGGAATTGAGCGAATCTTCTGAACCAAAGTCCTACAAGGTCCCAAATTCTCCTACTATATTGCTGGCTGCAATATTAGTAGATTCACACAGAAGTGGGTGAAAGATAAATTCAAGGATGGTGACAAGAAATCCCGGGACCAAGACAACCATCGAAGGAATTGAGCGAATCTTCTGAACCAAAGTCGCAAAACAATAGGCAAGTAAGACAGCTGACCGAACAATGCAAACTAAGGAAACATCTAAGTAATTTTGAGCTGGTAGAAGACAACCTGTATAAGTTCCATCTGGAGAAAGAGGAAACCACAGCCTAAGTAGTGTGCGGAAGAGAAGAACTAGAAGCTACTACTTATGTGAAAAGACCTTAAAAGGTTAAAGTTAGGCAAAGAACTCTAAAATCATGGAGCTCGTTTTTATTTTTGTTTCTATAGAAACATATTCAATGATCTTCGATAAAAATATTTTATTCGTGATCGAATTACTTACCTTGGAACTATCTAAAAGGTGATCGATTGTAGACAGCTGAGCCGTGTACAAAATAGACTGAAGATCAGCTCCAGAGTAGCCTTTGGTGGCTGACGCAACGGCTTCCAAATTTACATCTTCAGATAAATCCAAGTTTTTGGAAAGGATTGTTAAAATTTCCAATCTGTCGTCCTGGAAAAGAAATACAAAATTGTTAAATAAATTTCGACAAATTATATGACACAATTCTGACCTTGGATGGTAGAGGACACAGTATCTGCCTATCTAGTCGGCCGGGTCTGAGCAATGCCGGGTCCAGAAGATCCGGTCTTGAAGTAGCTGCTAAGACGCAGACCCCTGACAGTGACTCAATACCATCTAACTGAGTGAGTAACTGGTTAACAACTCTGTCTGTCACTCCTGTATTGTCATGACCTCGTCTAGGGAAAGTAGGAAGATACAATTTAAAGAAAAAAGTCAAATAAAAGATTCCCTAAATTTGCTAAACGTTTCCAAATTTGTATTCCTTTGTTAGAGAATATACAGGGTATTTCTAAAATAGGGTTCCAAACGTCTGCTGCGTTTATAATTCATTAAAATAAGCCAAAAAGTTCCTATTAACATGTGCCCTAAAAAGCACCCTTAGGAAGTTATATGCCCTTAAAAGGGCTCAAACAAAACTGTTTCTTTTCTGTTTCTATTTATTTGCGACCGTTTTGTCAATAACAGAAAAGAAACAGTTTTGTTTCAGCCCTTTTAAGGGCATATAACTTTCTAAGGGTGCGTTTTAAGGCACATGTTAATAGGAACTTTTTGGCTTATTTTAATGAGTTATAAACGCAACAGAAGTTTGGAACCCTATTTTAGAAACACCCTGTATGCCAGAGGGAGCAAGAGTAAATGAATACAAGCCATAAAAACAAATTAAAAACAATAAAAAAATCCTCCATGAAGATGCACCAACGAAAGTTAGCATTAAAAAAATATATGTGAAAAATGGGTAATTTATATACAAAATAAATTGTTAAAAATGAAAATAATAATAATAAAGTCATAATTACAAGTAAAAAATATAGTCTATAAAATTATAGCAATGCATAAAATTAAATTATGAATTTCTATTAAAAACACACTAAACTTAAACGGAATCTAATTACTATAGTTGACAAATAAACACATTACATCTATTCGAAAAGAAATTTTCACCCTTTCTAAGGATTAACAACGGCTTAAGGGCATTACCCAGGGAATTTGTCTACTTAGTGTTTACTAACCAACTAGGGGTAGTTTCTTACTTACCTGGGTGCCAAACTGTCAAACTCGTCGAAGAACAATATGCAGGGTCGGGCGCTTTGTGCTCTGCAGTAAATATACGGCGATATTAGATAAAGGAAATTAGGTAGGACTTGTTTTGCAACAAGTAAAATGCCAAAGATCTTACGAAGGCAAAATAAAGACAGAGAATTGTAAAAATATTATTGTTTTATGTACATTACAGAAACTCTGTTTTTAAAGCCTTTGTAGAAAATAGCTCTAGAAACAAAAGTTATACAGTGCCGATGAGCGCTTTTGCCCAGGGGGTGAAAGCCACCACTTCTAGGTGGTGAAAAATGAAATATTGAAAATAACCCCAGGAATCGATAAAGCAATCAATTTTAAACAAAAAGTATCTTATGAACATTTTTCGATAAGTCAATATTAGTGCTTGAAAATGTACACTTTTTATTATAAAAGACGTTTTATAGTACTTTTTCTTGAATGACTCGGAAAATAGACATTCTATGGAAAAAATATGACGAAGAAAATGAAGCTTATAGAAAAAGAAAAAGATTGAGTTTTTTTTCATTTATGTTAGGTGCAATAGGTGCTGAGATACAGCTAGTTGAAGAAAATTTCTCATGTCCGCCAAAAACTAAATTGGAAGCATTTAACGTAAAATAACTAAAAAAATTCTATTTTTCAGGAAAAATGCATAGAACATTTTTTAAAGTCCTTTAAAAAATCTTTAAAATGAACTTGACTTTAAGTCATTAGCATAAAAATTAACAGGGTTATGATCAAAAACGGTTAATTCGCTTTGTCGGAAAAAAAACAGTACAAAAACTGATGAATTTTTCACGAGATTTAAAATTAAAGGTAATCCTCCTACAATTTACATTTTTTATGTGCTAACAATATATTATACAAGTTTAAGCGATTTAGAATGCATATTTTTGAAAATATTACGTTTTGATTGGAAAAAAAAATAATTATAAAAAAAAATAACATATTTTTGAAAATAACTTTAAAAATAAAAAAGATACGAAAAATATTCTAGGGTACAAGTTTCGATTTTTTTTTTCACAGAATACTTTGGGTTTTTTTTATTTGTGTAGGATAAAAATTAACAGAGATGTTGCTGCTAGAAGTTTGCAGTTGAGGGCGAAGGTCATTTTAAACCCTTTAACCTCAAAAATCTCAAAAATAACGCCTTAAAAAATATTTGACTTTACAGTACTTTTAGCTGTCGAAATTTTCCGTAAAATCGTTTTTGGATCGTCTTAATAGCTTTAAAATTAAGGAAGTTAACGTTAAAAAATCAATGGTACCTTACCGCTTCAATTTTTGGAGCATATCAATATTTTGGTTATCCACAACAACTTTGGAGCATTCACAGGTAAGTATACATAATTTGAAAATTTGAAATTATGACTTTCTGCATAAAATAATTTTGAGAAATAATTATTTTGATTATTGCTTAAATTAAAGTAAATCGCGAGAAGGTTATTACGAAAAAAAATTATTTTGCATTGTTTATTGTATTATTATATGTTGTCATTGGGGGTGGTTTTTAAGTGTTAAAACAATGCGATAAATTATAAATTGTATTATAAACAGGAAAAAGAATTTAATTTATCCTGTTTGTAGGTACTATCAAATCATTTCAAACTGTTAAAAACTATTTTTTTTTAATATTTTGTTATTAGGGGTAGTTTTTTAAGGGTTGAAATATTGTAATAAATGATTTATAATATCATATACTATTAAAAAGATTTCTATCTATAAGATATGCGCTATAATATTATATTTTTTTCAAAGAAACTATTAATTTTATATTTTTATCATTAAGGGTGGTTTTTAAGGGTTGAAACTTTATAAAAATAGCGTAAATTATAACCCACAATATAAAACAATATTTATTCTAGATACAGGGTGAACCATTAGTGTGAGAAAGTAAAATAACTCCCTTGTTATTCATAATACAGAAAAAAAGTTTATATAAAGGTTGTACAGAACCAAAAAACCTAGTACAAAATTAATTTGAAACGTATAGGACGATTAGTAAAAACGGGACACGTCAAATATTACATTTTTTAAATGGAACACCCTGTATATTTTTAAACAAATGGATTTCTGGGAATCTTCTATATACCTATGGCAATGTAAACAGTTTAACATTTCAGTACGGGGTTATGTAGAAAATTCTTCGAATTTTGGAAAAAACATGACCTCGAAGAAGTTGTATTAACTTTCAACTATTAACACTTAGAGCAAAAATATTTGATAGAGTTATAGACAAATGTTAGGCAAAGATTCCTGCATTAGCTAATATCGATATTTTATACTTTCTATTTCGTTTTCTTTTNTTTAAAAAAAGCCAGCCTCATTATTAAGCGTGATGAGAACAAAAAAAAATATATCGAAATTTGGAATTAGGATACCTCAAATGGTTTACAGCGCAATTTTTTATATGGCTTCGCATGAATTAGTACGGAGAGTAGGGCAAAGAATTTTTATTTAACACAATCATCTCTAAAGCTACAAAGATGCTTCAAAAATATTGACAGATAGTAAACGGTTAATTACAAATTTGGACAATCCTCAAACATGCCCAGTCCGTCTCGTCTATACAAGAAATTGATCAAAAAAATAAATTGTTTTGAACTCCAAAAAAAGAAAACTAATTAAGGAGATGATACAAGAACTTCCCATTGGAGTTGATTACTATATTTTTGTGGTTTAATAAATCCACGGCTTCTAACATAGAAATTGTCATTAATAATATTAAAATAACTAATCATTCTACAAAAGAGATTGTTGCCTCAAATTCAGTCAAAAAGTAACAACTACTCAATCAAGCCAATTAATACAAACCAACTCCAATCGTTTACCTATAATAACTGTGTTTTTAATGTTTTTAATAATTATAACAACTAATTTTGTATTATTAATATCAATTTGTTTATTTTTCGAATGTTTTTTATTTAACAAACTTCAGCAGTTAATAAAGAAAAGCTAGTAATTTTATTTGTCCAAAATAATAAAACGCAAGATATAAACATTACAACCATGCATCATCAGCGACTACTTAGTTATCGGACTTTTATTGCGACAAATTTTTGCGGCAGTTTCGTTCTTCCCTTCGATTCGACCCCGTCCCTTACCTTAACACTTCGATATTGATTGACCTCTGGGAAATAAAAGTGTTAATACTCACTTTTGGAAAACGTCTCGGACGGCCTGCTCGCTGGCTCCTATGTACTTGGACAGTAGCTCTGGTCCTTTTATCGATATTAGCCTAAGTCCGCAATGCTTGGCAGCTGCCCCGGCCAACAGGGTCTTCCCCGTGCCCGGGGGACCGTACAGCAACAAACCAGATTGAAGGCGCAAGGGCGCTTTTGCGAATATGCCCGGATACTGAAAAAATTAACCCCGCTTATTTTAAAATCTACACCAAGGACACGGAAGTAGGTGAGTTGAGTAGATAAAAAAAATTGTAAAGGAATTGAATATTAGCAAAAGATACTAACTGCGTTGCTGACGGAGTTTAATCAAAAGTCTAGTCAGAACAGACATGAAACGAAAATAATTGGTTAATTAATTTTACCAGAAAACAAAATTACAAAAAAATTACTGACGAAGCCACGATCTCTTATGATGTTATACAGGGTGTTGCAATATTTATTTCACCCACAAAATTTACAGGGAATTCCCAGTAAACACTAGCTAACACTAACGAAGCAGTTACATTACAATTATTACATCGTATGGATTTGTATGTTTCAAAAGAGTGATTATCCATTTCACGATAATACACTAGACACAAAAATTAAGGAAAATTCCCAAAATTTTCGGTAATTTTCAGAGAGCTGCAACTTGGAGGGAAATGGTCGTAGAGAGAATAAAAAATAAGGAAATACAAGCTTCAAGTGTCTAATTTTCAGATCTGGAGTTTAAAAATTTTTGCGTCAGCAGTTTTTGAGTAATCATAAGAAAATCAATGAAAAAAAAAGTTGCAAATTTTTGCTTTTCTTTAAAAATGCCTATTTTTTGGTAATTACACCATAAAACTCTTAGATAATTTAATTCTCTTCAATTTAAGCAGTTCCGGAGCCCTGTACGAGAAATGTTCTTCATGCCAACAACGTGGTAACTCTCAACCACCCACATATAAGTCCAGACTTGAATTCCATTGGGCATGTTTAGAACATGCTCGGGCGTCGATGACGACGAGACTATCCGCAATTACAAAATCACCATCAATTGACCAAGGCTCTTTTACAAACTTGGTAAGGAATTACGCAACGAGATATCCGATGGTGCATTAATATGCGAGACCGCTTGAAGAGAATTAAATTATCTTAAAGAGCTTCATGATGCAATTACCAAAAAAAAATCCATAAGCCTTTTTAAAGAAAAGCAAAAATTTGCAACTTTCTGTTTCGTTAACTTTCTTATGATTACTAAAAAACTGCTGACGCTAAAAATTTTTAAACTTCAGATTCGAAAATTAGACACTCGAAGCTTCAATCCACTTTTTTTTAATCTCTCTACGACCATTTCCCTCCAAGTTACAGCTCTTTGAAAATCACCTAAAATTTTGGGATTTTTTTAATAGGTATCCTTTAATTTCTGTGCCTAGTGTACAATGAAAAATACAAATCAGGATAGGTATAATAAAAAAATTGTGAAAGGGATATTTATTTTGATCAGAAATGACTAACGGGTTCATTCAAAAAGTACCTATAGATTATAATCAATGTATAAAAAATTTAATTTTTTTTTCCGCAATTCCTTCAGCAACAATTCATGAAAATGGAGAACGGGAAAACGGACAGCAACCATATTGTGACATCATACCACTCGTTAGCGGTTAGTCTCTACATGGCTGTGTCCCACATACATCATATGATATATGTACTATGAAAACAACCAATAACAAACAAATTTAAACTTTCAAACATATTATAAAGACATTACAACTTTTTGATAGTGAAAAAAGACTGAATTTTCAAAACCTTAGCTATAATTGTAGACTTCTTGTGTAAAATGGGAATAAACGCCAATATGTAAATTGTTCGGGAAAGGAAAGGAGTTTTTTATATTAGTATCTTTGTTGTCATGTCATTCGGCTAAGTAAGCATAACATTACCATACAGATGAAAGTATGCTCAAAATATAATTTATGATTTATTATGATGTAGTTACTTACGATGCAAGAATGATATTATTCATTTCTTATTTTTTAATTTCCCGCAGGTGGAAGAAATATTCAAAACATTTTACATCTATAATAACTTGTTCCATTCTTGCACCAAGTTATAGCACGGGATAAATGATCTCATCTTATAATTCAATTTCTCTTAAGCCTGCAGATTCCATACTTACACCAGACCAAAAGAGTACAGTTTTAAACTTATATCTGCAGAAATATATATTTTTTTTTAAAATGGACTTATCCCCTTCTTGAATCAGAATCTTCAATTATTGAAGTACGCGATATAGTGATGAGTATTTTTTATTAGTCAGCTCTTTTCCGTGTGTGATTTTTGGTTAGGCAAAAATAATTTAATAAAAAGACAAAAATAGTTTAATAAATATAATCCTTTACTGATCCTTTTGGCGCAAATGTTTCTCTGATTAAATTTTTATTGTTTTTTTCAATGTCGAAAAAATGCCAATAAACAAAGAAAAAAATAAAAATATATCACAAATATGACCTGAGGCAATATTTAATAGCGCATTGGGCCGTCGCGTCAGCACGAGCCTATCGAGTGGTGTGTCGTCACAAATTCTCTACGAATGGCATGGACCATTTGAAACTTAAATATTACTGAATAAGATACTTTTTAAAAGCAATTTGTATGATTTCATATTGTTTCTTACTTCTCATGTAAATTTTCAATACCAGATAACTATCGTAACTACACGATATCCTAGAAATAATAAGTACCTAGCTCCTGGTTCAAATATCTGTAACACTCTTAGGTAATTAAAACTTAATATTATCTCAAAGTATTAGGTAATCAAAAACGAAATAGCCGCTATAATTTAAGCCTTTGTACGGAATTTTTCTAAATAAAAATTTTCAAAATTTTAAACTTTTCATACCTATTTTACGTAAAGTTAAAATTATTATAGTGTAGAATATTGCAACATCCTGTATACGAAAAACTTCAGTACACTCAAGTAGTGATTGGTCAAAAAATAATTAATGACATTTCATTGGTTATAATGTAATGAATAAAATAGTAAAATAATACAATAATAGTAATATAATAAAAAAATAAGAAATTCAATACATACAAAATCCATTAAAATTAAAATTTTAATATTTTTTGTTTTACATTATATTTGTATACATATAAATCACATTACAAAAAACTTACTTTCTAAATTTGCCGTTTAACATATACTTTAAAACCTGAAGCCAATTTTTTGTGTATTTTAATTAGGATAATAATTTTTTATCAACATTAACAATAGAATCTAATTTTAAAACGAAATTTTTTATTTAGTTTTTTTCTCGATTGTATTAAATAATTTACAAATATGCTGAGGATATCCTATTATTGAAATATTGAAAATTAAAAAGATACAGGTGGTTCAAATTAGGATATCATTGAAATGTCCAAATAATCTTATTCATATTTCTTTTGATATTTTGAGAAAATCCAATTTTTCTATTTTATATTTTATTTCTTTTTTATCAGTAATACAGCAGAAAGAACATTTCTATATGCTCCTTTTTTCTATATATTTTTACCCAAATGTTAGATTTGCGGTCTGACGTTTTGGCTTTGATTTACTTAATTTTTTAAATATTGACTTCAAAAACATATATTTTTAACTCACCCAGTCACAGATATGTCTTATAGCAATTTATTTACATTCATAATATTTTTTTTCAAGAGATTGTCAAGTACAGCTCTTCATTAAAATAAATAATAATGAATTGATTTAAATTTGGACAAATAAAGCTCAAAATATTGTTACTATTTATTATTTACTTAATGTTCATTTAATTTTAGAAGTGTCTTTTATCTTAATAATACAGATGTAAAAAACAGTAAATTCAATTTCCTAATTTTCTTTTGCCTAACAGCAGTTAGTTCTGCTTTATTTTTCTTCAAAGTTTATCAACTTAATTAATGACCAATGAAAAGTAGAATTTTTAAATAACATTATAAACAAGTGAGTATTTGGTTTTATGATAATATGTTTATCACAGATGTTAAATGACCTTTTTGTGATTGCATATTAATAGTAGCTTAGCAAGTGATATAATTATTTGTTAAGGTAATAAATCTTAATTTTATATTATTATTCTAAACTGGCAAGTACATGTAGTCAGAGCATAAAAGTGTCTTCAGGTATAAACATTTTTATACCTGTCAGCCATGTTGAATTTCAAATAGATTAGGAAAATTATTCAGTGAATTAATAGTAATCAACAAACAGCTTACTTAATCTGCTAAGAAAAAATATTCTACCACTTAAAAACAAATTAATATAATTATATTTGTCCAATGATAAAATTAAGTTGTTACTTAATTCTAAAGTAGGTCCAAAATTGCTTACCTGAGCTGGCCACATCAAACTTTCAACAAGAATTTTCTTCACATCATGCAAGCCTCCAATGTCTGTAAAACTTTTAGACCCAGGTGAATGCAAATGAACGTTTTGCAAGGATAAAACACAAGCATTTTTTAATGCTCTTTCAAAATGGTTGTTGTTTAACACAAGATTTTCTTCGTCACAATCTAGAGAAAGATATTTATAAAACAACAAAGAAAAAATAAGAGAAACTTACCATCTTTGTATGCCTCAAAAATTGATTTATTACAAAAATCAATAATATCTTGAATTACAAACCCTTCTGTTTTAATTGATATATAATCAAAGTTGACATCTAATAATTTATACTTTTCAAAAAAGTGTTTTAAAAAATCTATTCTATCTGCCTAAAAAAATATAACAATGAAACAAAACGGAAATGTGGTTTATAAAAATTATACTTTAGTTAGATCGCTTATTGAATGTAAATTCTTGAACAAGTGGCTCCCTCTTGATGAATATAGATTCTTGTTCAATTTTGCTGTAGACTCTACCGTAACACATATACCAATTTTATTGCACCGAGGAAACATTTTTAAGCATGTATGAATCATTTCGCTAACTCTAAAATAAAAAAACTGCAGAAAAGTACCATTTGCACAAAAATATCTCACCTGTTAGAATAAATTGCATTAGGAGCAACATCATCTCCCTTTATGCTTTCACATAACAAATGCAAATCATCAAGCAGCAACACAGATGGTTGATACAGGGCCAACTCAGAAAAAGCTAAAGAAAACACTTTAAACATTGAGTCGACAGTTTTTCCTTTGATTGTTTTACACTGTATAGTTTTTGTAAAAATAAAATTAGGACTTGAATTCAACTTATAGGCCAGTATTTTTAATATAGTTGATTTCCCTGTACCTGCCCTACCTAGAACGACAAAAAAGTCAAAAAGTTTACAGAACTCGCTCAAAGTAAGATTGTGTATACCTGTTATCAAAACATTCTCCCAATTATGTTCTTGACTAGAATATGCAGTTATAATTTTATCAACAACGTACTGATAATTTGATATGTTTTCTAAGAATGTAGTACAATTTGACAAATTTTTTACATTTTCCCTCGGTAAAACAGTTCCTTCGTTTACAACAAATTTACAACTCTTCACAGAGTCTTTGTTTGCAACAAAGAACTTCGCTTCAGCTGGAGAAAACTTTAAATTGCACTTTACGTAATCCCCTATATTCAATAATATATCAGGATTTAGCACCATAATGCCATCACAGTTTTCTATCAGGTATGATTTAAATTTTTCTTCGATGACCAATAAATAGATTTTCTTAGTGTATATACTAATTTCATTTACCACAGGTATTTCTTCTATATAATTTAAAACGACCCTACACCCCAAATGACAATTGAATTGTTCAAAAATAATATCATTTACAAATATATTACCAACTAAATTTGAACAAGATTTGCCAAGTAAATCTTCAAGTATAAACAGCCTTACATATATTACTTTTTCAGATAATAGATCTAATGTTAATATTTTCATAGAACAAATAATAATAGAGCCATTGTTGAGCCATGATTTTGGCAAAGATTCTTGTGAGACGAAAACATTGAAATATTGACAATAACTCTTAATTTTGTCTGAAAATGGTAATTTATTAATAGGTACCAACCTACATACCAAATTATGCTTTAAATTACTAAACTTTTGCAGATTATTTTGACTTTCATGTTGGGAATAATAAGACATTAGCAACTTCAATTTGTCTATATCAAAAACCGAATTATCATTTCTTTCAACATTAGCATTTCCTAATAAATTTGATTCATAATTATCTTTACTTTTTGGTTCTATGACTACCTCTGTTAGAAAATCGATAATTCCTGGTGACTGTGGTTCAACATTTTCTGAAACACATAATTCACAGTTCACTATTCATTCAAACAGAGTAACTTCATATTAATAAAATCTTACCAACACAAACTGCAATACTAATATTGCTTCCTGCCCATATTACAAACTTCTGACCAGTATTAACCACCCTTATTTGATCTAATAATGTCGATTGCACATTTTCAGCAAGTAATTCCTGTAAAAAACATGAAACGCTGCTACAAGTACATAGATAGGATTCCTGAAAAACACTCACCAATATCTCGTACTCATTACTATTTACTGGTGCAATTGTTATTCTATTTACAGTTGGCAAATTCAGAATTTGTGACACCCGAACGAGTTCATTTTCTTCTATTTCCAATATCTTTGCGCAAACTGAACTGAGACTAATACATTCATTTACTACCTTCACTGTTGAGGCAGATACAGAGAAATATGCAATTTTATTGTCTCCATAAGTAAGTTGGACACAACTCTGCAGTGGACGTGTTTAAAATAACGTAAAATTATATTTTGCAAAAATGTACTTACTCCAGTTTTTAAATATTTAGAAGGTAAATAAATAAAACAATCTTTTGAACTGTTGTAATTAACACTTAGTATTCTATCAAACATAGTGCTCCTATATATAACATTCCGTTTATTTCAAACTAAATTATATTTGGAATTTGGAACAGAATTTGTGAGGTTATATTTTTGATACATGTTTACATACTTCTGTCAAATTGATTTTGCAATTAAAGTGCCTTTACAAGAAAGCTCGTACAGACTCTAAGCACCACTGTATTGGTCAACGCTAATGCGTTTATTTTCGTGCACCAATAAAGGAAAGAATGCTAATGCTTCGACGCAAAGTTTAAGCACATGCAAACGAGGTTTTAATTGTTTAAAGAACCGTTTTGTCCCCTCCCTGTTATTCGACCAATCGAATTGCGAAGTCCTTTAATTCTTAACAGTCGAAATATTTCAAAACAACTGAAAATCTAAAACCAACCGACAAGCTGACAAGCTTGACATCAACGAATTTTACATGTGCATTTTTATCCAATTTTACAAGAAACTTTATTAGAAATTACAAGATATTTTATGGGTAAGTCAGTTTTAATTTGTCTTCTGTTTGTTGTGAGTTTTTGTACACAATTTTTTAATTTTAATAGATAAATATGACCTTTTTTGTAGGAAAAGATTTTTTAACGACCTCCATTTTCTTTTTAACTTTTTCCTATTTTTTTTAAATAACCGATTTAGTGCCGTGTATTTATATTCAAGAAGGATTCAACTAGTGATTAATATATAGTGCGTGGAAATTATTTAGTAATTTTTTCATAATTACAAGGATTTTATTGCAAATTGTGCTAAAAAGGGCGGGTAAATTTTTCGTGGACATTGGTCTAATTTTGACGTTGGTATGATAAATACCCAGATATTAACTAGTACTATCATAATATATACAAATAATTTAATTTTAGGTAAGTAGTTTCGTTTAAAACTTGAATTTTCCTTTATTTTGTTATATTTTTGGTAAGATATATATTGATCTATATGATTACAACAGGTCACTGACTCGATCGTTGAGGTCCTGATTTAGGACAACATAATTTATTTATTCTTAAGATATAATATTAATAAATTAATTGTTATTATTATTTAAATTTATCGCGATCAGTTACGTAGATAATTTCACTGTAACACTGGGTAGATAACTTAAAAACAGGAATTCAAATTTGGTTATGTAGATATAACACGTTTATGAGTTTTTTTTTAATAATAAAATCAAAACTATTATTAATTTTTGGAAATTTAACAGAATTTTTTTATTTCAAGAAATTTTTTAAAATATTTTTGGAAAATTTAACCCATTTAAAATATTAATACTTGGGGCAAATATTTAAGTAATGCCTTAAAAAACTAAATAAATATTATTTGCAATTTGCAACATATGTTTCTTTTCCTCATTCGGCTACTTTGGATAAATCTGTAGTGATGACTGATGAAACTTTAGATAGTAATATATTTTGATAATGAAACGATTTTTTAGGGGATGATTTTTAAGGTCCCAATTCAAGCGAAATTCGTGAATAAAAAAATTTTAATATAGGTGGTCACCCCTGACATTTTAAAAAGGGTAAAACTCTGTTTTTTCTTTTTTTTTTCATGATCAACTGATATAATGCAATGGGGTTTATTTGTTTACGAAGCGAATTAAAATTTTAAGTAAATACCTAAGTGTGACTTCCTAGAAAGTTTTATTTTGTAAAAGTGTGTATAAAAACGCCTATTAGTTACTTATAAAAAATATTTGTATATATATTTTGCACATGTATATGTGCTACCCTTTTGAGATTTCTCTCTATTCAAAGTTTTCATTTTGCAAATTTCATTTCAAATTTTTTTTCGAAAATTCTATGGGCGTAGAAATCATCCCCTAAAAATTAACATCGGTTGCACCCTTCATTATCAAAATATGACCACTTTAATTTGATGTGCCGTCAACGGATATGTCTTAATTATTTTAATCAATTTCTTTTTATTTACTTTTACTTTGCAATTGCAAACACAGATTCATTGGTAATTTCGGAAAATGCATGAGATTCCTTTAGCTACTCACCTATATATAAAATTTCTTAATTTCACCCCTAGAGTACTTCCAAGTCCATTAAAACTCATTGCCTTTTATTTTGACAATTTGGACATGTTTTTATGACAGTTTAATCATTGTTGATAAAACGAATCTAATCTACTGTTACTTTTTCTCGTTCGCATTTAATAAGTAACAGTGATAGATGCATATGGTTCCAAAAATATTTGTTTCAGATAAAACTGATCATCTAAAAAAAATGTTCTGGAGTCAAAAAAGCTTTCAAATATAGACATTAAACAAGTAGCAATAAAAATACTGGATATGTTCTCAAAATTTTTTTGGCGAGCATAAAAAACCTCATTTAAATTCCATATAGAGTATTAAAATTGATAAACACGTTTTTGAGTGAGCAAAAATCTTGTATGCATTTTGATGTCCTCAAGCGGCTAAATTGAGCGATATTTTATGTAGGTAAATTGGGCTAAATAGGTTTATTCTGGAAATCTTTGGTCGAACATTACATCCTGTACATTTATACACGTTTTGAATATGAGATTTATTTTCTGCCTGCAGTTACATAGCGATTTAAAGAACATAATGGCCCCGACAAAATCTGTGCATCCGATGCTTTCCGAACTGGCATCTCGCCACACCATTTCCACAAGGAGCAGGGCAATTGCAAACTGTGGCCAAACCAAAGATGTCTCGCGAACTAAACGAAAGGCTGACTGTTCACCTTCGAAAGAAAACAAAGCCAACAAAAGAACAGCCTTTGGAGACAGAAACGTCAATGTCAACGACTTAAAAATAAAAGCCTTAGATGATAAGCACAAGGTGGGCTTGAAGTCATCCCTGCCAGTGAAAAAAGTAACAGTGCAAGTTAAAACTCTAACTTCCGTTAAGACAATATTAAAACCTAGACAAAACGAGAACTTACTGGCGCCGCCGCCGGCTCCCGGACACAAAATTGTTACGAGAGCTACTGGGAAAACTGTTATAGTACCTGATCAGACTGCTCAGAAACCAAAAGAAGTACTAAAGGATAGTACTAATGCCAATAAAGCTAACAAGAGACTGAGCAATGAGTTCGAGAAAACTGAGGAGACGTTATACTGTACTGCCTTAGAAGACGTGTAAGTATTTATTTCGTGCAATCTGAAAAGTTCTAAATCAGTTGTGTGCCTCTTCATTTCAACTGCCGTTGGAGTTAATTATTTTTTACAATAATAATGTAAGGTATACATACCAGTAATTATCAGTGGCACAGTTATCACCTTTAACACATTTTTTTTTAATATTAAGGATTTTCTGATATCCGATTCCAAAAAACAAGTAAATATCAATTACATTCCATTCACATTGACAGTAATAGTTTAATTAGTCATTTAACATATTTACATATCACTAACTGCAAAGAATTAGGCGAATAGAAAGAAGAATAATCTTAGGATTGAAACATTTCTGTTTTAAAAAATATGTATTTTATTATTAGAAATATTATATAAAATCTTTCAATCCCAGCCACGATTGCCACCATTTTAATTTTAAAATATGAGATGCTGAATACAAGGCTGTCCCTTGGTCTTCACGAAGCAAATCAAAAGATATTTTAAAACGTAAGGGAGAAGAGAAATCCATCATAGTACTAAATTAAAACCGTTCTGTGATCTGTGTTAAAATCTTGTAAAAAATAAAAAACTAAAAAAAGAAAATTCAAAGTCATAGCGGAACTGTCATGTGGTATATATGATGGAATGCAACGTCGATACAAAAGAAAAGGACTTGATTTACTTACATACCATCTTGTAAGCTAGCATAGACATAGCTACGGTGGGCAGCTTGGAACGCTTGCCCACCCACCCCTGTTCATTTAATGAAAGAAAAAATTACAAAAAAAATTGTTGCGCCGGTAACAATTATTTATTTAAGAAACTCCAACTGACAATTACGTTTAAAAAGTACCAAATTATTCTTTAAAAATAGTAATTGATAAACAAAAAATTATAAATTTAAGTTAAAATGATTTTAATTTATTAAAGTTGGGAAACATGATAATTTTAAGTATGTGCTTTTTTTGTCACATCCCCCGACATAAATATAAATTTTTGTTTTGCCACGGCTATGCCCTTATAATCTTGTAAGCTAGTATTACACACTACAGTTTAGTAATGATTACAGATCAAAATTAGAATGACAGATGACAAGGCTGCTATTAAAAAAATACTTTAAGGCCCAGTACATTGAATCTCGGTTAAGCCTTGGTTAAGTAATCACATGGTTGAGGTGTACATATACTGATTTATTTTATAATAGTATATTCACTGTCTAATCGCCTGATTAGTTAATCGAGTCTTAACCGAGACTCAACGTACCGGCCTTAATATTTTACTATTATGTAAATAGGTCGGGAGTTATGTTAAAGTATCACATTTAACAAAAAACTACAATGGGTATAAATAAAAGAGTTTATAGACAGAACAAACAATTTACAAATTATTTATTGTTTCAATTTCTTTAAAGAAAAAGAAAATTGAAGGAAAAAAATTAATAATGTAACTTACGTCAACCAAAGAAATGGCAAATATATTAATATAGTGGCATTTCAATACAACTTGCCCATGCCAAAATTCAGTTTGCAGCCGTTTTTAAGAAAGGTGACAACACAATCATTTGTAGATACAATGCAAATGAGATTATGGGGGTAATTATTGTTAAAAATAATCATTTCATGATAATGATCATGAATTCTAAGTGAGTTTCCATCATCTTTGAAAAATATATTTTATTGACCTACCTTACTCTTCAAAAATAAAAAGATGCTCTGGCAACATCAGAAGCATAAATTATTTTCTAAAAATGGAGTAAGGTAAATTAAAAAAATTGCAACAGGTATAAGGAAGAAAATGAAAAAATGGAGGAATAAGCAGCAAGACAAAAAAACAATACCAAAAAAAACAAGAATATATTGAAGTTTAAGTGAAAATACCTACTAGTTGGTATTGTTACATATGCTAGTCACGAAGAAAATATGATAGTGTTAAACATCATATTTGTTGCAGATGATAGATGTGTACAGTAGACTGGGCCAAAAAAATTTAACATTTTTTTTTGATATACAATCGAGAATATTATTAAGAATGACGAAAAAAAATATCTTGAGAGTTTGAGCCCTTAATATTAGTTTTAAGAGGTCTATCATCGCTAGTTTCAATTTTTTATTCCTGATAGCATTTTTTCGTCAAAACTGCCAAACCATCAAGGTGAAAAAAATTATTGTACTTATACATTTATATGAAAGAAAAATCAGATTATGGCTCAAAAAAATATTCAAGGTCATTTTTACTCAGTCGGCATTTGTAGTAGACGTTGCAGTTATTAAGGAGAAGGTGAAGTATTTTCACTTGTCATAATGCTTAATAAGTTGAGGAAAAGAGAAACAAATAGAGGGGTAAGGGAGGAAAGTTGAAAGACATGAATTCGTATATATTAATGAATATAATGTAAATAAATGATCTTTAGTAGTAAAACTACATGATTGTTATTTTTAAAATTATTTTGAAACAGAAAAACTACATTCTTGTAGAATAAAATAGCTATTGAGTGAGAATGAATTTGAATATATTATGAATTTTGGATATTTTTGATGATTGTATTGATAGAATAATAATTGTCGATGATGTATAATATCAATTCTTTATAGGGTGTGAGAATGAATATTATTCCTCTGATTTGAGATGAGAAAACTTAGTTCCATTGAGTGAAAAAATTGGGTGCAAAACGAAAAAACAACTTTAATTTTTACTTCAACTTCAATCGTAAATAACTTTTGAAGGAGTAAATTTATGCAAAAATGTTAAGAGACCTTTTTTGGAGAGCATTAAATTTCCTTTGAAAATCTATATTGTTCTTTTTCAGATATTAATTTGTTTGCTATTTACAAAATTCCAAAGTTAAAGTCAAATCGGAAAAACATCAATTTTCAAGGCTTGATTACATGGAAACAGCTCGTCTGCCGAAAATTTTCAATCAGATCTTTTTTGTAGGGCATTCAATTTCCATCAAAAATATTTGTAGTTATTATACAGGGTTCGTAGCAGCCGGGAAAACCGGGAATACCGGGAAAAGTCAGGAAATTTGTTATTCTTCATAAAAAACAGAGAATAGTCAGGAAATCCTGGAGAAGTCAGGGGATTCTTTATTGCTTTTGAACTATGAACCCTGAGTTTAATTTTTTTACCTCGATGGTTTGGCGGTTTTGACGCAAAAATGGGATCAGGAATAAAAAATCGAAACTAGCGATGATAGACCTCTTAAAACTAATATTAAGGGCTCAAACTCTCGCGATAATTTTTTTCGTCATTCTGAATGATATTCTCGATATATCTTAAAAAAAAAAGTCAATTTTTTTGGCCCAGTCTCGTGTACAGGCTCCTAAAAGTACAAAGATATTTGATTGACTAAATCGGTTTTAAATTGTAATTTCAATAATTTCCTCCAGTTTGTTCAATATGATGATAATTTATACAAACAAAAATTTCTTATAACAACTACTAATACAAAATGTGATATTTTAATATGGCTACATTGAGTTATTTGCAAAATATCCAGGGTGATTCAGAACTTATCCAAAAAAAAAAAATTCTGGATGTACAAGGGCAGTTCGACAATGATTTAAAAATACACTTCTGCATGGCATTGGAAACTGGTCCACTGTAAAACCTGACCTCGCATAATGCGTCCGGCATGACGGTGTGATAAAAACAGACAAAAACTTTCGCAAGGAAAGAAATAAATAGAATTTTATAGCACCTATTTTATATCGGCAAATTCAACGGCTTTTGCCTTTATTAATTAATATAATAAATTTTTTTTTGGGTCCGTCTTACTCAGTTTCTACGAACTAACACAAATGTTGTCTTGCTTCACCATAACAGAAATGCTTCACCATAATTCAAAGTCTTGCTTCACCATAAATTAAAACGATATCCATCAACTCCTAATTGATACACACAAACCATTTTTGACACTAACTACTAAAAAAGTATTGTAAACACCACAGAAAGCAGGTAAACACTATTGCAGCGACGATTGCAAAATTGGATTTCAGTATTCGGAGTTGCTGAGGCTACGACGCTCTCCACGCGTATTGCGAATAACGCTAGAGACTACAGTTGTCCAGCTATGTAGTGGTTGAATGGACTATAACTTCAATAATTTTTTTCTCGGAAACTATAAGGATTTTAAAAAAAAAATTTTTATGATATTGACTCAATTTCTCATGCCGCATCTATTCCCAAATTTTTTTGGATAAGTTGTGGATCACCCTGTGTACAGTAAATAAACTTAAGAAAAGATTAAACAAAATACTAACTAACCTGATGATTACTTGTACACTTACCTTACTCAAAATTTGTTTATTTTGACATTAAGTAACATTTCTTTAATCGATATGGAACAAATAAGCTTAAAACATATACCACCAGTATTACATTCTATACCTTTTAGTAATGACACTCCATACTTCAGTGCAAAGAAACATCAAGGTACCAGATCCGAAAAGTCGACCGAGTCTTCACCATGTAATAATGGGGAACAAGCTAGTGCGAACAACATTTCCCTAGTGGCTGAACAGATTGAGACCAGACTGAATCTTGGCAATCACGAAGTTCCTTATGATGTCGAAGATTATGACAAAGAAAACTGGGACGATATATTTCAGGTGTCTCATTACGCAATGGATATATTTAATTACTTGAAGGACAGAGAAGTGAGCACGAAAATAATTTCTATCGTGGATTTTTATTACAGATTATTTTATCTTTTTAATAGGCAAGTTTTCAAATTCCTGACTACATGGACCGTCAGATATGCCTGACGCGTTGGATGCGCTCACTTTTGGTCGACTGGATGGTGGAGATCCAGGAAAGTTTCGAATTGAACCACGAAACTCTGTACCTCGGTGTCAAGCTTGTTGACATGTACCTCAGCAGGATGACAGTGGGAAAGGAAACTCTCCAACTTGTTGGGGCCGCCGCCATGTTCATAGCCAGCAAATATGATGAAAGGATTCCCCCATCTGTCGACGATTTCCTGTACATCTGTGATGGAGCGTACTCGAGACGCGAGCTGATCAGGATGGAAATGAATCTGCTGAAAATATGCGGTTTTGACCTTGGAATTCCCATCAGTTACAGGTTTTTGAGAAGATATGCCAGGGTATGTACTTTTACATTTGCTCTTAGGTTTGCAAGGGTTTAATTGGAGTTGTATAATATTGGAGAAGTAGAAATATGAGGGTTGCCTTTTATGTTTCTGGAATAGAGAACAAAAAAATAAATTAATCGTCATATATGGCTTTATTCTGTTTTTCAAAATATTCTCCTGGAAGATCGATACACTTTTGCATGTGCTTGAACCAATTTTCGAAGCAATTTTTTCATTCCGATTGAAGTACCTCCAAAACATACATTTTGAGCACTACAACAGATTCTTCATTGAAAAACGATCTTGTAATTTATTTTTGATGTGCGGGAATTAAAAAAGTCATTGGATGCCAAATTAGGGCTGTACAGCGGACGACTCACCAATTCGACTTTTTCAGTTCTCAAAGAGTCTCTGACTTATAGGCCAACCAATAGAGCGAAAAAAGAGGCTGTTTTTACACTTAAATATTATAGCAAATTTCATGTATTACCTTTTGAGAAATACTTAGTAAATGAAAACCCAAGTGATTTCCCCAGCAAAGTCGTGAACAATTTTTTTTAAAATGCAAAAAAAGACATTTTTTGTTTTTTTTATATCTTGAAAAATAATGATGGAATCGTCTTACTCTCAATAGGAGTTTTGTAGAAAATAAAAAAACCTATAAAATGGTTTTTTGTGCGACTCGATCGGTTAATTTTTTACAGAGAAAATCCGGAAAAATCTCTAAAATATACCTTTTTTCAAAAATTTATAACTCGGTCAAATTTGAAGCTAGAAAAACAATCTTGCGAAAAATGACAGACGATAATATGTAATTTAATTGTGCACAAGATGGTTTCTGTCCGATGCATAGTTTTTGCACAATTGCATTATAAACAAATTAGGGTCTTTTTTTGCACAACATGTCGTTTTATCAAAAATAATCCGATTTAAATTCTGAAAATGGCATCTGAAAGTAGACGACAAAATCTCCAATTTGTATATCTCAGATTTTCGCCTGGGTGATGGGAAATATGTTAAAAATGCCCTTGAAAGACGCCCGAAACGATCGTAAGTACGTTCGAGCGAAAGTCGGATACTTTATATCGTTTCAGGTGATTTTCAAAGGCATTTTTAGCATATTTCCCCTTACCCAGGCGAAAATCTGAGATATACAAATTGGAGATTTGTCGTCTACATTCAGATGCCGTTTGCAGAATTTAAATTGGACCATTTTTGATAAATCGCCACATTGTGCAAAAAAGACCCTAATTTGTTTATAATGCAATTGTGCAAAAACTATGCATCGGACAAAAACCATCTGGTGCGTGATTAAACTACATATTATTATCTGCCATTTTCTGCAAGATTGTTTTTTCAGCTTCAAATTTGACGGAGTTATGAATTTTTGAAAAAAGGTCCATTTTAGAGGCTTTTCTGGATATTCCTTGTAAAAAATGAAATGAATTCTCTACAAAAGTCCTATTGAAAGTAAGACGATTCCATAATTATTTTTTGGGATATAAAAAAAACAAAAAGTGTAATTTTTTGCAGTTTTTATTATTTACAAAAAAATTGTTCACGACTTTGCTGGGGTTTTCTTACTTGGGTTTTCATTTACTAAGAATTTTTCAAATAAAACTAGGAGGTATCCATACACATCTACCTACAAATGTTTCAAGAAAACTTCTATCAAAAACTTGTAGTAAGAAAGTTATAGAGCACTATTCTTGTTAAAAAACAATAAATAAAACTACTAAAACATAATTATCTGTGCAATATACCCAATTTTTTGTTCCCCCAATTAGTTTATCTGCTTTTATTCCAAGCTGAAGCCTTTAAGGTTGTCGCTCACTTGCAAATTACAGCACAGCACGGCCTGTTCTTTCACAATGTGGATTGAACTAAAAAATGATTGAATGCGGTTGTGCATTCAACCTTTGAATTTCTAAAGAAACAGTAGCCAGAATGTTAAAAGGCAAGTTCTGTAAAATATAAAATTTGACTTCACTTCGGTAATCTAGGGTGTTTCCTAATGATGTGCAAATATTTTAAGGAGGGGGGGATCAAATCAAAAAAATATATTGGAAGTACCCCCTAAAAATACCTTCTAAACACCTCCTTAAAATATTTGCACATCATTATGAAACACCCTGTATATTACATTTAGTGTCACTTTTTAGAAAGCATATTTTACTTTACATACACAAATACTTCACACACGCGTCTACTTCACAGTCACTGATTTTGTCTGGCCAATATGGCCGATTGGGGCTGTGAAGTATTTGCACACTTAAAATACGACACCTTTACTGTTACTTTTCATTCTCAAATGTGTTTGTAAAATTGCAGTTTATGGTGCGGTGTAAGGAAAAATATTTGAGTCATCTAATGTTTTAACAACTAAAGTTTTGTCTATCACTTTTGTTAATGTGAAGTATTTCATTCTGTTTTGCAGTGTGCGAAAATAAGTATGCCTGTGTTGACCCTAGCGAGATATATATTGGAATATTCGCTGATGGATTACAAGACGGTCACTATCCGAGACTCAAAACTGGCATCGGCGGCACTTTACTTGGCGCTAAAAATGAAGAAAATTAGTGGTTGGACCCCCACTCTAGAATTTTACACAGGTAATAATTAAGTTTTCTTTTAATTTAACATGGCATTATCAAAAAGTGGATTTTAACTATATTAAAACTGTTTTAAGCTTGTCATTACGTCACTAGTGTGTCCTAATATCAGACAGTCGTTGCGGACGTGAATTCATTATTTGTTAAACGTAATGATGTAGGCAACCAGTAATAAAGTTTGGGAGATATCCAGATTTGGGAATTGTCAAGATAACATTTTAATTAAATGAAAACGGTGACTAATTTAACTAGGATTTTTCGTTTTAGTTCATACGAATATTGCTTGTGTCGTGATGCAATAGAAAAGATACAGCGGTTTTAGATTATGTGCCCATATCACAGTTTATAAAGGGTGTCCCAAAATTCGTACAAGAAGTAATTTTAATAGAAAACATAGGTTTTTAATTAAAAATTGTACATTTTTTACTGATTTATAAATATTGAGTGTTCTTGGGTTGTGTGGTATGTGACACCGTCTTGTTGAAACCACATGTCATATACATCCATATCTTGCAATTTAGGAAAAAAACTGGACTATAATGTCGCGATAGCGAGCACCATTAACCACAGCCACAGTTTCGACGAAGAATGGTTCGATGATGCCTCCAGCCTAAAAACGTATTAAACATCGACACGTTGTGGATGCATTTGTTTCTCAACAATCACTCATGGATTCTCTTAATCCCAAATGCGACAATTTTATTAACGAAGCCATCAAGATGAAAATGAGCCGCGTCGCTAAAGATGCTTTTGCTCGGAAACTCAGCATCCACTTCCATAATCCATTTAATGAACTCTCTTTGTCAGTAGGCCTCAATTTTTGAGTTGATTGAACATTGTAAGCATGAAGATGTTAATCTTTTATAAGAATATGCTGTAGAGCTTCTTGAAATGTCCAATTCTTAACCACGGTGACAAATTGATGTTCCTGGACTCTCACAAACTAATTGAACCAGTCTCCCTGAATTTTTCAATTAATCCATACCATCATTATTTTTTTTCAACAATGAAAAATTCTTTCGTGTGGCGCTCCATTTTTAATAACCCTGAACCGTCAGCTGTCACACTGTCTTTTTTTTTCGTTAGTAATACTTTACCGCACAAATGGTGCAAAATTAAATTTTCCTATAATGGATTTAATTCCATTCCTTATTTAGCATCATCTGGCATTCCGCAAGGGTCGGATTTAGGTCCATTACTTTTCTCTCTGTTAATGATCTTAATAGTGTAATTGATTGTGAAAAATTGTTCTTTGCAGATGACTTGAAATTGTTCAATGCCATTAAAGTAGTCGATGATCGTGTAAAGCTTCAGCTGCAGCTTAACAATGTGGTCCGATGGTGTACTTTGAACAAACTTTTTCTTAATAACAATAAATGCAAAACGATGTCGTTTACTCGTAAACATAATAAAATTTTGTTCAATTATGTAATCGATTCGCATGTGCTGGCTCACTGTGATGCAACCTAGTTACCTGGGAGTCCATTTTGACTCAAAATTAAGCTTTATGTCCCACATAGAGCACACCGTATCTGCTTCTACCAAAGCACTTGGATTCAGACAAGGTCGGGATTTCCATGATATTAAGGTTTTAAAAACCTTGTTTTTTTCCATATGTGAGATCCAAGCTTGAATACTGCTCGCTCGTTTGGAGGCATTTTTATTATACAGTGTAGGAAAGTACCGACGGTCTATCAGAAGTTACGTGAGAGCGATAAAGAAAGCCATAGAAATCCATGTGATAGACAAGGATGGCTATAATGAAGGCGTTTAATAGTCAACGCCCATTTCGCCCTTCCACAAATAAGAAGTGGATCTTATTTGTGGAAGGGCGAAATGGGCGTATTAGATGCCTTCATTATAGCCATCCTTGTCTATCACATGGATTTCTATGGCTTACTTTATCGCTCTCACGTAACTTGTGATAGACCATCGGTACTTTCCTACACTGTATTCATGTATATTCATGATCGAGGCAATACAGAGAATTTCTAAAATATCTTGTATATTGCATTGGCAGTATATATCCGGAGGTGGTTGTGACGATAACTTATTACTTAGCCGGTTCGGTCTTAATTTGTTAAATTTTAGGAGACGCTATTATTCACTTAAATTCATACATTCCCTCTTACGTAATGAATTTTTAGACAACTTTATTTTCTAGTTCATAGAACGTCAAATCGTTCTTGGTCTACTTTTCACACTCCTTTAGCTAGAACGAATCTTTTATTGTCAGCATATTTTATTATTTTATATTTTATAATTATAATTCTATTTGTATAGTCTTTCCGAAGTCAGCTGAACATGCATAAAAAAAACAAGCAATCAAATTTAATGAGTTTCATAGGCGCCCCTAAAAAAGTTTTCTTCCAAAGGTAAAAAATTATAATAATTTGTATATAATGTGTAGAAAATTTCTATTATATGTTCATTTCACCAACAACATATTTTAATTATTTTTGTCCTCAAACAATTTTATTATATTGATGGTAAATTTCGTTTTGTTCCGTTTCAAAAGGTCTCTAAAATGCCGTGTTGTAATAATATTAATAAACCAAATATCCCTCTTATTTATCCCTTTCACAATTGTAATATGAATGATTAATAGAGGGCGCCTATAATAAATTAAAATTACTTGAATCACACCAAATTCCGCATTGCTGCACTGCACTGCACTGCCAGGCGACTTGTCGACAATTGAAATTTATGACTCAGTCAAGCAGAGCAACAGTGAGTATTGCTGTTTGCCCACACGCTCATTCAACTGGGGGTATACATTTCTACCACCTGCACGTTTAGTTCGACCAGACCTGTATATGGGTATGGCTAAATAAATATGGGAACAAGTTTTTCAAATATTTCAATGCCGAGTTGCTGCGTCAACGACCGAACCTGGTACATACTGTCATCCTGTTGGTTCTTCAATTGATATCGGAAAGACTATAATAGCTGAGATTTTCAACTGTTCTCTTCTGAGCTCTTTGATGCAACTAAGAACTGATATATTTAATTGTTACTATATCTAACGGTAGCCAGTAAAATATTTGCATGAATTATTTTTTGTTCTTTTGTTTTATTTTTTATTTTTTAGAGTAATGCTTAGTGCTACCATCAGTTTATTTTGTTGTGTATTGCTTTATTCCTTTCTTCACTTTAATACTTGTATTGGATTGTCCTGTAAATGGTTATACTGTTGGACGAATAAAGTGTTATTATTAAAATTCAATTCTCCCATGAATTTTGAGACACCCGACAAATGCTGTGCTCACATCTAACAAACGACATGGGTAATATATGAATAATTTTTCTAGGCTACTCACTGATGGAAATAATGCAAGTAGTGTTCCTACTAAACAACGGAATTAGTCAGCCTCCCAAGTCTCAGTTGATGACCGTACGTAACAAATACTCCCACAAAATATTCTTCGAAGTAGCGAGAACTCCACTAGTTAAAAACGAAGATCTATAACGATAGGCCAGTATTACGATCTTAGGATGTACATGTTTTATATTCATTTTTACATATTTTATTGACATTTTACATGATTGTTTCTTTGTATAATTTTGCAAGGTATACACAATACTAATAACTAATTTGTGATGCAATTTCTATAAAATTGTGTATATTTTTATCCAATGTTTTTAACAGAATTATATTAATTCTCAATATATAATTTTATTTTCGATATAAGCTTCAATTGTAATTGACTACCTACTTATCTCTTATTTTAGTATCTCGAAATATATTTTTAAAATCCTTATCACTGTTCCACTAGTAATTTCTTTTGTTGATTCTTCCGCAGCCAGGGCGATTAATGTACTTTGTTGTTAAATAAATAAAATAAAATTGCAAAATTTGTTTTGATCCGTAAGTATACAGGGTGTTTTTAAATATAAAAGTAGTAAAAGTGGTACCAGTGAATGTAGAGCCAAAAATAAGAGGATTGAAGTAAAAATACCTATATAAAAGTTGCACCCCTGAGGCGATATACCCTCTTAAAGGAGGGGGTTGAAATTCACATTTTATTATTATTAACATGGGAAATGCTAGAGACACGAAACTTGGTATGACCATCCTACAAAGAGACAGCTTTTCAATATTTTTTCGATCATTGGCGTATTTTATAAAGGAGTGAAACAGTCGACCACATTGCAATATTTTATTAGAAATTTTTTATATGAAGGAAATTGTTTATTTAAAAAATATTTATTGACAATACTGATTTATTGCACAACTTTTGTATCCCTTGTAATTTTTCCATAAAACCGATAGTTTTCTAGTAAAAAAATTAGATGCGTCATCGTTCACTAAAGGGGTAATTGCGAAAAGAGTGACTGTAAAGTTAGCCTATTTTCTCACCCTTACCAGAGACCTTAAAAAAAAATCCTAAAAATATTCTGCATATGTCAAATTATTGGTAATGAAAATTCAAGATGAGCATATTTTTTAGTTTTTCGAAAAGTGTCGAAAATCACCCCTAATTAGGGGTTGATATGATGACGCAAAACTAAAATGTATGAATAATATCAATATGAATAAAAGCAATTCTTATTGTATTTTTTCTATAAAATAAAATCTTACAAATAAGATAATTTATTTTCATGATTAATGAGGCCGTGATATAGTTGTAAGTCCACCCTTAAATTCGCCAAGGGGAAATACGGAAAAAATAAAAAATTACTTGAAAAATCAAAATTTTTCAAATATTTTTAGGGGATGATTTCACCCCTTGAGGGTTGATTTTTATAAAAAAAAAAAATTGGAATAATTAGGTCAAGTCTGCTTAATCTTTCTGATCAGAAAAGTAAGATCTATGGGCACACATGTTCGCACCCATTTTTAAGCACGTCGAGAGCGCCAGCAGGATGCGCCGGCGACCAGACGGGTACCCATATACCTACGACTGACTCCACACACAGGGACTCTCCAACAAACACAACACGTCTTTTCCTATACAAGTTTTCAATAAAATTCTTTATTATTACCGTTGAGAGAGCGTTTTATTCTTGCTGTACAGCGAAATCAAACCTCAAGTGGTGACCCCGATGTGATCTTTTCAGTAAAAGTACGTGATTTTATGCAGTTAGAGCATTTCATTCTTGCTGTACAGCGAAAGCTACCCTCAGATCTATTATAAAATATTCGACAGTTTTTTTATATCACTATGATATTTTCATATGTTATCACGTTCGGGGGTAGTTCACCCCTTCGTTACAGGGGTGGTTTTCATATAGATACTAGTGAGAAGTACACGATTTGAATTTCTAATAATTTAGAATATCCTAGTAACATTTGTAAGATTTTATTTTATAATAATAATAATATCTCTACTCCTCATTCTAATTACGAGAATTAGCACAGAAGTCGGAGACTTGTGCGGGAGAGGAGGCGGCATATTATTATTACGCAGGCCGCATTTGCGCCCAGGAACGACTTATATTGGTAGGCCCTAACCACCATTCAGTGCAGGAATGAGGGAAACCTGGAAAACCTCATTAATTAGGGGGGTGGTCAAATGCCAACCGGTGTCAATCTCTCACATTGACCCAAGCCAACATTCTTCCACCCTACCATACCTTATAGAACAAATACAATAAGAATTGCTTTTATCCTTATTGATATTATTTATATAATTCAGTTTTGCGTCATCATATCAACCCCTAATTAGGGGTGATATTCGACATTTTTCGAAAAACTAAAAAATATGCTCATCTTGATTTTTCATTACCAATAATTTGACATGTATGTTGAATATTTTTAGGATTTTTTTTAAGGTCTTTGGCAAGGGTGAGAAAATAGGCTAAAATTATGCTGTTTTTGCGGTCACTCTTTGTAAAAATAAAGTAGGCAGGTGTCATAACAAATAAATTGTTATTTATCATATTAATAAATTGACCCTTTCTGTCAACTAATAATTCGTACCAATTGATTAATTTATTATCAGAATAATTATGACAAATAATATTATACCAATGACGAATATGTGCTTATGCTCCAAGTGTTTTTCAAATCCGGAAAAAATAGTAACACTGCAGAAAGATTATAACCACCAAAGATCTCCAAACCGACCGATTCTTCATAAACAAACATTGGCCTCGGTGGAAAGAAGGCTTCGCGAAACTGGTAAAATTCAGCCCAATCGTGATAGTGCCGGAAGAAGGCGTAATGTCCGAACTGTTGAAACTGAGGAAGCTATACTGGAACACCTAGAACAAGACTGTGGTACAAGCACAAGACATGTGTACAGGCAACTGGAAATTTCTCAGTCTTGTGTGGAATGTAGCTCATGAAAATCTTTTATACCCTTTTCACCATCAACCCGTGCAAGAATTGAATTACCCTGATTCACCTAACCGCGTGGATTTTTGTCAATTAATATTTCCAAGCATGACTTAAATTTCCTAATACTTTTCACCGATGAAGCAAATTTTCGTAGAGTAGGTGCAGTAAACCTTCATAATGTTCGTTCATGGTTGGAAGAAAATTCTTATGAAATATTTACATCAAGATGTCAACATAATTTCAGTTTAAACGTTTGGATGGGAATTGTAGGAAATACTCTAGTAGTTCCTTTTATTCTTCCACACAGGCTTGGAGCGGCTGAGTATCTTAGATTTTTGAAGTAAAATCTTCCAACATGCCTCTGTTTGTTGGCCTGCACGTTCACCTGACCTAATGCCTAGGGATTTCTTTTTGTGGGGACATAAAAAGTATTGTTTATGCCACTCCTGTTGCCTCCTTAGAAGAACTACGCTTAAGAATATTTCAGGCAGCAGATGACCTTCGCAATAACCAAGAAATGTTTGTGCGTATGTGTGTGCGTTATAACTTCAACAGGTTATGGTTGCAGCAAAATGGAAATTATTTCGAGAATATTCTTTAAATTTAATTTTGCATTTCTTGTTTTTTGTTTGTATTAAATTTTATTTCAGATAAATAACTTTACCTAATACATGTCCCGTAGTCATAAGTTATCAAACATTTTTCATTAATTAATAGCAAATTATTCTTAATGTTATTATTAAATACCAGCGTATTGACAGAAAGTGTCAATTTATTAATATGATAAATAACAATGTATTTGTTATGACATCCGCCTACTTTATTTTTACAAATTTTCGCAATTACCCCTTTAGTGAACGATGATGCATCTAATTTTTTTACTAGAAAACTATCGGTTTTATCGAAAAATTACAAGAGGTACAAAAGTTGCGCAATAAATCAGTGTTCCCAATAAATATTGTTAAAGAAATAATTTGCTTCATATAAAAAATTTCTAATAAAATATTGCAATGGGGATGACTGTTTCACTCCTTTATAAAATACGCTAATGATGGAACAAATATTGAAAAGTTGCCTCTGTATTAGTAGGATGCTCTAGCATTCTTCATGTTAAAGAAAAAAAATTAAAATGTGAATTTCAATCCCCTCCTTTAAGAGGGTATATCGCCTCAGGGGTGCAACTTTCATATGCAGGATTTTTATTTCAATCCTCTTATTTTTGGCACTACATCACTGGTACCATTTTTGCTACTTCATTTAAAAACACCCTGTATGTTAAAATTAGTTGTGTCGAAATAAAATAAACATTTTAATTACAGCAACGTTTATTAAACTGGATAAATAAAAGAGGTAATAAATTAAATCTGTTAAAAAAATAATTGTGTGTATAATTTACATAATCTCAATATTCATATATTAGTCTTTGTTACTATGTAAAGTAAACATAAATTATAAGCAATTAAGTTACATTCGGCAGGTTATCAATACTTTCCTTGCGCTTTTTAACCCTTAGACATTTTTTACAAGGGTTTTCTGCGGGCTTCCAACATGCGGAATGATAACAACTACCACACTTCTCACACCTTACGACCTTTCGCATCTGCCAAGGGAATATAACTTCGTCGGCGTTACATATTTCACAGATAAATCCCCGTGCTAAACAAAGCTGAAAATAAAATTACAAAAAATTTCACACGGTTATTAGCGACCTACCTTGCATTCAGACGTATGCCTGCAGCAAATCTCCACCAGGATTTTCAGTCTAGATTTCATTTCTCCTGTACGAATATTGACTAAGTCTTCTAACGAAAACACCTCCGGATCGGAATAAAGGTGCGGCGTTTCCTGCTCCAATCTCTCTTGAATCCTTTAATAAAGATTAATGAGAAATATATGACTACTAAATGTTTCAAATGTATTGACCCATCATGAATTACAAAAAAAAAAATGGGTAGGCAAAATATTTGGTTTATCCTGTAGAATTTATTCTTTAAGGCTGCATTCTACAATATTTTGAATAAATATTTTTAAAATTTATTTGAATTAGTTTAATATCTTTTTAAAATGTAAAAATACATATAATTTTAAAAGATATCTAGTAGAAAGTAAAGTATAAAATAAAAAAATAATTTATCAATAAAATACATATACACGGTGCCCATTTTAATGTACCAGGCCATATAATTTTTTTATTTAGACATATAAAAAAACATTTCGAATAAAAGTTTCAGCTTTCGAGGGGATCAAGTTATGGTGACCTTGAAGTCAATTATCAAGGTCAACCTTGATTTTTTAAATGGAAATCTATATTTTTTATTTCAGATTCGTGTTCTGTGGGAAAAAATACATAATTTTCTTGTGAAACATTTTTTTTTAAATGCTTCGTTCTGTCGCCAGAGTGCACTATACTTTTACTGTTCCATTTTGGATGGTGAAAAATATTTTCAACAAAAGTTGTCAGGTTACGGGGGGATCAAATTACCGTGACCTTCAAATTAACGTTAAAGTCAATTGTCAAGGTAATTTCAAGGTCATCCTTGGTTTTTTTAAATGGAAACGCATATTTTTATTACAGCAAGCCTTTCCAAGAAAAATGTTTCATACAAAAGTTATGTATTTTTTCCCGCAGAATACGAATAATAAAAATATGGGTTTCCATTTAAAAAGTCAAGAATGACCTTGAAATGACCTTGATAATTGACTAAGGTTAATTTCAAGGTCACGGTAATTTGATCTCCCGGAAACCTGACAACTTTTGTTGGAAATATTTTTTCACCATCCTGCTTAATTCTTGAGATATTAGCCTAAGAATTAAAATAGAACAGTAAAAGTATAGTGTACTCTGGCGAGAGAACGAAGCATTTTCAAAAAATATGTTTCATACAATAGTTACGTATGTTTTCCCGCAGAATCGGAATCTGCTATAAAAAATATGGGTTTCCATTTAAAAAATCAAGGTTGACCTTGAAATGACCTTGATAATTAACTTCAAGGTCACCATAATTTGACCCCCCCTTTTAAAAGTCGCATTAAAAAAATTATGCAGCCTGATACATTAAAATGGGACGCTGTATAAAATAATATGTATAATGCAAATAATGGTAGTTTCCATATGGATCCAATGAACAAAAAAAATCCACCTCTGATTTTTTTTAAACTTTGGGATGTTGATTTACTTAGAAAATGACCTTTTGTTTTTCCGAAAAAAATTTTTCATGTCAAAGTTTACATCGTGATAGCGTTATTCCCAAAATGAAAATGCATATTTTCTTCAAGTGGCCGTTTACTTTTACCCAAATCATCCTATCGAAAATTTTTTTTTCAAAATGTGCAGTATTTCATCAGCTTTTAATTATTTTTTTCGTAATTCAAATTGCTTTAAAATTTTCTGAGATAAACGAGAAATACCAAAGAAACTTTTTTCAAAATTTTTCTCAAAAACCACACCTTTTATTTTCACCAAATTTGGATATGTTTTCCAAGGCCAAATAAGCTATCTTAGCCAAGTAGCAATATGCCAACTTGCTCCGTTGGGCAGATACGATTTCCAAAATGCATGTTTTTTTCATGTGGCCGCCATTTTGACCCAAATCATCCTGTCGAAACGTTTTTTTTTTTTTTCAAAATGTACATAATTTTATCAGCTCTAACCTGTTTTTTTAAGAATTCAAATTTTTTTTGAAAAAGAATGGGTCATAAAATTCAAAGTCCTGTTTCAAAAAAATCAAGAAGGTGGATTTTTTTTGCTCGTTGAATCCATATGGAAACTACCATACATATAAAATTAATGTTCCAAACAAAAGTAATGGTCATACGACTGTACTAAGTTTTGAGTTTACTTACGTTTCTGCATATTTACAAGTAAATATAAAATCTTTGAGATAATACAATCCTAATCTAAATCTCCTACAAAATAAGAGGTTTTTGGACAACTTTCCTATATTTTTGTTAAGTTCAAAAACTCTAAACAATGGATCCGTGTACATCTGTTCCAATAAACGATATGAAAATGTCGATACAGGATATCTAAAACAACGAAATGATTCAATCAGTTTTAGGTAATTAACGTCAATTTACGCTGATCGTACCTTACGAAATCCCACTTCTGCAAAACTCGTCCAGGTATTAGAGCCAGCTGGTTGGTGTGGCACCCTGTGCAAAAATATCTACCTAAGTATTCGCAATATCTAAATTTTGAGGCATATTGAGGAGCGACCCTCATGCTGCACCCTGCACATCGGTAATTCTGTTTTGCCATCAAAGCTTTTCTTCTGAAAAATTAAAACAAATGTGACAACACAAAGCAACTTTTTACTTTCACTTACGATGGTTGTGGGTGCAATGTAAAAATAATTTGAGGTCTAGGTGGTGCCCATTCCTGAGTACCACGAAGAGGTGTCACTGCCTCATCAGAATCGTCAGGACTGACTGGCCAACTCTTGGGAAGAGGTAAGAGAGCTTGTGGAGCATCTTCCTCCGAAACTAACCATTCCAAATCGGATGCCCTAAGAATAGTACACTGTGTATAAAAGCAATACATTCCCGGATGAAGATGTAAATTATTAGCCAAGGTGTTAAGCCAAAGTCAACAAGCACTGAAGTCCACGAGTGTTTTTTTTTTTTAATTGAAATCACAACCAATATTGCTGTAACTTAAGGAATTTTTATTAATTCAGAAATCGTTTCTGTGATTATTGCATACTTTCTGATTTACCTACAAAGTTGAAAGCATCTATGCTTTGATCAAATTACTCCATGCTTAGAGCAACACTTAGTAGAGATGTTTTAAAATCTTATGAGCTTTGACCTTCATATGCGCAAAAACATAATTCCGACCGTCGCCTAAATTATTCTATGTCCTAAAAACATTACACCTATTATTCACAGTCTCTCTCGAGCTCTAGTGTAAACAAGCCTTTGAACCGATTACAAATATCATAATAAAAATGCCCAATTCTTTATTATCTTAATTGAAACAATAAAAATATATATAACGAACGTTCGCCAGTTGACTTTATTGTTGCCCGAGCGCCTTAGTTCATGTCTACTTGTAATGATGCACATGCTCTAGTTCTGAGTCAATGTTTTCACAACGTGCTTATTAGAAGAATTATGGGGATACGCCACGCATTTCGCGGCTCATGAGATATTAAAAGAACTCTACAAGAAGTAAAGAGCTTAGTTTATTAACTTACCGTGGTAATTGTTTTTCACTAAATTTGCTTATCAACGATAGTGCCACACTTTCCGCTGACAATATGTCTGAGGCGCCATCTGGAGCGCCTCTAGGTCGTTTCATAATATCGGATTCGGAATAAAGTGACGCCATTGACATGGATAATCCGGTATTCTCTTGTAAATTCGTGACTTGATCTATCTCCAAGTTCTCCACATCATCAGAGCTGGCACAATCAGACATGGAGTCTGGAGTTGTAGAACATGGGCTAACACTAGTAGTGGCTAAAAGTGTAAATTTACTTGACCATTTGTTGAAACATCAAATTTGTAAATACACTTTATTTTATTATACACAGGGTGTTCCAATATTACATGTACATTCAACTACTACAAATTCTTGAAGTCAAAGTAAGACTAACTTTACGTCTAACCAAAGTTCCTTCGTTCAACTGCTAGGTGATGCCAAAGTTGGCAATAAATTTTGGTGTTTTTTTTTCCAAATAACTTAAACTCAGATTTAAATAAAAAGCTAAAACTTGCACAAAGATGTCACTTTTTGACATGGTAAACAAAACAATTACATTTAGAAATGTGGAAAATATCAGCGGCACTAATTAAATGTGGTTATTTTTTTGTGCATAACCTTAGACCTTTAGTCGTAATTTTATCAAAGGTGAAAGCGCATACAAGAGACAGTCATCCACTGATTATTTCTTTAAATAAACCCAGGGACTGCATGTTTTCTAGATAAGTGAGATGATATAACATTTACCAACACGATAGTTGACCACTGACTGCTGTCGTAATGAATTCCATGCAGCACACATATATAGCTCTAAATTGAATACTGTTACCTCAACTCTAATTAGAATTGAAGTGAATTATCAGAGACCGAGAACATGCGCAGCTGATCAACAATGTAGTTGACCATTTTTTAACCTATTTGACTGTCAATCCAGAGAATAGAGCATATATTATACTGTATACGCATGCAACTTACAGGTCTGGCATCAGTTCGCAGTCAGGTGCGCCCCAGCATAGGCTATTTATTTATTGCTATGAACGTTGATGTAGAAAAATTGATCAGCAATTTATAGGACACCTCTAACAGAGATTATAAAAAATTTTAAGAAAAATGCGTGGGATAAAGTATTGAACTAATAATTGGAAAGGGTTACATTACATGAACTTGATGAAAAACTACTTTTCATGATTTGTAGGATGAGCAAAATATAAAATGAAGGTGCTCATTATTTTTTCAACTTAAATGTATCATTGAAAATGATGAACATTACCAATAATATTTATAAAAAATATTCGATTATAAGTTTCTGAATTCCTTTCATTTTTATTATGAAATAATTAAAATATTTTATGATAAATATGATTTGTATTTACAAAATTTCCGAGGAAATCATTTTTACGAAACTCCATGAATACAAAGCTTTTTAAAGATTGATCAATGGAAAATAAATACATTAAATACTCTTACTCTTATCATACTTCTCTTTTCATTAAATAAATAAAACATTTTGACCTTATAAGAACAACGAATAATTGTAAAACTTACTATCTGTTTTTGCCTCATTCAACATCGTTGCAGTCCAAACCTTTCTATGCTTTTCAACTTCCTTCTGCCTCCGTCTTAATCGTATCCTCTGTTTAAGATCCATAATTTCAGGATCGCTGTCATCTAACTGCTCATCAATCAATTTTGATTCTCGTTTGCACCTAATTTGTTCCATTGCAGAAATAATCGCCTCGGATATATTGAAGTGCGCATTTTCTCTATCTAACTCAGCATTTGCTCTAGCGAACTGACTGGAAGTTAAAAATGAGAGGAGACTCTGACCTTTCGTAGGTTTGGGGAAATATCCTGTTGCCATTGGAAGAACACTCATACCTCCATCTTCAATGAACGTCTTTTTAGGTAACTTTTTATAATCTTTTTCTCCAGGCATTGGCAGAAATGAATCTACCACAGATAAAGGTGAATGAGCTAGGTTACTTTTATTTCTAGTTTCTGGCATGGACCTGGTGGAATAAGTTAAGTCGTCATTAGGTACCGTGCCGCTGCTTTGAGAACTGCTTAATGGAGGAGTATGCTCCACTATATTACAGTTATTTATCAAAACATGTTTTTTCACTTCTTGGGGTTTCCAAGTACAATTCTTTTTCAGGTTAGTTTTACGATGTTTGGTTTGTAACGAACTGTAATCAACTTTAAGTGCACTAGGCGACAATTTAGACATCTTTTTAGTATGAACTGGTGTGGACGGTGTTGTTTTACTACAATTTGCATTGATCTGTTCTCTGACTTTTAAACTATCTATTTGCAAGGAGGGCATACTACGCCAAGGTTTTAATTTCCCTTGAATATTCACCTGTTTGAGACCTGCTTTAAATTTTGTGCTATCTTGTAGTCTTCTATTACATTTCCGAATTCGTTCTTCATAAACAGTTTTAAAATGGTTGTCGGGAAAAGAAGAACACCTTCTGTGTGCCTTGTGAAATTCTTTAGCATTAGTTTTGAATAAAAATAAACAAGGATTTATTTCAGACATAAGACTAGGTTGATTTCGTTCCACAGCTCTCAAGCATATAAGGGTAGCTTCGGCATACTGTTCTTGGCAAAGAAAGGCATACAACTGATAACAGTCGGATACATGAGATTTATCAGAGAGAAGCCAAGACAGTTTTTGTGACAAAGAATGATTTTCTAAGCTCCTATATAACCAAATTGATGACTTATTATCTTTAAGATGTGAGGGTATATGAGGTCTATATTCACAGTCGATTGAAAAATAAGATTTTGCATTCTCAGGTTGCAACCATTCGAGACCATGGATAAAATTGAAAAAACCTGGTTCCTAAAACAGAGCATGTTAAGAAATTTCTTATTATGTATCACAGTTATCTTACTTCCACAGAACTTTTACAGCCATGTGTAAATATCTTTTCTACTGTGTTGTGCAGTCTGTTGAGGCCCCCATATATTGACCAAACATTTGCTACTTGTGTGACTAATAATCCTTCAACTGTACTTTTTAGGTCCCGCAGAAGTTGTTGATACTTAAGAGAATACTGACTCGTTTCCATATTTCGTTCTGCTTCAGAGCACCGTTTATTCAAACTCAAACCATATCCACTCCATTGTGAGATGTAAACATTGTAAACTGAAATTGTATACAAATCTTTTTTTTCTGAAACGCCCAATCACCTGATAAGAAGAATTATTTTAAAGCCCACAATCCACATAAAACATAAAAGTTATTTACCAGTAGTTTTCTTCTTCTTCTCCATCAAATATTAAATTGGTCCGAGTTCCTGTACGTATTTTGTAAATTGCCCTTTAGGAATTTGAACTCTGGGAGTTTTTAAATTAAGGTTAGAATTCCTATTTTGAGAGTTTAGATCAATAAATTTGCATTTTTTCACTAAAATTTTCAATTTTTTATCAGTCAAATCACTATACACCTGCCTATATACTTTTAAATGTCAATTTAAATACAGGTTATAAAATATCAGCTGAATATTATAATTTTCAAAAGGTAAACTTTTTATTAAGTAACTTGATAAGTATTTATCTCGGATGTCGAAAGTTTATGAGTTTTATTAAAATGATTAGGTATTAAATGCAGCTGCAGCTTAAGGTAATGGAATCAAGAGAAACATCTGAGCTGCAACAGCTAGTGTCCAGTGATGCAGAAAATGAAGACAGCATTGTTCAGGATGATGTTGAAGGGAAAGTTGCTTCTATAAAAAATAGCAAAGTGGTATGTACATATGTTTTAATAAATTATTGAATTAATATTATTTAAGGAAGAGAATTACAGTAGAAAATAATGTACACAGTGTATGTTATATATTTATTTAAATACATGATATTTGTAGATTTCATCAGGAAATACAAGTCACAGTTCAGTAGCTCATTCGATGAGAAAAGGTCATACTGGCGTTAACACGGGTGGTTTAAAGATATCTTTTGTGAACGAAAGGAAAATAAGAGACACATATAAAGGCAGTACTGTAAGGCCTAGAAATCCTCATAAAGGTAAGTATATAGCCTATGAATGTAATGTATTTGTATTATTAGAGTTTGACGTAAGTTTTTAATTACTATTGGTTTTTTTATTGGTTTTATCTCATTTGTCCACTTATGTAATGTATAGTTTATATTTTTCTTTTCTTTTAATTTATTTATTTGTTTTATTTATATTCACGCATGTAGAAAACAGTAGTACAGATATCCGACACCATTCTTTTATATCTCAAGTACCAGACGTGAGGCATATGGAACGGGCCCTATTGGGTCTACTTGCAGACTTCCATTCTGGAAAATTACGAGCTTTCGGTAGCGGGAGTACCATGGAGCAAATGACAAACATAAGAGAACAGCAAGAGAAGCTTGCTAAACTTCATTTCGATCTTGGTTCAGCAACGGTGCCATCGTTAAGCGACGAAAACATACAACATTCACAAAACACAATGAGTCAGCTGATACAAAGGCTAGAGCAGCTAAGTGTATCAATTGAGGGTCTTCATAATAATACAAATAAATAGACTGTTAAGTTTCTTTTAATGGTACTACTATATTGGTATCAAATGCATGTTTTATATACATATTTTTAAGCTAATATCAAATTTATTGTAGCATTTATTTATTAATTACTGCATTAAAAAAATGTGTTATAGAATTTAGGTCTTCATTTTTCACATTATTAAAAAAGAAAATTTCAGTTATTCAGCCAGTATTAAATAAAATTATATAAAAACATTACAATTAATCATGTACTATATTTCTATTTTTGAATTTTTTATCATTTTTCAAAAAAAATCTCAAATTACATAAATAGATGTGGCTGTTTTTAATTTTTAAATAAATATTATTTATATGATAATGGTTTTTATTTTAAAATGAGGAATAAATACAATTTAAATTTTGTCTTTCTATAAAAATTTAATAATGCTGATGATCATTAAATAATATAATAACAATAATAATCGTTTCTAATATTTTATTTTAGTTAATTCCTTTGTGATGTGTAGGTCCCAGGATCTGATTTTCTCTTCTCTAAAACAAACATATATCAGAAAATTGTACATGTATTATGTATTCAAATCAGTACAAGTTAAAAAATGGTTTATCGGTATCACATAAAATTTTAAATAAGTATTTATAACAATGAAGAAAATTTAATTTTGTGAAAAGTAAAAAACACCCGTTTGTATTTATCAATTGATTGTGAAAAAAATATTTTACACATACGTGTCCAACCTATTTCAGGGCTATCATAGATCTATTGAACTGAACACTACCTAATATTTAATTATAATTAATGTTAATGAATAAAATAAATATAAATTTAAGACTAGATATTTAATAATTTTCACTAGACTTAGATAGCTAGACCTACTAATTTTATTTTCAGCAGCATTTGAGGCAGAAACAAAAGTTCTTTGTAGTTTTGTCTTTTTCGTCTCACGATAATCTTTTGCAACATCTTTCGAAAGCTCCGCGATTTTAACCATTAAAGCAGCAGGATATCTAAAATACAAACACACTTATTATAATCACTACAGTTGTGTGTTTAATTTGTACATACATGCATCCCATGAATTCCATATTTGTGAATGTTTTTGCTAAAGCCACTAGGTAATCTTCTGGAAATTTTCCTTTATGAACTTTCATAAATTCTCGACGCAATTCCCAATGATGTTCGGGTTCTGTATCATCCCTATATTTGTCTATATCCCAATTTGTTGAGTATGTTTGTGTCATTTTAAATATTAAATTAGCCTTAAAATTTTTTAAAGTAAATGTCAAAAAGTTGGGTTAAGTTGACAATAAGAAGTTAGAAGCTGAAGTTGAAGTTACAGAAGAAGAGAAGAAAGAAGTTAGCCGTTTCCAAAAATTCTAAAATTAAGGTACTTATGAAATACATCTATTTGCAGAGAAATTATAGAAATTATTTCAAGTCAGAACTAATTATTATTAAATTCATTTTTTATTTTATTCTCAATAGTAATGAGAAATGTAGAATTAATAATTATTTGTTTCGTCGTGAAAATGTAGCTAAACATTAAAAATTGATATTTATGTAATATTCTTTCTAGTGTTGGTGGTTCTGGCTACCTCGTTTGAAAAGTTTGGGTTTTACTTGGGATTCTATTAAATAATAGTGTTAGAGAAATTAGAAATTTTATTTCATTATTTAATTTTTTTTACCAAATTATACTGATATTAAGGATTAGTAGTCATAATAAAATTTAAGGTATATTATTTTTATTCTTTTTGTCATTCTATATAAATCACGCTATGGCGGTTTCAAACATAACCTTTTAAGTATGGATCTTTTTTGTAGATTTAAAAATGCACGAAGAAAGTGGAGACGAAAAAAGAAAACGAGTGTCAGTGGGCATATATGTTAGCTGCCCACCAAATATTAAGGGAGCAATAGAAACAATTTTTGAATATGGATATCATTTTCTTGTGACTCAACTTACGCATCCTAACTACACCAGAATACTGCAGAAGGGAAAGTTTCCAGCAAGTATTGGAAGAACTGACCGTGTATTAAAAAGTTCAGAATGGAGCCGTTTAGTAGTTGGGGAATTGACATCTCATATAGATGTTGATAGTGAAGTCGAACATATTCAGGAGAATAGCAAAAATTTATTTTTACAAGAATTAGGTTTTGCCACTCATCTAAGTGTACCTGCTATTTTAATATCTTTAACAAAATCTAATAATATCCAACTGGCTAGGATTTTGAATGACAAGTTGAATTCTGGCTTTAGCTATAGTGTTTGGATTAACATTCCTATGATTCACCCATCCAGGTACAGTCCTATTGCCGAAATGGAATATGACACGTGGGATTGGTGGAATGACTTCCGTACTTATTGCAGCTATGACAAACGTCTTGGAATAGTTTTAGAATTACCCGACATTAAACATAACGTCCCAACTTATGAATTGGAGAGATGGATAGGAGAACCTGTTAAAGCTGTTGTGATACCTACGTCTTTCTTTTTAACAAACCAACATGGTAAACCCGTTCTCAGCAGGGCACATCAAGATATTATTAAAAAATTTATGAGTATAGACGTTCAGTACATCATTAAACCAGATACCGAAGGTGACCTGTCAATGTATGTAAGGTATCTCCATTTCCTTGGTAAAAAGTTATATGTTCAAGATACTATGTCGGAGTTTGTTCAAGGTTGCGAGGACTTTTTACAGAATCCTTTACAACCCTTAACGGAACATTTAGAAACAAATATATATGAAGTGTTTGAGAAAGATCAAGTTAAATACGATACATATCAAAATGCAGTATATAAAGCTATCGAGGCGTTTCCCAAAGAGAATGGGAAAGTACCCGTAGTTATGGTAGTGGGAGCAGGTCGAGGACCTTTAGTGCAAGCAGTTTTAAATGTATCTTATACTTTGAATCGGAAAGTAAAAGTATATGCAGTTGAAAAAAATCCATATGCAATTAACACCTTGATTGACAGAGTGAACAATGAGTGGAACAATAAAGTAACTCTGATAAATGAAGATATGAGAACGTACGAACCCCCTGAGAAGGCAGATATATTAGTTTCGGAATTATTAGGATCTTTCGGGGACAACGAATTATCTCCCGAGTGTTTAGATGGTGCTCAAAGATTCTTAAAAAAGACCGGTATTTCTATACCTTATTCTTATACATCTTATTTAGCACCATTACAAAGTATAAAAATTTTTAATGAAATTAAAACCAATAGGCCTATAGATAAAAGTCTTCTTAACTGTTTCGAAACGCCGTATGTTGTACATCTAGTAAATTATTACCAGATAGCTCCTCCTCAGGAACTGTTTTCATTCACGCATCCAAACTGGAGCGAAAAAATCAACAATCAAAGGTACAAGAAACTTAAATTTCAGTGCAAGCAAACTTGTGTGTTAACGGGATTTGCTGGGTTTTTTGAAACAGTCCTTTTTAAAGACGTTAATCTTAGCATTCATCCCGATACTCATACGCCGGACATGGTTAGTTGGTTTCCTATAGTTTTTCCACTGCCAGAACCAATTCACCTGACGGAAGGTGCCGCTATCGAAGTATCTTTCTGGAGGGCAGAATCTGAGGACAAGGTTTGGTATGAATGGTGCTTGGAAGCTCCCGTAAAAGGAGGTATCATGAATCCTAACGGAAGGTCCTATTTTATAAAAAAGCATTAAGTTCCAAAAAATGATCTGTAAACTTTTTTATACCAAACGTATTATTGTTTAAGCTATAATTTTTTAAAAAAATTGTTAAGTTTCAAAACAAACTTTTTTCCAGGTCTTTAGTACCAATAATAATTTTAGTTTATATACTTGTCCGATTTTGTCTGCTTGATATATTGAAATTGTTTTTTTTTGTATGTAAGTATAAAATACTGTTATTTTCTTATGTCCAATATGATTTGATTTCACGTTACCTTTATATTTAACTAAAGAGATCCAACAAATTTGGTTAGTAAAAAATTTAAATAAGGTTTTACTTTTTATGGAGCCACTTATATTTTATTAAAAATTGAAACGTTTTCACATTAAAGCTCAAAATAATTACCTACAAATCGAATATTCTGATACAACTAAATTTGGTTTTATTCAAAGGCTTTGTATTCTAAAATTAAAGAGGGGTAGTCTCTTTTCTCTTTTAAATGTATTAGCGTTCGTTTTTTTTCCTAAGATATAAATTTAATATTATATTGGAATTTAGCTCCCCAGAAACCTCTCGCTACCAAATTCTACTGAATTCTACTGCCCCTAAAATTTTCACATTTACTGAAAATAATCGCAGTAAAAGATACCCAGCAAAAAACCAAACAAAATAATATAACAGCATTAAATAACTAATTAATTTTAATTAACCAATTGATATCATACAGGGCGATTTCACTTTAAATACAGGAACTGCAATAATAGATTAATTGCTAAAAATAGTTTCCGTAAACTTTTTTCCTGCGGGATGTGGCATTCGAGATACAGTGTGTTTCCAAAAAAAATTATATTTTCTGTCATATATTCATATTGCGCTGAACGATATAAATGTAACTGCAGCGTTTTCACTTAATTAGACCTTTTGTTTAATATAATATTAACCTCGTGGCATTAACCAATGACGTGCCACTGAAAGTGCCGCTCCGTTTTCTCAAGAAAGAAATACGCAACTGGCGATTTTTTGTAGCAATAATGATAAAACTTCTTGTATTTTATATTAAAACTAGCTGACCCGGCAAACGTTGTCTTGCCATCTTGTGGAACTGTGGAACAAAATAATATAAAAATCGTATAAGGGTGAAAATTTAGAACTGTATGTATTTTTCAATGCTGAATCATGAAAAAATAAAAACAGAAAATTTTGTCCAAAAAATAAAAAAAAAAAACTTGGGGTGGACCACCCTTAACATTTAGGGGTATGAAAAATAGATGTTGGCCGATTCTCAGACCTACTCAATATGCTCACAAAATTTCATGAGAATCGGTCAAACCGTTTCGGAGGAGTACGGGAACGAACAATGTGACACGAGAATTTTATATATAAGAAGATGATAGGCAAACAATTCTGTTCCGAGTACTGGCACTGAGCGTTTTGCTTCACGTAGTATATTTTGCAACATTTTTAAAATGATGTCAATCCCAAAAATCTGATCAGGAAAACTTAACCCCGAAAATTTTGGGACTCAAAAGCGGTCGGGATCCCAGGATTGAATCCTCTAGTTACAAGGCACCTACAATGAGATGGAACCTTTTAATGAGTTTATCTGACGATCTTTTTCAATCAATAATTTAAAAAAGTTGTGCCTAATAAAGAAATAATACGAATTTATGAAATGTTTTATTATTTCTAATTAGTATTGCTAATAGTAGTAAAAAAAATTGTTGGATATTTTGTGCTGGATTGACTGATTGACTTTTATACTATTATGACTTTCTCCAATAGATATTTTGAGTGTTCAGAGTCGTACTCAGGAAAAGTTTTAAATGATAGCTAAAACAAGCTAAAAACCTTTTTAGTACAATTACAATGGTAATATCATCGAATTCAGAATTAAAAATGATTTTGTCATAAAAATAGTGACGTATTTAAAAAATTTACCTGATGATGGTCCCTCGAAGACGAAACGTTGGATTGCAAAACTGTCGACGCCATCAGATAGAGCGAAAAAAGTGGAAATGTAAATATGCAATTTATTTTAAAATTCGTCAGAAGCCAGAAAAAATACGATTTTGCAAAATTTCGGATTTTTTCGGATATCTCTGGAATTAGCCGGAATTTTAAAACTTTCTAAACGGCATATTATTAGGTATAAAAACACAACTTTTTTCTAATTTGAGCCACCCCGTATCTCTTACGATTTCCTAGATCCTAATGTTATCCCGTCCTGATCTTCCACAGACTGTATGTATATAAATATAAATTTTTGTTTGTATTTAGTATTATAACTACAAGTTTTCCTTTGCATTTTTTTATATGTCAATTTGTATGTATCTACATAAAATAAATTCCTACAATACTTATTTTGCATCTGTATTACATATCTGGAAATTTTAAAGACGTTTCAATAATCCAGATTTTTCACTAATACAGATTGCCCCAGTCTTAACTGATCCGGATTAGCGAAGCTTCACTGTATTTTAATATTCATCAGCTGCCAATGGAGAAAATCTGATTAAACTTACTGAAAAATAGTAACTATTTTGTTGATAAGAAAATTAAATAAGTAAACACAAAACGATTATTAAATAATATAATTTTATATAATAAAACCATAATTTGGCACTTACTATAAAAGCATAATAAAATTCGTTTATGTACAAAATAAAATTATAAATAATACTGTAACAACTTTTACCTACGGCTATGTACTTATTTGCTCTAACAAGAAAAATTAATGCTTACGCAAATTTAAACATTAGCTACAATTTGCCTGAACACAAATTTTCCAAACTTACATCGGTACGCTTAGGACCGGTACTTTAAGCACAGTTAAACCTTGGTTAGTAATCAGACGATAAGATTAATGAGCAAACTATACAAAATATGTGTATATATTCACAGTCTTAACTTGCGATTAGTGAACCAAGCCTTAATCAGATAAAAGTACTGATCCTGAATAACAACAATATATATCTTGTTACATCATCACCAGACTTATTAATTCTATTCATTACTTAATACAACAATATTAAAAACAGAAAAAATCAGGACAATGTAGAAAGGTACAAATACGAGGGATGAGTAAATTAATTAAATTCTCTATATTTGTTCTTTTTGGCTTTTCTGTATGGAATATCAGAGCATAGAACCAAGTTGAAAAATAAACTTGTACCGAGAGTATAACCACTCCGCAATACACATACATTTTTTCCAGGAAATCGTTTGCAATCATTCGCAATTACGCAGAAATCGCCTACAATCTCGAGCTTTGACAGGAAATCGCCCGCAATCCGACAACCTACTCTGCACCAAAATCACTTAAAACGGGTTGCGGTGTGGATTGTGATTCTTAGTTAGCGGATGTTTAATATTGTTTACCAAAAACAATACCTAGTTTTAATGCCAAAAAGAGTGAGTGTCGCTATTGCAGATTAAATTTGAACACTCTGTAATATACAGGGTGGGCCACCCATAACGCCTAGGGATCAAATGGCAAATGTTATAGAAACCTGTTTAGGTGGGTACATGTGGGTTAATATACATTTTAAAAATATATTTAAATATACAAGGTGTCTAGGAAAAACGTACCATATCAAAGTTATGTATTTTTAAATGGAACACCCTGTATTTTACTGCATTTGTGAAAGCATAATAAAAAATAGGGGAACTAACTTTATTAAAGGTTCTGCATACCTAAGACTTATTGTTCGAGATATTTAAATTTTAGTGAAAATGCAGAATTAGCATAGAAATTTAATATTAGCAATAAAAAAATAATTTTAAGGAAGCAGCTTTGGAGTGTATTTTAGATCCTTGAAGTTATAATTTATTATATTTGCCGTCACTTAGTATTGTACAGGGTGTTCAAAAAACTGCTGAATACTTTTCTCAACTTTAAACAGAAATAACTGGGTTATTTTAAATGGGACACCCAGTATATTTTTACTTTGGAAGGTAGGAAATTTAAAACTCAAACTGTATTGGTTCCCTATACCTATCTTTAAAGGTATTGGAGATATTTGTGCCGTTTCGTTGTTTACTGAATTTTTTTGCAAGATATGTCAACGTGTCTTTATCGAGGTTAATACAGGGTGTTCCATTTAAAAATACATAACTTTGATGGTAGGCTTTTCTTGGACATGCTGTATATTTCAAAATATTTTTAAAATGTAGCCGTAATCAACCTATACATACCCACTTAAACAGGTTTCTATAACATTTGCTGTTTGGTCGCTAGCCACCGAGGCGTTACTGGTGGCCCACCTTGTATAATGAGCATGTCAAGAGTAGGAATAAATTAATTTAAAATGCAAACATTTTTTTCTCCAATAAACACACTTACCTGTCAATTTTTTATTGTAGTTGGTGATTTTTGTATTAAGCTGCATGTGTACAGGGTGGCCCAAAAAAGATATGCCGAACTTAATTTACGAAAAAGGAAACCTCCATTTTTTGTTTCATTTATTAATTTAATGTACATTTCTTATATTTCATGTACCACCTCATGTGTCTGTCTAAACTGAACTGTTTTCGAGAAAATCTCAGTTGTAAAAGGAAAAATAATAAATTTTATTATTACTGCAACTCATTATTAATAAATTTGTTAAACTGATGCATGAAATTATTTCAACGTTTGTTCAAATTGACCTGTAGAACATTATTAACCATTTACATTGAAATTTTCTCGAAACCAGTACAATTTAGATACAGGATATACAGTAAGAAATATAATTAGAAATTTACGTTCAATTGAATTCACAAATGAATCAAAAATTGGATTTTGATTAAAAAAAATTATTAGCCATCTATTTAAAGCAATCGCTGGCAATTCTAGTGATTGCAGGCAAATCGTCGGATTTCTTAAATACATTACATTTTTTTGCAGTGTGGTTACCTCGTCGGGTTGTACTTTTAACAAACATCACAAAAAAAATTAAATGTAAAAGCAAGGTAATCGCAAAATTAAGATTTTGTTCTTCAAAAAGAAAAATTGTTGAGATTGCAGTTTAATATCTCATAAAATGCAGTCGTTAGCAAAAAAAAACAGAAATATTTTGTCAAAATTAAATAGAAATTCTAAAATTTTTTTAAATTAATATACCTGACATACCTCACTTTCCATAGAATCTTAATAATAAATAATGTAAAATTCAATCTATTTACAATAATATTTCCATATATTAATTAAAAATCAATAAATATCAAATGTCATGATATTTATCACAATATGTTGGTGTTATCAGTTACTGCACAGCTAACTATTTCATTTATATAGATTCTAAAAGCTCTGTAGTAATATTCTTAATCACAATAATAAATATGGCTTCTAATGGAAGTATGCAATTCAAGACTTCTGTAACTGTTGAAACGATTTGATAAGAACAAGTTAGATATATGCATACCCGTTCATCACATAAAAAGGTTTTAACTTCACCATCGAATAATTATTCCTCCTTGGTTAAATCCGACATCATTGTACAGGGAAACAAATGGAAAACTATTCACGGGGTGTTACTTTTCCCCTGTTTCCTTAACAGACTGAGACTGCTCTGCGGATTAGCCAAGGAATAAGTTTCCGGTTCAAATACCGGAGGGTATTCCAAACCCGGATAGTCTGTATGTGGGCTGATGTTCATGGAAAAAGGCTCCGAATTTACTGGGGGCGAATTTTCTAATGAGTAGGTGCTCTGGGAGATAGAAACCGGCTAAAATGAAAAAAATATATTTACTGGCTCTTTCATTTTTATACATTTCATATCCTATTAATTTAAAAGGTTTTCTAAAGTAAGCCTTTGTTCAGACAACTTTAATAACTTTTACTGAAAAAACTAAAGGTACATTATAACGTAGTAACATTCATTGTATTATAAAACCGCTCTCTGAGTAGGTAGCTACGTTCAGACGTATTGCGCAGCGAAAGGGTTAAGGGGGAATATCCGAGTAGAAAAAAATGTTTTTTTTTTCAATTTTTTTTCGCTCATCTTAAAATTTGTAGTCTTAGGAATATTGTGTGTAAATTTCATATTGAAATTCCAATAATTTGTGGAAGTTATGGACAATTTATCAGCATGCATTAGGCATGAAGGTAGGATCAGCACTGCGAGATCGAAGATGCGGAACGCGTGCATAACACTTAATTGAAAACTCAGGACACAACCCCTGAAGGGAGGATTCAGCGAAGGCAGTCACGGATCGCTGCAGAAGATGCTGTTAGTGCTGCGGAGGGCGTACTCTATGGTCTTGGAATAGCAGATTAACGGTAAAGTAAAAAAAAATTTTTTCTCAATATAATATTGATTAATATTATTATGTAATTATGAATTTTTTACAAAAATCGATTTTTCTAAAAAAAATTCTCCAAGTTTGGAATATGAAGAATATCATGTGTAAAAGTTATCTCAATATTTCAAGAACTGTAAAAGTTATGGGTGATTTACCGAGAAGCTGACAAGCGATTAAATTCCCAAGCAGGTCAATTCTTTGCCAGACTTCAAACGTGATTACTTGAAACATATTATTCAAAGACGGTTTCCAAGATATTCGAAAAACGGCTTGATCAACTGCTTCCAAAATTTGACATAACATTTTCGAACAGGTTTTCTATTTTGGAATGTAGGATTTTTTTTTATCAAGCCAGAAAGGTCGGAAATTAAGGTTAAAAAATAAATGTAAAATTCAATCTGCCGTAATTTCATGAAAACAATCTTTTTTTAATAATTTTTTAAGGTTGCAAAAGACATCATACATTGCATTTTGAAAAATTTTTTCAAATTTTTATCTCAAAACAACCCACTGTATGTAATCTTTGGAACAGCAGACCTTGCGAGCGAAGGACATTTTTTACCTTGTACATGACAGCAACACTCCCAGAAGAAGTTTGTCATCATTCCTCAACATGTATACTTTCAAATAAAACAAACCAGGATAAAATCGAACAGATAGTTTTTGAGATAATAATTCCTAAAATTCGCCTATTTTTTCTGCTGCCTACTCGGATGTTCCCCCTTAACTACTTTTTAATCCTTAGGAGGTAGTGAGATATACAGGGTAGTACAAGTAGGGTATTCCTGAGTTAATTCTAAGAAAAAAAGTTTATATAAACCTTTGTCTGGAAATGCTTCGTTTCTGAGATACAGGGTGTTGAAATTAAAATTAAACAAAATCATTATTACAACAGCTGCTGAAAGTGGCTATTCCCAACATTAATACAAGCTTCTGCCCTCCTCACCAAAGAATCCCGTAGCTGTTAGAAAAAACTTTTGACATTAAAATTCTCAACAACTTCAATACCCAAGGGACTCAGCAAATTGCATCTTTGAAAAAATTTGCAAATTTCTCGAAAACTGTGGCTTCTAGCGTTGTTAAGGAAGTGTATGTTTTTTTTCTTAAAAAAGATGTAGGAATATGGTTTATTCATTAAAAATTGCAGAAGTCTTCTGTCAAAAATGTTATGGCAAATTAAAATTAATAATGACAGCGTATGTAGCGCCCTCTAAGTGCTGCACAAAAATGAATACCAAATTATGATTTCTCACTTAAAAAAAACCCTGGTTACCAAATTTTGTGTAAAAAATTTATATTTCGTAAAAGTTATTTAAGAAAATTGAAAATAAAATTTTAATTTCAACACCCTGTATTTCAAAAACGAAGCTTTTCCGGACAGAGGTTTATATAAACATTATAAATTTTTTTCTTAGAATTAACTCAGGAATACCCCACTTAAATATTTTAACGTACTTAGGTTACACCCTGTATAAAACTGATAGACAGAAATAAGAAAAAACTATATTGATTACTTACTTGTGTAGAGCCTGAGGGCCAACTTAAATCAGATCCAGAATTGTGCTTTCTAAAAATAGCCCTGTGCAACTTCGGGGAACCTAGGAACGTTTTTTCCTTCTTACTATCCGACTTTCCAAACATCTGCTTCAGTTTTCCGGTCTTCTGAGCCTTTTCATCCAAATTAAGCTCGAATGCAAATTTGGGTTTTGACTTAGGGTCCTGACTCAACGGCAGTGACATAGGAGTGTACTGCACGGCAGATTTTAACTTCACCTTGCTAGAAGAGGAATCTTGAACTTTTCCACTGAACGACAAGGAGTTTGACTTTGTTTTCTTATCCGCTGAAGAAAAACTGTGCTGCTTTTTGATCTTATTAGCTTTTTTTGGAGTATCTTGGTACATAATGTCGTCTAAAGTTCTATTCTGAGCAAATTGAACATCGTTAATAGTCTCGGGGCAGTAAATCATCTCGTACGAACGTTCTTTGAAGGTCCCTGGTAAATTCCTATCCGAGGAATACTGAGATGCGTTATGGGTAGAGTTACTATATTCGTCAAATGGAGTATAAGTTTCTTGTACTTTGTGGGTTCTCGGTAGCGACCTGTTCACTTTTTGATCGTAGCCTTTTGTAGTTTTAGGATACGTTGCTGTTTTGTTTTCAAAGTCGTCTGTTTTATTATGAATCTTTTTTAAGGAACCTAAACGCTTTCCGAAACATGAACTACCGGAATCGCTTTTATCAGACGTAGATGGAGTTCGAGTATGTGAAGTCTTGGAGCTATTTGTTGATGATTCCGGTTGATCTTCAGAGTTCTTCGAGCGAATTGGTATTTCCCCTATTAATTTCAGAAAGAAAATCACCACTTGCGAGAAAATATTACATTTTTTGGAAGGGAATGTTAACAAAAACCTATTTAAAAAAAATAACCACGCTGACTTCTAATTGTTTTTATGGAATGTAATAATTAAAATACAGGGTGATTTATCTAAATATGGCAAAAATAATATATATGGTGGTCTTGATCACTGGCGATTAACTGAAAATATGGAAAGTTAGCAGGCCAACTTTAAAATTTTGTTGAATATGAATGTGCCTTAATAACTAATTTTTTTTGCCGGGTTCACATTTAAAAAAAATCAGTAGTTTGCTAACTTTACATAAATTTAACAAGCTATCTTGGCTGAAAATAAACTTTTGCAATTCAGATTCAAATTTTACTGTTAATTTGTTATAAACGAATTTATTAGCCGTATATATTTTTTCAAAAATAGTGAGTACCTCACTGAAAGGAGTGTGTTTTAACACTTTGTCATTACCTCGATAGGACACTCCTTTTGAACAAAAATAAAGCTTATTGAGTCGAGGGTTTCCTAAATACTACCATTTTCAAGTAATTACTTTTTTAAATTTAAAATAACCCTATTACAGTCGATAATACTTTAAATATATCTAAAAAATCCATGGAATTTTTTTTTAAATTATTTTCACTATCAGTTTGCTGCAAATTTACGACAAATTCCGATACAGTTTAAACAGCAAAAAGTTTGTTTTTGAACCTCATAAAATTAGCGAGCTATTGTTTTTTAAATATGGGTATGGCGAAAAATTTATTTCCCAGCATTTTTATGGAGAATTTTAACAATCAAAATTACAAAATTTTCTGGTCTGCTAACTTTACACATCTGCTGCTTGAGTATACCAATCTTAATGTACCAATCTTACCAATGAAATGAAATCGAATGTAATGGGTATGTTGTCCAATAGTAAGCCTTTAAATAATGTGTTTTGCAGAAACATCAGTACCTGTTGTCTATTAACCCTGCCACTAAACGATTTGGTCCTATTAATGTTACTGACCTGTCCAAAGATTTATTAAAAGCCATTGCTGTATTTGAAATGGTCAGATTTCATGCAGATTTTCTTGGTCCTTAAGGTGGGAAACCATATTAGGAGGCTGATTTTCAGGAGTTTCTCATGAATTCTTTTGAGTCGGACAAATTGATTAGAATTTGATGAAACTTTGACATTATTTTATCAGTATTTTGAACTACATTTACAAATTTTTTCAAGTCATTTGTGTTGAAAATGCCAAGGTTATGGGCTGTTGTCCACCGAAGGTTATCGTCTGAGTTGGTTGTTCAAGGAAAAAGTGGAGGTCGCAATATTGATGTGAAAGTAAAATGGTTGTTTTCCTGCATTATTAACATGTTTTATAAGAATATCCTCATTGCGGGTAAAAATTGAAGTATTGAAACGTATTTGAAAATAATGGATTTTCACCATTTCTTTTCACTTATTTTGAATAAAAACCATCCTTAAAATTATGATAGCATCCCAATTGTTGGTTCATGGTCTTCTTAATTTCATAAAGAAACACGCCTTCAATTTTCATAACCATCGGTTCATAACTTTTGAGCTAGAGTTCCGTGAATAAAAAAACTGTCGTTTGGAGAAAAATTTCCAAAAATTTGAAATTTGAAGTTAATACAGAGCGCTTTCCAATCAATCAGCAATTCCAGTACTATATAACAATACTTCTTCTTCCTCGTAGGCATCATTCTGAGCTTGCATCTGTTCTTTTCTTGCTTAATAAGTGAGTAGACTACCTGAAAAAGCGCTCGGCCCTACCTGCTGTGCATCCGAGCGCTAACGCGATGGGCGTTCTAGTTTAGGCTCGTAAAATCGGAACGAATAGGAATTTCAATTTGAAAATTTGGCAGGGTACTAACAATTTATGCTATAAAAAAAATCTGATTTTTTTAACCTTCTAATTCCTAACATGACTATTCTTATAAATTGCAGAAATTGCACAAAATTTCCATTAAAACAAAATCTACAGGTTCTAGGACTTGTTTGATATGATAATGGTGTGGATGAAAGTAATTTTTACAATTTTGGAGAATCTCTTGTGATGGCACTAGCCAATGAACAATTTCTGATGAATGACAAACAAGGGATTTTTTTTCTAGAAATTATAAAACTTCGGAACGAGGGGCGATACTCCAATATGACCATCTTCGTTTATAACCATGTAGTTATTCTTTTTTCTGAGCGAAGCTAGGATACCATGCTAGGGTCGGAGCAATGGTCGGTGCTCCGTTATGTTTGCCCACTTATGGTGCTTTCATAGCCTGATTACACTGATACTGACTCACAAACTCTTTAGACAATTTGTAAAACCACTTCTGGCCTGGTATACATCTACTGTAAAATTTATGGGCATACTCTCATACACACACATGCACTTACATTATGTACTTTATTTCCTTGAACAGCACCATATTATTAAACGATATTGCTGTCATATGTATTCTTGAGAAGTGAATGTTGACATTGTTACACTTTTGCGTCACAATTTTAATTAATACGTTCATACTTGCGATATCCAAGACATTGACCTAAACTAACTACTAAGCAAATAACACAATTAACTCTTATCGAATTGTATGTCACAGACATTATTTGGGAATTAGGATACAAAAAATAGAACTAATCAGTTCAAACTAACTATAATTTCACGAGGAGCCTTTTTCTCTAAAATATTGCCAGATTCTAATAAACTACCCTGTAAATGTTGACTTAACACAATAAAACAAAAATCAGACTTACCATAAACGACATCAGGCTTTATCAAATGCAAATTCTTGGTGACTTCCTCGACAATATGGTGTGGATTCATTTTCCTTTCTTCCGTTTGCCTTATCATCAGTTCTTCCAGCGTCACAAAACCTGCCAAACTTTCGTTTGGTTTAAATGTATTTTTTGAAAAATTAGGTACATTAAATTCATTAATATTGCACAAACTCGGATTACTGGCATGGATATAGTTGAGCGGCTTGGCTTTACCTTTGCCAAAGTTCCCATCGGTCTTTGTGGGATCGATACTTAAATTCGGTACGCTGATATTTTGCGACTGGGGAGTAAACAGTGGAACGTGAGAGGTAAAGTTTCCCGTAGTAACACTAGTTTGTATCTCGGTGGTGCGAATCTTCCTATATGATCTAAACTGGGCTGTGGGTACAGGCAGGGAATGTTTTGGCTGGCTGCTGGATTTATTGAAGAACCATTTCCTGTCCAAACTGGTGCTCCCGCTATGAGGTGTTTCCCCTGTTGACTTTTTTGAACCAAATTTTTTTAAAGACCCAAATTTTTTTAAGGAGTCAGTTTTTTCCGTTGGTGGTTTAGGTTTTTCCGTATCGGATTCGTCAGTCTCGGAATAACGGCTTCCGTCTTGCGATTTTGTAGTTTCATTGTGGAGAATTGCCGTTCTTATTAAGTCGATCCATGATTGTAGAGCATCGGGATCTTCCGCAGAGAAGTAGAACACGGTGCCAGTGTGGTAGACTTTAAAAGCGTTTGATCTAGATTTCACCTAAAAAAGACGAAATGAGGACAGTTAATAGTATTTAAAGTTTTCGATATACCTCGCTAGCCACAGCAACAGTAAATCCGGATAGGAATATCAAACAAGCTGCTCTAGGATCTTCCTTTGTTTTAAATCCATACAAACAGTTTCCTAATAACACAAACCATCTTTTTTCCCAGTGAACGTTTTGATTGTGTTTGCCACGAAGCCTTTGGTAGAGATATCCTTGTATATCCCCTGGACTTAATTCATTTACAGAAACCCGTCTTCTTTCTAACAGAAAACAAAAAAAAAGAGTAAATATATGTTAGGACGATTTTAACTGTACAGTGTGAACCAGGTGGACACTTTGGGAAATGTTTCCTATTTCTTGAGATGAACAAAGAGTAGTTAATTTACCTTGGACTCAATTTTCAATAAGAATTTTATAGTAATAATTACATCTTCATTACCTAGATTAGTTTAAGAGATATATAGTGTTTATTATATTGGTCCAATTTTTAAGATGTCCTGTAACTTGTAATTCTTTTTAATTTTTGTACATACAGTTAAATGTGTCATGTATTAACACAAAATATGATGATACATTAACAATACTACACTACGCAACAAAATTTTTCAAGGAACTTTTGTCATTTTTCTAATGCATAAGCTGGTCAAAAAAATCATAGAGATTTGATTGTGTTATTTAACATGTTGATGGACACCGACGTCTATAGCCGTTGAAACCATTGTGCGTTTTGTAGCATTTCCAAGTTACGACGTCTATACACATTCTAAAGTATACTTACTTTCTACGACCGTAACGTTCCCAGACGTCGAAATAACATATAATTCTCTTTAAGTGTCACATTAAGCACATGAATTTGACTACAAGCAGTTGATAGACGTCCATGTCACAGTAGGGGCAAGTTCAGAAGCAAACGATGTATACCGATCTAGTACAAGTGTGCCAGCCTGCATATTGTTTCAGTGCAACTCTAATTGGGATTGCGTATACATGTAGTAGATTTGGTAGTATATTTTCTGTAAAAAATAAAGTTCAACACGCCAATTCTGTTTACTGAAGAGCGTTCGTTTTATTATTACACGAAATTGTAATTACAATAGGCATTTGTATTTATTACATTATAAAAAATAATGGATAAGTGGAAGAAAAGCTTTTACGATGGTTTGAGGAGAGCGATGACAATATTTCGCTGGACGAATCAGAAAACGACCCACACAGTGACGATAGAGAATTCAATGGAGATTCAGATTATGTACCTTCCGACTCACCTCGGAGCGAGTCTGTGAGTAAAATAGAAGATGGTGATAATATAAACCAAGATCCTGACCAGAACAAAGATGAAAATGAAAATTTATCAGAAAATATTGAAAATTAAAACATTTGGGAAGAGATACAGAACGAAATTCCAAATTTTAATTTTGACGCTACTCTTAGTGCAATAAAAATTAACGGTATAAAAAACATGTCTCTAATAGAGGTTTTTCAGAAAATAATGAATGATGAAGTTATGAATCTTCTATTGACAAGCACTAATGCTTATGATGCAAACCTTTTAGCTACAGCTCGTCCAATAACTCTGGCGTTTATAATAATTTGTTATTTTCATTATACTTTTCACTAAATATATTTCTACAATTTTCTTTGTTTTTTCCTTACAATAGTGGAACGTCATAGCACCATCTGTGTCACAAATAGTGAAAAAAAATGCTTGTAATGTGACATGACGTCTATAGCCGTTTGTTTTTTTTCTTAGAAAATCAGCTTATTTTTTACTCCAGAAACCCACAAATATATATATTTTTGGTTTATCTTTAATATTACGGAAAATACATATGTGACACAACACAACCACTAATCAGTCTGTCCATCAACGTGTTAAATTACTTGTTAGAAAGTGCACTTTATGATGGTCTATGTGCTATTTTCGAAAAAAAATCGGGTCAATCCAAGTGTCAAGTAATCAAATTAAAAAAAATGTTTGGGCTTTATCAGGCCATGAAGATGTGGAATCATCCCCCTTCTATATAGCATATACAGGGTCGGAAAGTCCCCATGGTTCATCGGCCATTACGTGAGAGTGATAAAGAGAGTCATAGAAATCCGTGCGATGGAGAAAGATGGCTATAATAAAGGCGTCTAATAGTCACCGCCCATTTCGCCCTTCCACAAATAAGATCCACTTCCTATTTGTGGAAAGGCAAAATGGGCGGTGACTATTAAGACGCCTTCATTATAGCCATCTTTCCCTATCGCACGGATTAATATGACTTACTTTATCGCTCTCACGTAATGGTCGATGAACCATGGGAACTTTCTGACCCTGTATATATATTTTTAAAGTAGATAATTACCTACAATATGAAAAAAAAAATCGTCTTTGTAAGATGAAAATTGAAGTAGCTATGTGCATTAGTAGAACTGCAAAATTTTGATGGAAAGTTTTGTTGCGATAATTTTGTTGCGTAGTGTATTATAAAGTAGTTAAAATTTAAAAAATATTCAAAGGTAAAAACGCTAAAAAAATTGTTTATATAAATATTTCGTAGAATTAAAACAAATTACGGTATCACATTTAAAAAAATATACCTAACTCTGTTTTATAATTAGAAACCTCAAGTTGTAGAGAAATATTATACTGCCACTGGATTTTATCTAAAAAAAACTGAATTGAAAATCTCTACAAAAATAAACAATTTCCACAAATAAAAAATTTGATGACAGAAAAAATCATTCAAAACCAAATCAAGATATTGAGATGTAGTTTTTACGGTTTAATTTAATTTTTCCTGAAAGTCAAAAGTGTCAATATTGGCCCACCATGTACACATCAAAACTTACTTCAATGATATTCTAGCTTTACTGGTATTCTAGTCACTTTTTACATCAGAGTAATATACTTCAATGGATATATTTAATTTTCATTAAAGAATTTATATCTATGTTAAGGATATGCCTATTTAGATTAGTAGAGATATATGACTAGTATTAATTTTGAAATAACTTGGGACGATAAACAAATATGGCAATTTTTGTAAAGAATTATTAATTGTCGTAGAAATTATTTAGCAATAATTTATGATCATTATAAGCAATTTAATCTATTAATACATATTAGATACGAAAAGGAAAAAACACTTATTTCATTGCCAATTTAGTGTTAAACCAGTATTAAAAGATTTTTTATAAAATTTATATTATTTATTCAGTTACGCAGAATTAATTAATATATTTCTTAAGGGTTACATATTTCTCAATTTCTAACAACTTCATTACTGCTAACGTCCCTCCAACAATGACATGACTAGTACTTACTTGCAGTCAAGGTGTTCTTTTTCTTCGCCGACTTCGTTTTGCTTGAAATCATGGCCTTTACTATGGAATTTGTTGGAGACACTTTATTATCACTGGTACTTTTCTGTATCTCGTAACTAGGCGTAGCCTTATAAGCTGTTGTATCCGCTTCATTGAAATCCAACTTACTCTTGCTTATCGGAGTAGACACCAACTTAGGTTCGAAATACTTAGGGGGCAACTTGTCGTCATGGCCAGCTTTCACTTGTTGTTCCACGGGTTTACTTGTCGGATGTGACAGATCAATGGAATGTATGGAGCTTTGCCTAACGTGCTCAGATCTCTTAGGCTCGGGAAATTCGAATATCGGTTTCGAGGATATCGTAGTGCTGGTTTTTGTCAGTTCCACTAAATTCGTCGGTTTCGGAGAATCGGCAGGATAAGCGGGCTTAGGAATCTCGATAAAATTTCTTGGGGGTGGTTTTGGAGGAACGTCTTTGTTCACAATTTCTTCTGAAGGCTCAATTATTTTGGGCAGGACAATTTCTTCTGGTTTGCTCTCAATTAGCGGCAAGTTTACAGCTTCGGCAACCGGGATACCCAATTCAAAAGTAGCTTCTGTGAATAGAGTTGTTTCGGGTGCTTTAGGCGCTTCAAGGATGATGTCGGGTGGTTTTTCGATGGGCTTGGTTTTGTCCAAAACCGGCAAAGTTTCTATTTTCTCGTTTTCGTCCTCGGTAAGATCATACGCCGGAGTGCTGTGGCTCTTATCCAACCGACCTCTTAATTTCGTTGTGGCACTTCTTGGAGGAACGACTGGCTTAACTTTACCTTCTGGCTTCTGTGGAACTTCGGGGGGCTTTTTAGTTTGAGCCCTTGGTAAAACCTTTGGCTTAACGCATTTCTCTTGACTTTGTTCATCAAACTTCTTGATAATATTGTGTATGTTAATTTCGGCAAGAATAGGGTCCTTAACTAAATTACTATGTGTATTTCTCGTTTCCTCTACATTCCCTAAAACGGCAGCTTCTTCAATGGGCCTCATTTTAATTGTATCTATAATTTCCTCGACAATTTCCTTTTGCCAGTCCAAAGTCATACTGGTTCTATCAGTTAATTCTCTACCTTCATCGATGAAAGTGATATTCTCATTATTCAAACTGGCCAAACTGTTAACGCTAATACTTTTTTCTTCATTTAAATTCGACGGTTCCAAATTCTCGATAATAATTTTTTGTTGTTCCTTTTCCTCTTTATCTTTCTTATCGTCAACAAAATCAGTTTTTTCCTCAAAATTTACTTTTTTCTTGCTGCTTTTCTCTTTAAAACTTTTCTTGTGAGAGGGACTGTTCCTATGTGAGAGTCCGATAACAGTTGTTGGTCTCGGGCTGAGATCTAGCCCCACATTGCAAGAAGCGCTTTTGTCTCGAAGAAATTTCGAGTCCTCCTCAAACTTAGTGCTATTCGTTCTTGACTTGATCAGATCCCAATACTGAAGAAATACAGTCATTAAATTTTTGTACCGTAAAACCGTTTTAAGAATAGAAACATTCTAATTCATATTGATTTTATTTTTCGTTATTTTTTTTTAACATTCATTCATCTTCGATATTTGTAAGAAAATAAGACAGCTGAAAAACAAACCAACAAAATTCAAATATTCAAAACTGCATAAAATATACTTTATGTTATTAATATTAATTGCAACAAAACATAACGTATATTATTTGATTTCTTTAATTCATTATTAATGACCTTAAAAATATTTGATACAGGTATGTGGATATACCTTTAAATATTCATTAATCCTCCGAATACCCAGAGGCATGTTACATTATAATATCATTACTCATTGTAAATGAATGTTAGCAATCACCTAAAATACGAAGGTCACTCTTGTTTTTACGAGTAATTTTCATAAACCAATCTCAATCGTCAGTAATTACAAAGCATGACAGATTTGCTGAATCATTACTTCATCAGAAAATATTAGTAATGTATACCCTGTTTTTAATTACTGCAAAATGAAATATCTTAACAGGTATGACGTGGTATTACTGAACATAAAGCAGGAGTAGGTATTATTAACTTTTTGCAGATTATATACTCCGCAGGACAACAAATCTTTTCATAAACATTACATAATATTTTAAAGAGAACCATGTTAAATTTAAAACAAATACACAAAGGCGAAATACAAAGAAATTTCATGTTAATTTGTTTCTCAATAAGTTGAGTAACATTAAAATGTATATTGTCAGTGGTATTATGATTATTCATAAAATATGCAAATGTTTCATTATGATTCACAATGTAAAAAAGTTATTGTAGGTAACGAATAAAATATATTTTATTTATAATTAACGGACATCTATTGGAAATATATATGTATATACAGGGTGTTCCGATCTCTACCTCTACAGGCTATTAAAATAAGTAAAAAAACAAATGAAGTTGAATTTTGTTTTTTTTTATTAATTGAATTAGCAATTCTTTTTTCCAAAATCTGTAACACAGTTTTTATTCCATTCTATTTATTACTAAATTTTTTTATTCAAACTTAAAAATGTAACAGTTCTAATATATTTTCGCTTATTTCAATTGTTTCTTATTAACTTATTTTGTCTGAATTAATGTTAAAAAATGACAATTTAAATTTTTACACAATCAATACATATTTAATAACTAAAAACACAGTGAACCAACCTAAGAGTTGTAGAATAACACTGCATTATCAAATTAAGATTTTTTTTTAAATTGACACCTAAAAAATGATACCTAATAAGAATTTGCAATTTTCTGGCAGTTATAGTCTTCAAATATGCACACTCTCAAAGACTATTTAATAAAAAAAATGTCTGGGTTTCATTTGATTTTTTCTTACTAGGTACAGATAATAATAGTTTGTGCACCTACAAATTGGGACATCTTGTATATAATTTATTAATTGATTGAGAATATCTTTTTCTAAAATTAAAATATTGTGCAAGATGGCCTAACACACACACAATTCTTATTAACCCAACAAAAATAATTTCATTATTTGTTTATCTTAAATTGTTTGCGGTACTTACTTAGAAATGTATCACATTGTATTCTGTAATTACTATACGTAATATTTTTGTTTATAAGAAATCAGTTGCTAAACACAGACTAATGCTTCTGGAGTACAACATATAAATAGATAATGGAAAGTTTATCTCCACAGGATGTGAAGGAGGCAGGATTCCTTTGATACACAAAAGAATAAGTGATAAAAGAGGTTTCTCATAAACATGAATAATATACCAAGTGCATATCAGTTCCAAGTAAAATCGAGCATGGACCACCACAAAAATGATCAAAATTGGAACAAATACAAGATAAGACATTATGTAAATAACATTTATTTATTTATTTATTTATTCATTTATGCTGAAAAATTATTTCTAATTATAAACGTTTATATACAGGGTGTTTCGGAAAAAGGTACTGTAAATACAAGAGCACATGAAAAAATAACATTTCCTCTTAGAGACAATGAGATAATCCTTTATTTTTTAAGATATAGAGTATCAAACACAACTTAAAAAAAATTGAAACCATTTGTTTTACAAAAAACATTGAAATTTGGTACATACCGGATGGTTCACAGTGAGTGTCCTATTAGATTATTTCAGAACCTACTTCGATTTCAATTTTGAAAATTGGCACACTAGGGTTTTTGGATGTGCTATTTTCAAATATATCTAATAATTTTGTTCCTGTAACACTTCCCGGTTATACCGGAAGTTGCCACCAACTTCATTATTTTAAATGGGACACCCTATATATTATTATTACATTTTCGGATTCTACGTGAAATTTGAGGGCCACTTTATTAAATATTCTCTATACCTAGGGAATTATAAAATTTGAGGTATTCATTTTTAAAGAAAAAAATTGACAGATGTAAGGGTCCTCGAGTATGCTAGTTACTCTTTTCAAGAGTGTGATATCAAGTGGATTTTTGGTACCCGCAAAGGCTATAGGTAACACTAAATTATGTATGTATTATGTAATTAAAATATGTAATATCAGATGATTCATTTTTGCTGTTACATTTTGATAACTTCAAACAGCTATAACTTTGTTAACTTAAATGGAACACCCTGTATTTTTTTACTCTGTCATATGAAGATTGAAATTTCCTTTCAAGTCATATAAGCATCGTTAGGGCTGCCGTTACTACTTTTAGAGATATTTGCAATGTTCTATTTTTTGAACAGTTTTTCTTATATCAGACCTGCTGTCAAATTGGCCATGACGAAACAGTCCAAAAACAATTGGACATTTCTTAACTTAGTTGTCAAATTATTGTTGTGTTTGAATAGTTTTTGGCGAAAATTTAAATAAATATGCCTGAAATTTACTGAAGAGGATTATTTTAATTTGTTTGTTATTTACTTACTGAAAATGTCACAAAGTAATTTCAAGAACATGTAGAGTATTTGCTACGTGTGAGCCACCCAGTATAAACAGGGATATAAGTTTTTGAGAGCATTACCGTTAAATATGTCAAGTGCTATTAGTTTCTAAGCATCTATTAGAGGTCACTAGCTATGACAGTTCCCTTTGTTATTTTATATGAACTTTTTTGAAGTTAGGGTTTTTACAGACGCCATATATTATAATATAAAATTAACAACTTTACATAAAAAAGTACTCTTGTTGAAATCACACTGTTTTTGTGAATGGCTGTCCCAAAGTCAGCCAATTTTTATTCTTTAATATGCAGTGTCCAAAAACAAATGAGCCATATTTTTTTTATCATAAATCAATTTATATTAACTTACTTTCCAATACTTTTGTTTCCTTAAAAGATATCAGCTTTCAATTTTTTTTTTTTTTTTCGTTTTAACTAATTATTACTCAATAACATAACTTTTTAAAGAAGCAAGGTAACTCATCTAAATTGATTTATTTTCCAAGGAAGCCACCCCTGAAGCAAGACCCATTCGTTTCCAGACGCATTGTATATTAAGTAGAGTAGAATCTGGTTGAGTTTGAGACAATTACTTGTGTAATTTACAAAAAAATTATGCGTGTCCAGTGAATGCACCAAAAGTACTTTTCTTTATGTAAAATGAAATTTCACATTGTAATATAAAAAAAACTAATCTAAAAGAGTTATGTTCTCAAATGTAACTGCTGAGCAATATTGTATCTAGCAAATAGTCAAAAACTAATAATGATTATGTATTTAATACCCTCAAAAACTTACTTGTTACAAATTTCATTGCAATAAATTGTTTTTTGCAAAAGACATGGCTATAATTTAATTTTAAATCAGCCCTAATACCCATGATCCCAAAAACAAAAGATAGGCCCTTGGTCTACAGGAAAAAATCTTAGTTTTTTATATTCTATTGGCCCCTGAATTTATGGTATTTTTTCAAAAACACCCTGTATACAGGGTTATTCATAATTCAGTACAAAGAATTTAGGGGCGTATTTTTGAGATTAAAATAAGACTTTGTTCCTATAAACATGGGTCCACAAATGCTTAGTTTTTGATATACAGGGTGTTAGTTTTTTTATTTTGTTTTGATTTTTTAGGAACAATTTCCAAACACATTTAATGTTTGCATAAAACTTGGAGTACGGGGGCTTTTTAGGATGCTAAATTTAAATACGTGTTTGCTTTTGAGGCTGCTTGTAGAGGGCGCTACCTATAAGGGCACGCTTGAATTAAAATGGCCCTAAATTGGTGTGTTTATTCCCCTATCAATTTTAAGCAAAAAAGATATACTAGGTTGAAATCTCTCAGATCAACCGGTTCCGAGAGATAGGTTGATGAAGAGTTAAGTTAAATGCGCACTATATTTTCAAAATTTATAAGTATTTACTGTGAAAAATTTTAAAATTTATTTTGAAAAATTCAGATTGCTTTTACTCCAAAAAAATCATGAGAAATGATGTGCACAAAAGCAATTTTATGTAATTTTCGATATATGGCAGATTTTTTTTTAATGGAATAAAAATATAATAAACTTAATGAACTTAATGGAATAAAAATATAATAAACAAATTCTTGTAGGATTATTTATCTTTACTGTTGTCATCAACATGTGGTTTTCTGTTAAAAGTATTTACAACAATGCACAATATGAATTCATTAAACGTTGTGCAAAGTTTATCTAGTTTCGTCAAATTATACTAAAACCCACATTTTTTATAAAGCTAGTAGACACATACATAAATCAAATTACAAAAGTAATAATAAGTATGTGGTTTATAACTTTTCGTGTAAATTTCAAATTTTATTTGATTAAAAGTTTTGCTAAATTTATAGGAAAAAAACATAATTGTTTTTGTGTGCCATTTTTTAAGTAAAAATTAATGACAAAGCATTTTTTCATTGATTAATAAGAGTTATCCATATGACACTTATTAATAGTGTTTAGTTTGTAATATTAAACACAATTTTTATTTTTTTGTACCCAGTGAATCATTTTTTTATTTTTTATTGTATTTCTAGTAGACGCAAGTCCTATGAACTTTTTTTGAGAAACACAGCAAGGAGGTACAAGTACCAATCGAATTACAACCAACGACATCGAATTTCTATAGTAGGATCGTATACGATGCAAAGTAGAGCAAAAAATTGTCGGCCTTTTATCAAAGAAAAATCGTGTCATCATTTTTAGGAGGCGTAAGATAAATCATTTCAAATTTAAAATGAAATTCAATGTAATATCTGAAATACCGCTGCATACGCACTGTGTTCTGGTAGTAGCTGTAGTCGCCCAGGTGCATCGAGTGTACGAACTGGTCGGTTATACGTCAAATACTAACCTGACGAGCTTTGCCGTCAATTAGAGAGCGCTTCCAAAAAACAAGTAAACAACAGTGGCGCGTGCAGAGGTAAAATGTAGTACATATGTGGAATTTAGAAAACAAATTGGATTTATAATAAATTACATTTAAAATAAGTAGTTTATGAGAATAAAGGAATTTTTGTAGCAACAAGGGTGCCAGACCTGAACTGATCCCCTCGTCCCTTCATAATGTATAAAGAAATTATTCAATTTGTAAAACCCTTAAAGGCGTACTTCATTGGTTCCCTTGAAAGGCAATAATTTATTACTTTGCATCGAATATGATCGTACTATAGGGTTTTTGATGAGAGTGACTCCCGGTGTCCCCTCAACTGTTACATGTTTTTAGGAATATCATAATTCAATGAATTTTTACTTTTAATTGGATTAATATCTTAATGCCTAAACTTTGTCACTCGAAATTAAATTTCTTCAGATATTTTAGAGGTAACATTTTTTCCAACATTTGCAACTTATGTTTATATAACCTTTTTATCTGAAAATCGCTCAATGAATAGCCCCTTAAAATTTGTCGACTTAATTAATGAACACCCTATACATTATTATTATTATCACCACTATTGGAGCATGTATACTTTTTATTAATTTAATTTATAAAAAAAACTTACTTCTTCGATAGAAGGATAAGGCCTTTTACTTGTAGGTGTAGCTCCTGTTATGGTGTTACGTCTCTGCAGAATGGGTCTAGGCTTCGACGTATACATTCTACGTGCGACATCTAGCGGGCTGTCAGGTGGTTCGCTGTCACTGCTACTCAACTCTGTTTCCACATCAACAACTTCAGTCACCTCTTCAGCCCTAAAAATTTCAATACGTAATGAAATGTTAACCGAAAAGCACTTTCAACTGTTACGACTTACTTGGATATTGTAATCGGAGGTAAATCTAAAATGGGCAGCAACCTAGGAGATGGAATGTTGTCATTCCACCTTGTCGACCAATTTTGGTTACTGTGTTTCCTGCTCGGCAAACGGTAAGGTTTCATGTATATCTGACCATAAACTTTAGTATGTCGCGGTCTTTTTTTCAGAGTCAATACTATTTCTGGAGGTGAATCCTGAAGTAACATCATCACTTTCTTTCTTTGCCAACCGACAACTGTTTGATAATTAACCTATAAAAAAATTATGAAATATTTAAATTTGCATAATTTTGGCTGTTAGAAAAAACCTACTTGTACTATTTCATCCCCTTCTTCAATCTTTGAACTGCCGTGTGCTGGAGAGCCATACTTTATGTCAGCTATTTGATGAATGGCATGATTATTGGGCAGAATATAGAATCCAAGTTCTTGTTCTTTCTTCTTTAAAGTTGCCAAATCTAACGAAGCTGGTTGTAAGATCATTGGATCCATAATTTCCTAAAAATTAATATTAGTATGATTCTATTAACAGTACTTGAACATTTACTTGAATTATGTGATCTGCCATCTTTGCTAATTTTTCGCAAATCTTTCTTATAGTCCTAACAGGTTTCTCTGAAAATATATCTCTATGAGCGCTCGTTGCCATTTCAAAAGCTAACTGTAGCAAATTGGTTTTATTATCAATATAATCTTTATCACCAGCAAATGGGGACCTAAAAAATACATAAATATATTACCTATATCTGCTAAAGTAAACAAACCATCAAATAATTGTATACAGAAAAATATAATTTGTTTACATACCTGTCGAGCCAGCATACCAACGGTTTTATAGTTGTAATTATATTATGAACATCAGACATTACTTGTGTTTGTACCATAGTACAGTCATCGTCTACCAATAACAGTTCTTTAAATAAAGAATTGGCAGCGCATGACAACCGCAATGCTAACATTTGTAAGTTTTCTTTGTCTAGTTCGAAATGCTACAAATTAATTATAACTTATTTGTTAATACAAAAACTTGTAAAGTGCCAACTTACAAAATTTCTCAAGTGTTCCACTGCCTCCAAAATAATCTCTTGGTGTCCCAACGTTTTCACACCTAAATGTTCCAAATCGTCAGCCCTTAAATTTAGTAACTGATGGCCAGTTACACCATTATTCAAAAATGATGTGTTATACTGAAGAATTACATTATCTAATCCTGAAATGAGAAATATTTTTTAATCACTTAGGCATAACAAAAAATTGGCAAGGTTATGTAAAAAGGATTCAGCAAAAAACCATACCTTTGAGCCAGTCCGTAACTTGATCAACAGACCAATCTTTCACGTTAACATAAGCCATGATAATTTATGAGTGTTTTAAAGCTATTCTAAACATCAGGAACTTGTATTTTTACTACAATACAAATTATCTTCCCGACAACACACAAACATGAATGGACTTGAGTAAAATTTTCAATGACACATGATCCTGCCATCTATCACAGACTAGCAAAAGCAGAATTGTGGTGCATTCTTTGTTGAAGAAAAATAAATTTTCGGCGACATCTGTCGTTCAGAATCAATCGCATTAACTCAATACATAAAGATTTCTACTATTATAATGATTGTGAAAATTATAGTTGATTGTAGTGAATATTCCTATATATTTAGGGGACAGAAATATTTACAGCATGTTCAAATAATAAGTAATGTATATAACTAGAAATTAGATACAGTCACTGCATTTATATAAATAAAATAATTATTTTTATTTAATACCTATATGCTTTTAACATACAAATACCTATAGATATAAATTGTTAATCTAGGTGAGTAGATACGGTAGGTATAAGATTTCTGATATGTTACATTCACCTAGGTATAGAATATTTAGCATAATTCTTCAAGGTTAGTTTAAAATCAAATTTAATTCATAAAGTAGGAACAAATCTAAGAACATCGCAAAAACGAACAATAAAATCACTAAGTACGTGTGAGCAATTTCTCAGTAGGTAGTTTGCTTTATCACCTTGCCATTATTATGGAAGGCAGAGATATTAAACGCAACGAACAACCAGCACCAATACTAAGTGAACAGTCGTTGCCGGACCACTCTAATATTCGAAAGTGATTTTTGCGGTACATGGTAAAGCGAAATTTTGCCAAATACTTAGTATACGGACCAGCGATATGGTCCATTCGGAGGATAGTGACAAAAAACCAGGCGATGAAAATGAAAGGTAGTAAACAAGTTCCTATTAGACGCGTTGTACATTTTTTTAATTCAGAAATGTGAATGTGAAGGTGAATTGAACTACTTAGTTCTATAGGAAATATGAAACTAATGATTTCTATAAATATTTACTTACATTCCTGTGAATTTTTTTATTTATCATTCTAATCAAAATAAACTGTTGTTTTGGCGTTCTGTTAACCCCAAAGAGTGAAGAGTGAAGAGTGAAGTAAAAACTAGCAGGAATGTCTTTGTAAATATCCCCATTATTTTCCTCAAAAAGTGAATAAAATCTATTTCAAATATTTGTAATAACAAATCATACAATTTCACTAGTTCTGTGAGTTGTCTAGAAATTATTAAATTATTTCTTTCATATGCCTAGATATTTAATTTTTTAAATATTGTACAGATAATAGAATTTTAATTCAAGATATCCTGGGGATAGTTATTCCAAAATGCACTAAATTTATTTAATAACTGAACAGAATAAACAAATATAAATGGTGTTTTCCTACCAAAGCTAAAAACAAAATTCTCTAAAAATTTTAAAACAAATGTATTTCATTTTTCACTGAGACATATTGCTTTCTCAATCAACTTTTGATATTTTACTGTTAAGGTGAAGCCCAAGGCTGTTAGTTAGTATGAATAAATAAATAAGAAGTATACGTATGTATTTTTAAATTATAACATGGTGTGCTACTGAAAGTCGCAGACTTTATTTATAAATTTTATAAAAATTAGGCAAAATTATATAAAATTCCTCTAAAGAGGAAATAGCGCACATTCGTCCTATGGACATCTTATGACTGGTTGCTGTGGATATAGATTGACTTCAATGAATGTCTTTAGAACAAAATCTATTCATCAACATTGTTATAAAACATTCATATTGATAAGTTTTCATTAACCACAAGTCCACCCATTGGGCATCCCTTATCCATACAATACGTCCAGGTGAAAATAAACGGTTTAAATTATTTTGTACATTTTTCTTCTCTATCTTCTCCGAGTCCTCCGCCGCGACTGTGCTGCCTAAACACTTTGAGATATAACAAAATAATGTATGGTGGAATTGTGTATCTTATATAGGTCTACAGAAAAGTCCGCGATGGCATATGTCTATCTCTCAAGGATAACATACTATATCCATTTGAATACTTTATAAAATGGGCAATTATAAAGCGGTAAATAGAAAGCGATTTACACAAATACGGTATTAATCCTTATCAATTTAAATACGCTAGTTGGCTGGCTTGAGCCGGGAATTTAAATACGTTAGTTGGCTGGCTTGAGCCGGGGGTGGGGGGGGGTCCGAAAGTTTATGTACTGTATCAATGTATGGTGGAATTGTGTATTTTATATATGCCTACAGAAAAGTCCGCGATGGCATATGTCTATATGTTAAAGATAACATACTACCTATATCCATTTTAATACTTTAAAAAATTGGCAATTATAAAGCGGTAATGTAAAAGCTATTTACACAAATACGGTATTAATCCTTATCATTTTAAATAAGTTAGAGACTTTAAGCATTTCATGCACATTATTTTACTCTTTTACACCATATGATTTAAATGAATATCTTAGGAGTAATCGCAAAACAATTACGGACGCGAGAATAAAATTCAAGCGCCTTGCTTCGCTTGATGCGATCGCCGATCCTCCCCCCGCACCGTCTTGCCTACTGTTTAGCTAATAAGCCGCGTGATCCTTTAATAAACTGACTTGGAGCGAATGAAGGTGACGACTGACGACTGTGTTTTCTTTCTGGGTGTTGTTGGAAAGTTATAATTGCGTTCGATATTTTATGGTCACATTTTTGTTTTGTGTTTGTTGTCTTTAGGTAGTCGGAACATACATAGATACTTGCAAACATACTTTTATTTCATTGAGTTTTAATAATTTGTTTGTTTTTTTCTTATTGTGAATCATTTAAAACTTAGGTAGTTAGATACCTAACTACTTACTTATTAATTAACATTGATAGTGCTGAATATAGGTACTTTAATTTAATTCGTTTTGTTTTTACATTGTTGGTAGTTACCTATATGGTTTTAAATTTAAAGGTTTTGCATTTTTAGTTTTGAGTTCGTTTGTTGTCTTTAGGTATATAGATATATCGTGAATTATTTTAAAATTAATATTAGGGTCGCATTAGATGAAAGATGATTGATTTTTTGTTTGTTACGATTTAACTCAAAAACTATTCAACCAATTTTACCGAAAGCTATATCTCCTCGGAGTAACATTGGCTATTTTACATTTGCCCGTGCGAAGCCGGGGCGGGTTGCTACTGTATTATAATACTTTCGCCCTGTTCTATACAAAGGACATGTACTTCAAGCAAGTTTATATATTTATTTACTTTGTCTTTCAGAAACTCCCCATAGAAGGAACTACATGAAGATCAAATTAGGAATTTTTGTGAATTCTTAAAAAAACCATTTCAAAAAATTGTTTACAACATAATGGGGTTATAAAGCACCATTCGTAATATAGATTTTTTTTCATAATAAAATAAATATTTAAATATTTGTGCATAGTTGCCCTGGTTTTACGGCAATGTTGACTTTATCCATTGTGGAGGGTCGCTAAATAAACCAAAATACGAGTACTTAGCAAATCTATAATATGATCTCTGTACTTAGGGAAGTGACAAATATATAGAGTGTTCAATTAAAAAATCAAAAGTTTCGTTTATATATTTGAAAGACAACATTCAATTATTGTTTATTATATTTAAGTATTTTTAAATCGCAAGAAAATTTATCCCCTTTGCTTCATACGGAAGTCTTCAGTTGAAATACACATTTAGGAAAGACGAAGAAAAACGATATTTTATGGATGTACTCGTACATTATAACAATTTCCAGTATAATCAAAGAAAAATGAAGACATGTTAGATATAACCTTATTCAACATTAAGAAAACAGAATATGTAAAAATAAATATATACACGATGTTCCATAAGAAAAAGTAGAGCTGCGATGTCCAATTAATCCTTTTTGAGAGAAAAAATTAACAGTAAAATTTAGTGAATTTCTAAATCCTTAAAACAACGAAGTTGCAATGAAATTTAACATTTGAAGACCCTGTACAAAAATATTATCAAGGATAAAAAAATATTTTCAAAATAAAAAAGTGTGTGCCAACGACAAAACTATTTAAACATGCAATGTCTATATCTAACAATTAAATTAAGTCCCTCACACACAATGGCATTCAGAACTACTAAATTTATTTTGCTGTTGTAAAAATTGTTGCAATTTAACAAAATTGACTTTATTAGATATTGTAATTAAAACATCTATTAGATGATTATAAATCAATATTGAACTATGTTTTTCATTATTATAAACTCACAAAATACCTAAACAATAGAAACTGTATTGTTGTGTTGTATCTTAGTAATGTTTAACGTAATTTTTTATTAATCAAAATATGTATTATAAACTTTGTAATAAACTACATAAATCTTCTAGATTTGAATACAGGCCATGCTAAATTCAAAATCATTGTAATTAGCTTCTATTTAAGTGTAGTGTAGAAATCATACACAAAAGAGTTATGCCTGGAAGTGACTAAGTGTCAAATAATGTACTTGCAATGATATAATAATGTATAACAATAATAAAATTGCATTTATAAAAACATAGAAATAGTTAAATTAAAGCATATGTATCATCTAAAATTATGAAATCGATTTGTTAAAATGTGAAATGCAGAAGTTTGTAGAGGAATTGAATTGAATTTGTTTTATAGTTTTAGCAATAAAGTATACCTAGATACACTAGGTATACTTTACTGCTTAAAAGGTATGATTTAATATTAGAAAATATATATTTTATTATTAGCCCGTTTATTGATTAACTGAAGTTGAACCATGTTCTTTGTTCCCTTTAAAAACTTAGGTATCCAAATGATATCCAACCTTATAGACAAAGCTACTAACTGATGATATAGCGGGAAACAACTACTCAGCGGGCTACAGCTACAGTAACAGCTAGTAAATAATAATTATCTAAGAGAAAAATGATATAGCATAATATCTAAATATTATTGTCTTATATCTTATTATGAAAGTGGATATCTATTGCATACCTACCTAGATTTTTGTTATCAAAAACGTTTGACTTAATTCGAAAAGTTTTTTAGATAATTTTATTGAATTTAAAAAAATGTAGTAACAAGTGGTTGGGCTAGATAAAAAAACAATTAACGTTAATTTAGACAATCATATTGTCATGTCAACACTTTCGACATTGACGTTTCAAGATGCCATTTTTTCTAAAAGTTTTATGTTTTTGATATATTTGTATAATTTTGTTCTATTAATATTTATTATTTCCATTTTGAAGGGGGCCTATTGAAAAAGCAATCCTCAAAACTCAAAAAATGTTGATATTCTATTCATCGAGGTTATATTTACGTCGGCCTCTATTAAAGGTGACGTTCAGGAATAAAAGACGTTTTTTTAAAGATTACATTCATGGAGACTACACATCTAGTCTAGTACTATCTAGTACTACACTATCTAGTCTCCATGATTACATTATTCAATAATTTTAATATGTCAGATATGTACGAGGCATATCCACAAAGTAAGAGTTCTCAATATTTTAAAAATCGAAACGGCAGTATATTTATGATAAATTTACATATTCAGAACAGTACGTCAACCACTATTTTTCGACGTACTCGCCTTCAACCTCAAGGACTTTATGAGCTAAGGGATGAGTTTTCTGGTACCTTCGACAAAAAGATCTCCCGTCGCCTCTCGGCCCATTCACGACATTTTATGGATCCTTAAATATCTTCAGAGAAGAGAAAAGATGAAAATCAGGAGGTTCCAAGTCAGGGCTGTGAGCGGCACACATTTCAACAGGCCACTGCAACAACGGCTCTCAACTGACTGAGACAAATCCTTTGGCCTTGAATGTAGTGTTACCAACTTTGTCGAAAACAAAAACCACAGAGCACCAGAGTCTCAGTACTCTTACTTTGTGGACATGCGTTGTATTTTTATTAATAACAATAATATAATTAGACATTTGGTCTCATTATGTGATTTATTTAATTAATATTGTTTTATAAATTAACTAGTGTTTCGCGGGCATTCATATTTTTATTCGAATCGTAACAATTGAAGCTCAAAATTCTAGGGAGAAATGTGTGATAAAATCATTATCACTGTTATTGTTGTTAGTACAAGATTATTAGATGGATTACCACAGATTTTTCTTTTACTGTTTAATCCCTTTTATTATATTACTCCAATAAAATTCTTAAATAGGATTAAATCATTACTAACGCCTACTTATGTTCATAAAGATAAAAGAGCATTAAAAACAAATTTAAAATGCAGTGTGAAAATGGAAAATAAACAGTAATGTTACTCAATGCGGAAAAAATGCTAATGGTCATCTTTGGGAAGTTGCCAATTTAGAACTGTCACATAGCAGATGTAGAAAAAAAAATTATCCGACTTAAAGTTTAAAGAGATAAAATGCTGTTTGATAAAGGATTCTTAAGAGTAACATTTTGTTGTCCACAAAACTATGCTACTCCTAATATCATCAATGTACCTCTTAAAAATGTCTTAACTGATGTTTAAATAAGTTAGATGATAAAGATATTATTTGTATTCAAGAAGTCACGGATTTGACGTCACAAAAATGTACCTGGTAACACGATATTGTATGTGAAAAAGTTTTTTTATTATGTATTTTATAAATAACTATAATGAAATATCCTTCTTATTCTTGGATTCTAAACTCTTATACCAATAATATTTATCTCTTGTTAAATATAAAGAAAATAACCATTGGAAAGTATTTAAAAAAAAGGAATACATAGGCAACAGTAAGACAGAAATCTCTGAGGACATTTTCCAAATCTGCTCCTAAATTGTAATGAAGAGATATATGTATTAGCATAGTTATATAACAATCTAAGTATATAACCAAAGCTAATCAGCACTATATGAATATTAACTTCCCTCACAATCCATAAGACGTAATCATGCTAAGTACTAAGCAAATGCTGAACATGTTAAATGTAAAATACTATTAGCATTGGAGTTTAGTGTTTTATCCAGCAATTAATACCTATTATTCAATTTTTTAGGAACAAAAGTGTGGGATGGATGTTTTGGAAGAAGAGAAGATACGTGGTATCTGTTCTTGCATTTGGCGGATTCTTCAATGTATATTCCCTAAGAGTGAATTTAAGTATTGCTATAGTTGCCATGACAGAACTGAAGAACGTGACTTTATCCAATGGCACTGTTGTTCTTGTAAGTGTAGGATAAAGGAAATTTTACTTCCTACTTTACTAAGTAAAAGAATAAAATAAAATAATACTGCATAAAATAAATCTGAAAAGCCAGCATAAGATTTAAACTCAGTTTGTTGTAGATTTTAATGTGTTAAATATGATGTTATTGGTATATATCAGAGTTTACTAAACTGAAAATTTATTTTATTTTATTGCTCTTGAAGAAGTCGTTAGTCATTTGAAAAAATTTCGTTTCAATATTGATTAGAAGATGGTACAGATGTTTAGATTATCGATTACAGTAATCAATAGTTTTTTGGTTATACACTAGCGTACATGCAAGTGGTAACTGAGCTTTTTCTTATATAAAAATATTATTCGGGTTATTCTTGATAAAGTATTCAGTGACTTTGATAGTAGTATTTGTCACTGTCTTCGTTAGTTGGGAATAGAGCATCTTATAGTGCAAGTCACAAAAGGCCAAATTTTTCATATCAACAGTCTTTTCTATTTCGCGAAAATTGCAATAAACAATCGTATCTCAACTTTTATACACTTCGTTATAACATTTTTTTAAATTTTAATGTTACCAATTGAAATATAACCAATTAATCAACAATATTAAAAAGACCTTAAATAAATTAATTAAATCTTAAATCAATTGGCAACATTTTCTATCCATTTCATTACTCCAATGGTGGTGAAAATATTCCATGCATAAGTAGTCTAACATGTTTTAAAAAAACTGTAGATATTACTATTCTAATTTATAATGTACATACTTTAGGAACGTGAATTTGATTGGGACAGCGTCTTGCAGGGCTATATCCTAAGTTCGTTTTTCTACGGCTACATTACGACGCAACTAATCGGTGGATACTTGGCGTTACACTTTGGGGGAGTGAAAATTTTCGGTGGAGGAATTGCTATTACAGCAGCATTGACACTAGTAACTCCTTGGCTTGTTAAAACAAACGTCTACCTTTTACTGGGAGTGAGGATTATAGAAGGTATATTTGAGGTAAGTGAACAGAAGTTTTTTATTTTCAAATTATAAATATGTTATTTTATTCTATTTTCATGTTTCATAGTTTTTTCTTATAAAAAACCTATATAGCTGAGTTTTCTTCCAATATACAGTGTAACTATTTGTTTGTTAGCGACCTCTTTCTCATGGTTTTGCCCTGAGAAGTAATTGTTATATGTTTTGCATAATATTTCTTTTTATTCGAATCGTTATCAAGATATTAAATAAATTATGTGATAAATATCAGTAGGCATATTTACATGACCTTTTATTATATTTTTAACGGTTCTAATAGTAATGTTGCTATAAATAATTGAAAGATCACCATAATAATAAACCATATCTGCACTCATATAGTTACTATCTATTGATTAAAAAAAAACTGACAAATAAAAATAGCTTAATAAAGTTTTAAATAGCTTAATAGGGCGGGTCAAGTTTTTGTAGAAAAACTTTAAAAGTAAGTAAAAGGCGTCGTTCTAAAAAAAATCGTATGAACATAGAACGTTTTATTTTTTAAGTATAGATTATTCAAAATTAATTGAGTTCCTTTTTTTAACAGTAAAAAAATATAAGAATCCTATGATATAAAATATAAATATGAACAGCTCTGATTTATTAAGTAAATACTACGAATTTCCAAGAAAATTTTTCATGTAAACCATGGAGTATACAGGGTATTCCACCAGGAGTCACCACCATCTATATCTCGGAAAGGACTGATCCAATAAGTCCGAAAATCTGGTAAACAAGCAAAGGCAGTCGGGATAACACAGCTAAAATATTTAGACCTTTATGGCGCTTCTGGTTATACCGGAAATCGGCATTATCTTTCTTATTTTAAATGGAACACCACCTATTTAAACGATCCGCAGTTCTTTTCATTTAAATCTTCGGCAGAAACTGTTACATACATAATAATTTGACAGCTAGCTTGACAAATATCAAGTTATTTTAAATGTTTTTAGAGTGTTTCTGGTCATAGCCAATTTGATAACATGTTTGATACGAGAAAAACTGTCCAAAAAATAGAAAATTGAAAATATATCTAAAAGTAGTAACAGCAACCCTAACAATGCTTATATGGCTTGAAAGGAAATTTCAATCTGCATGCGACAGAATACAAGGTGTTCCATTTAATTTAGCAAAGTTATAGCTGTTTGAATTTATCAAAATATAACACCAAAAATTAGACATCTAGTATTAAATTTTTAATTTCTTGGTATACCTTAATTTAGTGTTACCTATGCCCTTTATAGGTACCAAAAATCCGCTTGATATAACGCTCCTGAAGAGTTACTAGTACCTTCACACACCCTTGCAAAGTTAATTTCGGCTTCCGGTATAACCGGAAGTGCAATAAAGTTCTAATTACTTTAGCTGTGTTGGCCCTACTACCTATACCAGGTTGCCAAATTTTCAGACTTATCAGATCAGAACTTTCCGAGATATCGATAGTGGCGATTCCTGGTGGGACACCCTGTATAAATTAACTAATGGAAAAAGAAACTAGAAATAGTTCATAGCAAGCATCTTTGTTCAGTTCAAAATAAGGCATTGATTACTATTACTCTAGTGTGTACTAAAATTTCAGTTTGTTGCATTATCCCATTTTTTAATTAATTAATGAAAATGTTAAAAAAATCACGGTTTTCTACCTACAAAACTGAAACCTCTCACTTTAACTCGTCGTAATTTTTTTGTTAATTGATAAAAAATTCCAAATTTTGACTGACGATAAATCGAACTATTGTCTTTAGTACTGTGAAGGTCATTTGTCTCAAAAGATTTTATTTTTAAGCAAAAGCAAAGTGCTATCTCCGTAAATATTGCGTTCTTTCTTTTAAAAAAAAACTGACAGGTAGTAAATAACTGTAAACAATAATAATCTGAAAAAATTTGTTAAAATAATACAGTTATAAATATGATATTCTTAAAAACAGTATAGTCTTCATAACTGTATTACTTTAACAAATATTTTTACATTGTTGTTTACAATTATTTACTACCTGTGTCAGTTTTTTTTCTTTGTTTAAAGAATGTAATATTTACGGAGATGGCTCTCGCTTCTGTTTTGCTTAAAAATAAAAAAAAGAAGAGCTTTTGAGACAAATGTCCTTCACAGTACTAAAGACAATAGTTCGACTTATCGTCACTAAAAATTTGGAATTTTTTAATCAATTAACAAAAATATTACGACGAGTTATTTGTAGGCAATTTTGTAGGCAGAAAACCGTGATTTTTTCAACATTTTCATAAATAACTAAAAAATGGAATAACGAAACTAGCTGAAATTTTAGCACACAATAGAGTAATAATGAGGCTATATATGGTCCAAATTTCAAATTTATTTGCCCCTACCTTTTCTTAATATCGGTTTCCAAACTCAGGGGTCTATTTCATTTATTTCGATAGTAGGTAGCTACTAGTTTTCGAGTGTTGTTTGGTTTTGCTTCTTTATTTATCTGTTTTTCGTGATTTCGTTCTTTCACTTTTAGTATTTAGTACGTTAGATATGGAGATTTGATATATTTCTAGTTATATCCACATTTTCATAAATAACTTTTGACCAATTTTTTTTTTGGAAATAAAATTCATGGAATAGAAAGGTCATTTTTAAATGGAGGTAGGTATTATTTCTTATATGCATGCATACCACTGGTGGTAAAATTGAAAGGTTTCTTTATAGATCAAGCAAATAAATAAATAATAATTTGAAAATAATTTATGAATTTTTACTTTAATTTTACATTTAAATCGTAATTAAATAGCTAACAAGATATTGAAAAAACAAGTTTACTTTGCCTTAATATGTAAAAAAAACTTTTTAAATGAACGATAGCTTCATTTATTTATTTAATAATAGTAAAATAATTCCGAAATTGAAATTTTAATTAATATTTCGTTTAACAATAATTTTTGTGACATTTTTGTAAATTAAAAAAATTAATTATAAAAGATGCATTTTTTCTGGGGTTCAGGGCTATTCTACAAATTCGTAAATATGCCCATTGTTATTTTTTCGTCGAGCTACCCCAGTTTTAAAAAAAATTAGTTTCTACGATGAATAGAAGCCGAGATATTGCAAAATTTACAGCGCGCACATATTTGAACTTTGGATTTAATTTTTCTCGCCCGCGCAACCGCTTGGACGAGCTTCCCCCACCACCACGCCGCCGCGCCGGCCGCCGGACAGTTTACTTAGCGAGTATCTTCTCTTTAAAGGGCTCGTGAGTCGTTAATTTTCCACATTTTTCAATGCAATTCACGGGAAATCGTAGTTTACGTCGTAAACTTTATTTTGCGAAAAATTCAAGTCTTAATATTTATAAACAATTGCGCCACAATTTTTTTTAAAAAAAATTTTATCTTGGCTCCTGATGGTCGTAGAGGGTACTTTTTTTATTTTAAAACTGTATTTTTTTGCCAGCTATCCATTGCATCTATTTTCGGTGAGATAGCATAAATAGCAACAATGTTATTCAAATTGTTTATAAGCGAAAAACGCACGGTTTTTTAATGCACAATTTGAGAATGTTAATGTCAAAAAAGCGGTGATATTTTTTAATAGGTCGCTTAATTGCGTCTTTAAGACTACAATGACGCTTTCAGAATCATGTTTGATTGAAAATTAACGCCTGTACAGAGGCTTAAAGTTCATAACTTTTGGAGCCTCCGCTATAAACAAATAGAATTGTGCGAAAACTATTGCACCTACAGCGCCCACTTTTGGCACACTTTTAAAGTATGACAAAACCCTCAACTTGTCATAGGTTTTATAAAATTTTAACAATAAATGCGATAGTTATAAACAAATTAAAAAATGGGCACTTTTCTTGTTTTTTTGCAATAACTTTTTTGTTTATTAACCGATTTTAATTTAACAAGTCTCATTTTGTAGATAATTTTACTCCCTATAAGCTGTCTGTGAGTCACTTTTCGCTAAAATTGATGGTTTTCCCTGCAAAGTGAAAAAACTGTTTTCCTCACTTATTTGTTTAAATAGAAAAGTTAGCTAATAAAAGTTTTTGACTCACGAGACGAGAGATGTCTTGTATTATATTCCTTTAGACAATTTTACAATAATCTAGCGGATAGGACTTTTTCGAGTTTCTCTTTTATTTTCGCTAATTTTCCTGGTGTATTATGATTATTTATAGTTTCATTTGGTTACTTCATCAGTCATTATTTGTTTGTTACTGATCGTGAGTTATACTTATGATGTCTCTTGAAAACGAAGCTCGAATGAATGCGTTCTGTCGATTGTGAAAACTCTGTAAAACCTGACTGTCTTGTAAATAATAATATTACATTATTCTGTACAGGGTGTTACATTTCCAAGTATACATGGCGTTTGGTCCAAATGGGCCCCACCATTAGAAAGAAGCCGATTGGCAACTATAGCGTTCTCTGGATCTTTCATCGGTACCGTGATTGCGATGCCCCTAAGTTCATATTTAGCCAATTCCTTTGGATGGCCCAGTATTTTCTATTTTTTCGGTAAGGTTTGTAATGTATTGTAATCGGTGAACCAATGCTGGTAATCCTTGAAAGAAAAAATAATATAATCGAATGGATTAGTGTTTATATTAAACTGATATAATATTTCTATAAAAATTTGTGCCAAAAATGATATTTGTACTTAAGTCAGAAATTATTTTTTCTATAGATTATTTTTATCTTGAGTTAATAGATTTTAACGTTTGATATAATTAAAAAATTGAAGAAAACAAACTGAGCGTAGAATATGAGTTATTTAAGATTTAAAATATACCTCACTGCAATAATAGTTAAAATATAAAATACTTAAATACTACTTGGGAAGTCTAAATTAAGATTTACATAGCTATAATTTCTTTCTTTATCTTTTTATACAAGTTTGTCGTATAAAGTGAATTGTAAAATTCTCTAGCAAATTTTTATTACTCCTTATTCATATACAACGTGTCCTACTTTTTTCGGAGACGCCTATGTAATTTTGTCAAAAGTAATCCGATTAATTTGAGTTTTTGTCAAATGGCCACTTGAGGAGAAATTTGGTAATTTTGTGTTAGAATTTCTCCAAAGGCCTCCACTGTAGTATTTCAATGGAGCCCTTTTTTAAAAAATTAATATTGGCAGTTCAAACAGAAAAAAAACTGATATGAAATTTTTTATCGGGCTCCTAAAATATGCCTAACTATAATTTTTTGTGCAAGCTTACAGAAATTTTATTATTTCCTAGGTTGCAAAGAATATTTGCATATTAATTCACTATTATACGAAGGGAAAAAGCAATATTATTCAGTTAATTTAATAAATATTAAATTACTATCAACTTATTATTTTTTAATTTAATTATTAGTTCATTGTATATTTAATTTAGTATTAAGCAGTGATATTTATTGTTATAATATATTATTTAAAAGCAAAATAATTATTTGAAACATTTTTTCCCTTTCTGCAGACATAAGTTAAACTGCAAATTTTCGTTTCAGTTTGGAAGAATCATGGTTATACGGGTATTTTAACACGCTGATAAAGATTGCTTATCTCTGTTTAAACTGCTAATGTTAATTTCGAAAAAACGCTTTGTAGTAAATTAGGTTAAAGTATTAATTAAGCAATGCATTTTTTCTGTTAAATGGAAATAATTATCTTCCTTTATTTTAGGTGGCCTGGGTCTATTATGGTTTCTGGTGTGGATAATCGTGGTAGCTGATACACCAGATCAAGATTCTAGAATTAGTCCAGAAGAACTAGCATATATACATGAAACTCTCAGTAACAGCGACAAAAACAAGACTGCAAAAATGCCATGGAGGGCGGTTTTAACTTCCATGCCAGTGTGGGCCATCACAGTGTCGCATTTTAGTGAAAACTGGGGATTTTACACGCAACTGACTCAGTTGCCTACTTTTATGAAGCGTAAGTGTTCTCCTGAAATGAAATTTCCACATAAATAATACTACATTTCTGCAATTAAAAATTAAAAGTTTACAGATCGTACCTAGACAGACAAGTAGGAAAACTGCCAAACATTTTTACTAATAATTTACAGTAGAGCGCCGATTATCCGAAATAATTGGTTCAGAGGGTGTTCGGACATTTCTGGAAAAACGTCTACTTCTTTGTTAGGGTAGTGGGATGGGTGGGATACAAAGAAAACACGTTTATTGAACAGGAAATACATCACACCGTAATAATTTTTAATGACACACTAGAGTATTACATATTTACAGTATAAAACAAACATATAGCCTAAAGTAGGGATTGCACATACTTAAACTTTTTTGGTCCATTGACTTAGATGTGATAAAAAAACAGTACTGTACAAAATTAACCTAAAAGAAAAAATCGAACATGTTTGCTTAAGTTTTGAGACTCGTTTCTACAATTTTGAGCTTGTCAGAAAGACTAAGCACAACACGTTTACATTTTACCGACATTACTAGAAGTCACTCAGCACAACAATCAACAGCACGACAGTTAAAAACAACACTGATATCAGTGACACAAATTGAGGTTAGGTGTATAGGTGAAAATGGAACGTCGGGTTGGCGCGAATTTCGAATTTACCGACTGAAGCGCTTTCGGTTAACCGACGTTTCGGATGACCGGCTTTCGGATAATCGGGGCTCTACTGTAATCATATTGAGTACCAGCTGAAAATTACTAACAACAAATTAAATATGTTACCATTTCGACTTATTTTATTGAAACACGGTGTATAAGATAATAGATGTTAATTTTTCTATTTGCAGCATTTTAATTTTCTCATTTTTATTAAAATTCTCCAAGAATATCAATTTAACATAACTTAAGAATATTGCACACTACATATGTTGAAATGAAAGCGGCTTACATAATAATATTTCATTTGAATAATTCATATATTATACAAGGTATACAGTTCAAATAAATATTTGTCAAAATTTTTTTCGTTTCTGAGAAAACACTGTTGAGGTGGTGGCGCTAACTTGATCTCAAGGCGATTTTATACAAAAATAAATTACGCAATTGTGTAAAATAGGAATAATTACATAGGTATTTAAAATTTTTAATAATTTTATTTAAGTCAATGTCGCTAATGGAGAGATATGGCTACAAAAAAAATTGTTGTAATTCCAGAAATTATATGATTTTTATCTTCAAGGTTACAAATTGTAAAACTCATTACCTATACCAATATGTATTGTGGTTTGAAAATTGAATGATTTGAAAAAAACATATTAATTTTATGAATTAATCCAATTTGAATCCACAAATTATGTGATTGTTATCTTCAAGGTTTTGAAGCTCGTTATCTATACCATGTATTATGATTACAGCAATAATTTGAAAATTGTATGCGCCTTTTTTATACAAATAAGATAATAAGCTTCTCACAAAAAAACTCCTAATTATTCTCACAGCAATTCAAATGTGTTTGTAGATATAGTTATTTAATTAGCAATAATTTTAAATTTGTTTTTAATAATCGGATATCTATTATATTATTCATTAGTTTTTATTTTTCTACATCTTTACGTGCAACGTTGTAACCCCGCAAACAAACATTTTTTTTTTCAAATAAACTACGTAAGTATACCTATAGACAGTTCCGAATGAATTTTTTTTTAGTCGTAGTCATACATAAAAATAAAAAACGAACTAACGGGTCTAGATCCTCTTGATTTCGTTATTCAAATAAGTAGATATTACTTATATTATACTTATATTAGATATTATTATACCTCTGAAGATTGTTGACGTTGATCGGTGAAACTAGAGCTAAAGGCCTAATTAATTAAAAGCAAAAACTCTCATCTCAAGTTACGAGAATATTGTCATTAAAAACCTCAGAATATCGATACCATTGCGTATTTTGCAAATTAGATAGTTAATTTCTATTATTATTACTGAGAGGAAAAGTGTCGCCTGCTTTATTGAAATTATTATTATTTTTATATAGAAACCACAACATTTCAATAAAAAAATAATTTAACCTAAAAATATATGATTCACAGAAAAGGTGACATTTGTTTAGTAACTTATTGTTAGAAATACAATTTTAAACACGATATAACCATAAAAATGCTCTATTATGTTACTAACTTTATATAAGAATTAGATACATTTATCAAGTTTCCAAAAAACTGCAGTTGAGATTATTTTGGTGTTCTCAATTTTACCTTTTTTCTGCTACTGGTTGATAAACCCTATACCAATTCAGTGATTATAATTATTATATAATCACCGTGTTTCATCAACATCTTCAAGGGAAATTAAATAAATTGACATTTTGTTTAAATTTCAACACCCTGTATTTCGAAGGCCAGTGAATTTAGAGTCTTAAAGTTTTGGCTTAAAATGGTTTAAACAACTTAATGAAGTTGTAAGATGGACTAGAATGGGTCAAATTTCACCACTACCATGAAATTTTTCTTATAAAAATTAAACATAATGTGCTAAAGTTAAAAAAGTAAAATTAGTTGTTTTGTAATATTACGGACCTATATTTATAATTTTAATAGAATTGGAAATACAGCAGGGTACTTTTTTAAATAAATGGTACGCCTCTATCTGAATAAAATAAAAAAAATTGCCATATTTCAATTCATAAAATTTAAACAAAAATTGATTTTCAATTAGCACTATACATTATTATTAGTTGTAACTGTCGTAGCTCTCTAACTTTCTGGTTTTTAAGTTAGAAAAAAAGACTAAACAAGAAAATTGTAACTATGAACTATAAGCATTATGTGATAATATTAAATTTGCACAGAGTTTCTTTAAAAGGAGTTATAACTAAAACTTAATTTTCAAACTAAAAAACATTGTTTAATATTTGAATATGTTTTAGGGTTACAATGATATAGGACTGTAATGGTTTACATCTAATCATGGGATAAGTGGTAATATCTCCACATCTTCCCTATCATTACAGATCGACCCTTATATGATTGTAATTCTAAGTGTTTTGTTCAAATATGATATGATAAACAAAATTTTATGTCAATATAAATACAATAAAACATTAGTTAATAGCTATGATTTTGGGTAACATTTTTTTTTTGAGAAAGTTTTAATATAGAATGACATTCATAACCAATGATAAATATTGCATTGTGCAGCACAGAACGAAAATTGTTTGACTAAAACTAAATTTATTTTTTTAACTTCAACATATACAGGGTGGCCCACTTTTTTGTAGTAGGACTTTAACAGGCGATAGAGAATCGTATTTTAAGTAGAAAAGTTTATATCAATATAAGTCCGCAAAAGCTTCGATACGGACCTACAGGGCGTACAAAAGTGAAGAATTTTTTAATTTTTTCTTTCTAGCGCCTACAGTTTTTGAGATATTTTGTTCAAATTTTGGGGTTTAGTTATTTATTGGGGTTTACTTGGATAGGTATGCCAAATCATTGTGAAAGTCTACCGCGTGATCATTTTTTCAAGGTCGCGGCCCCTTTTCCACCCCCAAATTTTTTTGTGGTGCGCCACTGACCGTGTCCGTTAAAGGAAATCGTTTCCCAGTTCTGTTTAGAAACTTTTTTATCCCTTGTATTTTTTTCGTATCTGCACTCATTTTTAAAGAAAAAATTGAAAAACTAATATCTGTAATAGGTCAATTTAATGAGACTATTCTAAAATGCCACAGTAGGCTGTGTCTGTAACTTAGAAACACACTTTGTTTACAGTTCATTTTGACAGATCATCCTCCAAATTGCAATTGTTGTAAGAAATAAAATTAGGTGGGCACTGAAAACGAGGTGTTAAAGTGGTGATAATAGCGTTCGTTATTCCTGATATTAAAATGCCTTTTTTATTCACAAATCAAGAACAAGCAGACATCCATTTCTGTTACGGATTTGCAGACGGGAACTCGGCAGAAGCAGTTAGAGAGTACAGGAGAAGATTTCCGCATAGACGTCAACCGCATTATTCAGTTTTTATTAACATTCATCGACAATTTAGCACTCACGGTCTTAGAACTGCAAGACCCGACGAAAGGCAAAACAGAATTAATATCCGGCAAGAAAGAATCAACAACCAAATTCTTCGTGAGTTCAATAGGGATCCAACCACAAGTAGTCGAAGAGTTTCTCGCGTCCTTCGCATATCAAAGAACAAAGTTCTTCGAGTTCTAAAAAAAGATCACAGACGTCCTTACCATTTGCAACCTGTGCAAGGTTTGCATGAAGGCGACGAAGAAAGAAGATTGGTGTTTTGCAGGTGGGTTTTGAATTCCATCGAACAGAATGAACATTTTTTAAGTCACATATTGTGGACCGACGAGTCGTGTTTTACTCGCCAGGGTGTCGTCAATTTCCACAACCAGCATGTGTGGGCACATGAAAATCCGCACGCAATTCGTCCGAGAAACTTTCAAGTAGAATTCAGTGTTAATGTTTGGATAGGAGTTTTTAGTAATTATCTGTTTGGGCCTTATTTCTTGCCACAACGCGTAAATGGTGATAATTTTTTGGAGTTTTTAATAACTGAACATGGAAATATGTGGGAAGAAGTTCCATTGAATTTGAGATTAAATGCTTGGTTTCAACTTGACGGTTGTCCCGCCCACTTTCATCGAAATGTAAGGGGGTGGTTGGATTATAATTTCCCACAAAGGTGGATAGGACGTGGAGGGCCGATTTCTTGGCCTCCACGTTCCCCCGATCTAACACCATTGGATTTTTTCGTCTGGGGTTATGTAAAAGATAAAGTTTATATGGTTCCTGTGCATACAAGAGAAGAGCTTATTGACCGGATCCAAAATGCCTGCGATGAAATGAGAAACGGTAATTTTATTGCCGCAGCACAACAATCTATTAGGCGAAGGTGTGAATTGTGCGTCGAACAAAATGGTACCCATTTCGAACAGTTGCTTTAAATTATTACGCTGAGTTGGTAAAAAATACTAAAAATTAGATTTAGAAAATCTGTCCATTAAACTCAACGTCAGGAGTTTCATCATTTGCACAATTTCCTAAATTTCAATTCCTTTTTTTTTATAATTCTTAAATTATCCATTTTTAGTTATTACCTCCCTTTATGAATGAACTCAGCATTAGTCATAGTTAGTTTATTAGCTAAAATTACCTGTTGATGTATTTAACGCTTTTAGTCTGTAGCATTTTAGAATAGTCTCATTAAATTGACCTATTACAGATATTAGTTTTTCAATTTTTTCTTTAACAATGGGTGCAGACACGAAAAAAATACAAGGGATAAAAAAGTTTCTGAACAGAACTGGGAAACGATTTCCTTTAACGGACACGGTCAGTGGCGCACCACAAAAAAAAATGGGGGTGGAAAAGGGGCCGCGACCTTGAAAAAATGATCACGGGGTAGACTTTCACAATGATTTGGCATCCAAGTAAACCCCAATAAATAACTATACCCCAAAATTTGAACAAAATATCTCAAAAACTGTAGGCGCTAGAAAGAAAAAATAAAAAAATTCTTCACTTTTGTACACCCTGTAGGTCCGTATCGAAGCTTTTGCAGACTTATATTGATATAAACTTTTCTACTTAAAATACGATTCTCTATCGCCTGTTAAAGTCCTACTACAAAAAAATGGGGCACCCTGTATATATCGACAAATTCTTATATGAACCACCTCCATCAATTTTCATCGTAAAATCTAGTGGTAAAATTTGGACCGTTTTTTAACAGACATTCTGTATAAGCTAATTTAGTTTCAATTCACTATGTTTTCACGGATGACTGCCCCGAAAGAATGCCTTTAGAAGTACCTATTATTTCTTTCGATTGTGAGGATTTTTTAGATTTGTTCTACTATCCTAACCTCCACCCCTATCGAATCTAATTTGTGCTCACCGGAAACACATTTTTAGACGTCCTGGAGTTCGACTTGGAGAAGACAGGGTTCATGAGCGCACTTCCATACCTTGTCATGTCCATTATGCTTCAGTTTTCCGGTCAGTTGGCCGACTGGTGTCGAGTGAAGGGATACCTAACCACAACTCAAGTAAGAAGGGTTTTCAACTGTGGGGGATTCCTAGGCCAAACGGTGTTCATGCTCAGCGCCGCTTTTTGGCTTTCACCCGTTGGAACCACCTTGTGCGTGACCCTAGCTGTGGGACTTGGTGCCTTCGCATGGGCTGGATTCAGGTAAGATAACCGGAAGAGTACTGTTTTAGTGTATGTATGTGAATTTACTGAAAGTATTTTTTGATCAGATATATGATCAATTGAAACTTCTAGAAGAAAATAGTAAAACCAAAGAGTAATTATTCAAAATATTCTACAAAAAAGATTTTCGATGCAACAGCTTTAAACCCATTTAATTGTTTCATTATCATCTGTAAAGTTGCCATTGCAAATGTTCTAACAGTCTGATCATGATAAGTTAGGACAGTTCTGGTATATATGAGCACCAATATGGAAGCTGAGTTACTGAGATAACAATTTTCTGTCGCTGATAACGAATTTGGAGTCAGAATTACAAATTTCAATGTGGAGGATTTAATATAGCCCTACCAGAAGTAGAAATATTTTTTAAATAGGTATTTCCCGAGTCGTAGATCAAGAATTAAAGGATTATGAAAAACAACATGGCTATGATATGGTAAACATAATAAATAAAGCAAATAAAAAATAGTTCTGTAGTATAACAACCCTAGGTCCGACAAAAAAATAAGTAAACGTAGTTGTGGCCAAAAATATGTGATCGTCATAAGGATTACCTACATTGTGTGTATCCATTTTTAATTGACCGGAAGGCGCTGGCTACTAACTTTGTAGAGGGGATGTATGGTTTAATTATATAAAACAAAAGCAGAGTAAATACACCTAACCTTTATTTACATACAATTCAAATTAAACATGTGACAAATAGAAAGAACAACAAAAACATTAACAACCATTAAACATAAAAGGAGAGTGCCAGGCTCACCTAGAGCTCCTGCGGGGAAAGAGCATGGCAGAGAAACCCACGATCGTTGCTCTTACCACCCAAATATAAATACAAAAACAACCACTAACCAAAGGCATAAATTAAGAACCTTTGCTAATGATAAATAAGACCTGTCTCATTTAATGTGTCACTAAATGTCATCTGTTACCTCATATTAGTCATACACACTTCCAAGTAAAACTGAAGAGGTTTGGTGTTAGTTAGCCGGCAGAGCCGGAAGGTACTGGAGTCCCATACGGGAGGCAATCCAGCTATAGTTGAGATTTCGGAAGATCCTTCATAACACTGGAGTCCCATACGGGAGGCAATCGAGCTTAATCCAGATTCGTTCCGCACGGGCGAAAATGTTAGTAAACTCAACAAGGCTCGTATAGACGTATGACATAAAGTGAGCACAAGAAATCAAAGAACAACCTAATCATGATAAAACAAGTTAAATGTGAAACAAAGAAGTTGCTATTGCTATATCTGGGCAGTCACGACAATATACATATTTTAACATGTAATAAATAATGAGCAATCTTTAATAATAATTGTGACAATTTTATATTAGGAAAATACACGCCCCTGAGCGTAAGACAATGAAGGCTAAACATATACAGAATTATTATCATGAAACATCTAGGTTTTTCGAACAACGTAATCATAACAAAAACCAGTTAGATGTGAAACAAAGAAGTCGTTATTGTAATGTCTGGGCGCCCACACAATATATATATATATATTTTAACATGAAATAAATAATGAGCAATCGTTAATAATAACTATAATAATTTTACCTTAGAAAAATATATGCCCTAGAGCATAAAGCAATGGAAGCTAAACATACAAAGAATTATTATCATGAAACATCTATAACCATCACAATCACAAAATTACATAGAACAATTAACAACAAAGTACTTAAAGAATATTACCTGCTAACAAATACCGGTTAAACACTTAATTTTCCACTTCTATATTTTTCACACTACACTGATCGTCTTGCTTTTCACTCCGCGCTGTTCTCACTTCAACTGCCTATCTTCAACTAACTATTTAGGCTTCCTTCCAGAATTTCCTACCCAAGTGCTTGTTTTTTGTGCTTCCTTCTATCGACCGTTAATATTACTTTTTCATTGTTATACAACACCCATGTAGCAGGTGACGTGGAAGTTGATAAGATAAGTACGGTTTTGCACAGTTCTTTAAAAATTGTTTATTTACAATAATTATTTCAAAAAAATATATAATTTCAATATTCTTTTTAAACAACAATTATTAATTACAATCATGTCACATTTATCAAGCATGAAGAAGATGTAAAAATGACAATTGACATATTCTATTCATATATTTCGTTACATAAGTATCGGGAATAATTTATTTGAATCCTGTGCCAAAGTTGTAATATAAAATTCCAGTTTTTTCATAAAAGAAACGAATCATCATCAGATGAAAAATCTTCATTTGTAGCATCCGTCGAATCTTCTGACGTTGAATGAATTTCTTCTTTATCTGCAATCTTCCCATGTCTTACATCGTCCAGAGAAGGCAAAATCCATTTTACTCTAGATTTTACAAAAACCTATACAAAAAGTTATAGGCAGTTAAACTTTTTTCTTGAAAACTAAATTATTTTTCATTTTATAACGTAAAATTCACGTAAGTTTGGTAGCCAATTACTATTTTTTATAAAAAAAATATTTAGTATTTTAACCTACATAATCATAATCTACGTACTTTTATGAGTTGATTGCATTTTGTTAGAGATAAATCGATGAACTCTACGAAATGTTATAACCACTTAAACACAACTATTACTTCTGTTCCTATACGCTAGCCAGGTGTTGCTCGAGCAGCGGTCGCTTTTGTAGTGATTTAAGAAGCAATTATAGGGGATTAGACCCTAATAGTAATGGATTCTGAGACATAGGATATTACTCTAACTATCCCAACAGTAAAAATTACCGAAGTAGAAACTTTATTTTTTGACTTCTGGCAAGATTTTTGGAATTCTGCCCCACTGTGCAACGGCTTGAAAAACATTATTAATTAATTTATTAACACACGACAGCGTACCGAGATTCAGGGAATGCACGCTCCATAGCAAAATTTAGAATGACTTTACATTATTAAATTAAGCCGAGACTCTAAAACTAAGTAGACTGCTCAATGTGAAACCCAAGGAAGAACGGACTTTTTTTCGTAGGTCTTTCCCGAATTCGACACTTTGCTTCGACGGCCCAGAAGTTTCTTATCGGCGGGAACCCTGATTGTCGGGACGCTTTGGCATAACTATGCCATGTTAATAATTACCTAATTGACTGGACTTACATTTATATACATGATTCTGTAACTAGGCTTACAAATAACCCTATACCTTCCTCTTCTGACTCCGCATAGCAATACGGGACGGATTAGCCATCTCATTTAATATATTCTTAATAGCTTGGAAAATCCGTCTAAAAACCTGCTATTTTACTTTCTTTTCCTCACAACATTCTAACAACTTATTCTTGGAATTCCTAAGTTTTCTTTGGAATGCATTTCGTGCGTTATTACAAATATGGGTTTCTTTGTTCTGGCCCAAACTACGCTGGTGCCTCCCGAACGCAACAGGTGACTGTCACATGGCCCCGACACTAAGTGAACTTGTTCAAAAAATATTGCTAAATTTCTGCGAAGGGCGACACCGTACCTACTTGAGAGCCATTAACTTTCCGATAAATTAGTGTTGACTGAAATATTTTACTCTTTGGCCCATCCGTTCCCAGAACTAACAAATAAATTACTACAAGTCCCGGCTTTTGTTACAGAATCTTGAACTTTTTCTGAAGAAGTATTAGATAACCCCAATGATCTTTTTACATTAGATTATGTAGGTACCTACCTAAGACTCTTTTATATTCTGAAAGCACACTTGAGAAATTGGAAGTTTACGTATGAAACACTTTTTTTTTGTAAAGAGCATCCTCAAGATTATGGAACATGTATTCATCTACTTCGTAATTAACATAATTTTCAATAGTAGGGAACTCATAGAACAATTTATCAGCAGCGGCAATGGCATTATTTGAGCTTGCTTCCTTAACTGACTCACTGTTCAATATTTGATTTGATATTATAGTTTTGTTTTAAACTGATAATTCTACGTAAGGTCCTGCTCCTGCCACTAATGACTTCCATAATCATGCCTGTTTATCTTTAACACATCCTTCTCCTGAATTTGCAAACATGGTTGCAGTTGATAAGTGTAGATATCTAGCAATTTTACTTGGTAGTTTCCTATAGGTACGAATGCCTATAGACTGAACATTAACAGAACATTTTCCATTGCGGTAGCTAACAAATAGTTGATCATTTGCTATCTAATGACTAATGGAATATTCCTCACACAGTGGTTTTATAAGCTTTCTCCTTTCTGAAAAATGGAAAAGGATCAAAGTTTCCTTCGCTTTTTTTACAATACATCAATCGGTGAATTATTTCTACACAAATTCATATTATTTTCGTGTATTCTGCATGTTCATCTGCGCCATCGAGTCTTGATACTTTAATTCAAACTTTTAAGGCTACAATGGCGATTACAGCAGTTTATTCACAATATTATTTGTGTCCTAATGATTGCTTAAAATTTTTAATAATACGTGAGTCCAGTCCTTAGATTTGAGTAAAACTAGCTATATACAAGAGAACTTGTTCTAACAGTTCTCTTGTGCATGAAACTAGCCGTCAAAGTGACATTCTCATTTCACATTTATCTTCAATTTCTTGTAATTGCTTGCTCAGTTTAAGAAGACACACATCAAATTTGTTATGATCTGAAAATATTACTAATTTGTTCCAGTGTAAACCATTTGGACATAGCTCCTAAACATGCTAGTGTNCTGACTCACTGTTCAATATTTGATTTGATATTATAGTTTTGTTTTAAACTGATAATTCTACGTAAGGTCCTGCTCCTGCCACTAATGACTTCCATAATCATGCCTGTTTATCTTTAACACATCCTTCTCCTGAATTTGCAAACATGGTTGCAGTTGATAAGTGTAGATATCTAGCAATTTTACTTGGTAGTTTCCTATAGGTACGAATGCCTATAGACTGAACATTAACAGAACATTTTCCATTGCGGTAGCTAACAAATAGTTGATCATTTGCTATCTAATGACTAATGGAATATTCCTCACACAGTGGTTTTATAAGCTTTCTCCTTTCTGAAAAATGGAAAAGGATCAAAGTTTCCTTCGCTTTTTTTACAATACATCAATCGGTGAATTATTTCTACACAAATTCATATTATTTTCGTGTATTCTGCATGTTCATCTGCACCATCGAGTCTTGATACTTTAATTCAAACTTTTAAGACTACAATGGCGATTACAGCAGTTTATTTACAATATTATTTTCTTAGCACATCCAGTGTCCTAATGATTGCTTAAAATTTTTAATAATGCGTGAGTCCAGTCCTTAGATTTGAGTAAAACTAGCTATACACAAGAGAACTTGTTCTAACAGTTCTCTTGTGCATGAAACTAACCGTCAAAGTGACATTCTCATTTCACATTTATCTTCAATTTCTTATAATTGCTTGATCAGTTTGAGAAGACACACATCAAATTTGTTATGATCTGAAAATATTAATAATTTGTTCTAGTGTAAACCATTTGGACATAGCTCCTAAACATGCTAGCGTATTACTTGGACTCAGCAATACTTTCGCCACTCTACCAGGCATAATAAGTCCAATTTTGACTGGATATATCGTAACCGATAAAGTAAGTACAGTTTTATCAATTTCGCAAACATATCTTTCAAAAAATGTTAACTGAAAGGTTGTTTGAAGCTGACCTAGATCTTTCCAAGATTTCCATCTTTAACCATAATTTGATCTCGTCAATTACTTGTCACTAAATAAATTTTGAATTATGTAAATATTTTAGGCTGAGGTGCGTAGATACCAAATTAGACAAAAAAAAAGTACAAATAAGTACATTTGATCTAGATTTGATACAAATCATTGCCAATTTTGTTATAGAAGAGCGCTGACGACTGGAGGATAGTCTTCTACATCTCAGCAGGAATTTATCTTGTTGGGGCAGTAATATATGGCCTTTTCGCATCTGGTGAAATTCAACCATGGGCCATCGAGAGTGAACCCCTAAATCAGGGGGTGGAACTACATGTAGAAAGAAATAAACTGCAAGATAAAATGAGCTATGAGAACAAGGGTTTTGAACCTAGTAACACATGAAATTTAGGTTATGTTTTGATATTATATTTTGTACAAAAAAAACGCTTTTTTTTCTGAAGCTACAATTAATCTAGATTCTTACTGTAAATATTTAACATTCGTCTTCTGAAAATTTTGTTAAAGATTTATATTGAGTGATTCAGGGTTAAACCGCCATACGTAAACCCTGCATAGGAAATTTTATTTTAAGCAAAAAAAGTTTACATAAACATGTATCCGAAAATGTTTACTAAGAACAGTTTCTAAAACCATTTAACGTAAATGTAGAATTTGGGTGCAAAAATTAAACTGAAGCAAGTGGTTGTTTCAAAGTTAAAATTTTTCAGAATTATTAATCAGTGGTGTACTTATAGGGGTTCTGTGAAACTAACTTTAATCTCAATTACAAACTGTTTTTGGGAAACACTAATAAAAAAAAGCAGCAACAACAATTACTTTATTAGAAAAAAAAAATGAAAATGGAAGAGAAGAAAATGTGTCGTCGAACAGCAGCTAATTAAAAAAATAATAATAAAACCGGCTCAAAACGGCCGCCATCATTTTCAATGCAATGTTTGCATCTACGGACGACAGATTGTGACTCTGATGGTGTGATTTCTTGGGCTGCTTGAACAATCTTTTCCCGGAGAGTATAGCTTCGTCGTTAATGGACATGACATGACTCTTCGTTGTACCCCATACAAAAAAATCTAAGGGGTTCAAATTCGGAGAGCGCACAGACCAAGGGAGCAGTTTTGACCGCTACCAATCTGTCTTTCCGGAAAATAATTGTGGTGCAGCCATCGTCTGACTGGTAGAGCAGGATATCCTTCTAACTAACCTCTGTTTGCTCCATTAACTAGAGGCATGTCATCTAAGACTGTTTCAAAATCATTTTCCAAGAAACGAAGAAAAGCAGGACCATTTAGCCGTGGAGGCAGAAAATACGGACCAATGAGTGAGTTGTCGTATAATCCCATCCAGATATGAGCATAATGCTGATTAAAAATACCAGCACGGATAAAATTGCCTGGTCAGTCCAAATCACCCCAACGAGAGTAAAAAGCATCATTTCTTATTTGCCCCAAGAACCATTCTCTTTTTCGTGGCAAGTCTTCAGGCAGCAAATTCTGAACTGTATGCGTGATGGCCAATTGCTTTCAAAGTCTTGGTCAGAGACTAATTGTAAAAAACATCTCCACGTGCCATTGGAAGGCATTTCGTCAAAGTGATGTAAGATATTTTGTGTTTTATCACTTTGAAGGAGTAGGGAAATACTGTCTGCTCGCGATTGCAATGAGGCTGATTCTGTTGCTCTTAGACATTGAAAACTATTGGAAAATAATTATCTGTGGGGCCATCTCCTTAGAAGAAATCTGCGGGCGTACTCAGCTGCTGCAGCGTGCGTAATACCATCATAATACCCGTTAACAAACACATTGACAGTCTACGCATAAACGCACATAAAATTTGAGTTAATAAATTGACATGTCAAAGACTGCCAAACTTCAATATAAACCCTCAATTGTTGTCAAAGCCTACTAAACGCTGTAGCGCTCTTAGAAAGCATTTGTGCATACATACAGGCTGTTACCAATACGCTTCTCACTACAAGGATCTCGCAAACAGTAACAGATACGAAGTAGCTTAAATGGGGGTAAAGTTGCATAATCAGGGGTCCAACATTATGCCTCTAAAAAATCAAGGCTAACATGATTAGTTTTCGAAATAATAAAAAAGAACGAATTTTGGAAATCCGTTTTTGTTTTATTTCAGCCTTCTTTGAGGTGATATTAAAAAAAGAAGAACACTTTCTCATGTCAGCATTTTGTCGTCTATCGAATGACATAATCAATTTTTATACAGGGTGAGTTTTTTTGATGTTTAGTGTAGGGATCTGGGAAAGTAGCGAGATACAAAAAAGCTTAAATGAGGAAACATGTGCAGATTTATGATGTATCTAATTTTTTAGAAATTTCTATCTTTCTTGAATTATCGTATACTTTAAGTCGTTAAACCTTATGGAATCTGGAATGGAAACCTATTTGGAATGAATATATTGAAGATGAATTTTTCGAAACAAAGCGTCTGAATTTGGTTCGGGCTGAGGCAGTTCGGGTCATGAAGGTTTGGAAGAAAATGAATTTAAAAGAATGAAGTTGATTATGGTCCTGGAGAGACGAAACGTTATATATAAAAATTGATCAAGCCATTTGATAGAAAGTAAAAAGTTTGCCATGAGAAAGTGTTCTTCTTTTTTCAATATCACTTCAAACAAGGCTGAAATGAAACAAAAACGTATTTCCAAAATTGCGGCTTTTTTCTTTCAAATATTTCGAAAACTAATAAAGTTAGCCTTGTTTTTTTAGAGGCGTAATAGTTCGTATCTCTTACCTTTCCGAGATCCCTGCAGTGAGAAGCGAATTTGTAACATCCTGTATGAACTTTCTTGCATAAACTAAAATTTCCTTTGCGTGGTTTACGTATGGCAGTTTAACTCTAACTCACCCTGTATATTAAACAATGCTCTCTTAAAAAATAATAAGAAAATATATTTTGCTTTTGCATTTTGGTATCAGGGAAATAAAATATTAAAATTTTAAATTAAAGGTACAAAAAAGATTGCGATTATATAATTAAGCAAGTATTGCTATGTTACGTAGATATTGATCCAAAGTAAAAAGAGATAAACTTCAAACTTAATATATCCAGTTAGTATTTAAGTACCTACTTTTTTTATGGAGAGATTACCTTTATCTAACTTACATTGTACCAAATTGTAACCGATAAAGAAAACTCATACATAATAAATGAATATTTATTTTAAAATATTTAAAAAATACTTTGGTCCCAGATTTTACAATAGTAAAATTATTCTTCCTCCTCAAAACTGAACTTCCTCTAAGTTATTTCCTAAATAGAAATATATAATAACGAAGAAAAATATGTACAATGTGAAATAATTAAAAAATAGAGAAAGCCCAACTGTTATTACAGTACTATAAACTGCCTTATGAAATATGGAATTATCGGTCTTTAAACCAAGCTATTGTTTTACCAAGTCAAGGTTAGACAAAATTAGTCGGCAATTAGTCCATGATGAAACAGTTAAGAGATATGAATCATGAGACCTACCCTATTCCGAATACTTAATCCTGGCGAACCTCACGCATTCATTATCTTTATGTGTATTTCTATTTTGGTGCATAAATTAAGAAAGCTAAAAGCTACATTTTTGTAGAATAAAATTGTTAGCCTTTGTAAGTTGATATTGCAGACGTTGAACAATTTATATTGAAAACAATAAAACCTTTAAGGTCTAACAATATGGAAAATATAATTATTTGAATTAATTCGTTAAAGGTTTCTATCAAAAAAAGTTAAATACTTATTTGATAAAAACCTCAACTCTTGTGTGTGATTAAAGATTGAACATGATAATGATAATCCTAAAAGTTGCGATACTAAATGGTCTGTCAGTTTGGAAGTATCAAAGATTAACAAACTGCATAGAACTCAAATAGAAAGAGTAGAGAAATGTTTATATGATTTGGATATTTAGTACAAGTAACGGAGTTTTACCACAAACAAAATATATTCCTGTTTTCCTTCTCTACCATTTACTGATATAATTGAACTTGAAGCTGAACATTTGATTTACTTATTTTTAAATATTAAAATTTAGAAAAAAATTCTCTAGGTAGTATCTCACGTTTCATACCTATACATTTTTTGGTCCACGGTTTTTCGTACATTTCCTTGAACTTAGACCGATTTAAGTCATCCCTAAACACTAATTTATAAATCATTTATTAACAATATGCCCTAAACCTGTGACGAAAGAGAGCTACAAATATTAATGACGTCCACTGCTACACCGTTTCTTCGAACAATTTGTTATTATCCTGTATTCATTGTCGTATACATCAGGTATTTCCATCTGCACGCACTCGTTGAATACCATATGGACCGTATTGGATCCGAACAACTGTTTTTCGTACTCGATCAGTTGCTTGAAAAACCCACAATTGGGCTTTATCCTCGGCCGTCGAAGCTTAACGAAGTTGTAGGCTTCCAGTAAAGGTAGTTGGTGGTGCTTCATCAGGTAGGCTATGCAAATGGTGGCTGATCGACTGACTCCTGCTACGCAGTATACCAGAGTCTTCTTTCCTGCACTACAGACCTGAAAAGATAAAAGAAGTTTACTATGTTTTGATGTGAATCCTAGAAATTGAGGTGGAACTAAAAAATTTTACGATCTTGTTCATCTGCTTATTGATTTCAAACCAATGAAATTATTGAGCCCTAGCAAGTAGGCTACTTCTAACGCTATATTAAATGAATGAATTTTGTATCTTTAAAACTGTGACTGTTTGGATGCTGTTAAAATTACCTTCAAAGGTCTTCCGACCAAGCTTGGTGACTTCGAAAATCGGAAAGAAATAAAATCGTCTTGAGCCCGAGATTTTGTGAAAATCCGGAATCCATTTTAGAAGGCATTACAATTGAATAAGATCGAATTAAAGTTGATCCCCTTAATCTCAAAGAGCACTATTTTAGAACTATTTAAGGTTTCGTCCATGAAAATCAATCACTCTTTATAGTATTACATCTTACAAAATAAAGAACAGTTGGGATTTTTGGTGTCTGCAGTCTATTAGATTGCTACTCTCGTAACTTAAAAGCATCAAGATTTAACTTGATTGTATCAGCAGGTCATGATTATTTTATTGGGTACCGAGCTACGTGACAAAATTTATATTTTCTGTAAATGACCATTCCGCAGCACATTAACGTCTAAATTTACAGACTTAAAAACATCGTAATTAGCTTTTATATGGTCAGTTAGGCACCTACTCTATCCTATTATTCTCGTCTCGGTAGCACTAAAAAAATAAGCAGGCGTCTTTCAAGTAAGCTAATTAAAGTATCCGTGACTCTGTAGGCAGAAGTGTAACATTATTGCCAACGATGTAAACAAATGCTCAAAATAAGATGAGCGGTGATGTGTCATTGTGCTTTGACGCAAATAGAGCGTTTCTCGAATAGGTGAGGTAGAAATATTTGTCACAATCGTTTATCTTCAAAACTGTTTAGTTTTAATGCCTTTTTAAAGGTGTTATAAAATGTATAAAGCGAAAATAAAGAATTACTTTATTTCACCATATTTTGGTCCAATTGATTACATTTTATAAGATTATTTAACATAACAAGTTTAAGAAAATTAAAGCTGTTATATTGTGTCGTATGTACAGAGACTTCACAAATGTTTACAAGCCATGTGACTGCCGAGCTTAGACAACCAACATTGCAGGTCTGGTAGTGGTAATGAAAATTCCGTCTTCGCTCGAGACAATGTGTTCGCTGCTTGGCTGAATAGAATCTCAGCCAGTGAAACAGTTTTAATGTAATCCTGATTTTATCGTCATAAGCATTTTTAATTTAGCAGAAATTTAATTGTCAACATGAAGGAAATAAAATTCCCGAACAAAATTACTGGTCACGTGGCTTGTAATCATTTATGAAAGCACTGTACTTAATCCTCTCCAGTTACAGACTAATCATACAGGTCTTTAGCCTTAATTAGGAATTTTTGATCTATCATTGTTGTTCTCGGGCTAAACTCTGTGGGTTCGAACCAACTCTTAGGCCCATTGATTTCGGTTCTTTATTATTAGTTCTAAGTCCTCAGTTATGGCGAAGTTTTTATAGATGCCGATAGTGAGAAACTGTGAAACGTTTGAAAGCACTTGACGCGACCCGTTACAAAGACCGCTGCGGAACGTTTTGAAGGACAACAGCTTTTTCCCTAGCGGCTTTACAACCAACAATAGGACCCAAAATCAATATCATGGCGGGCCTAGGGGTTTTGATAGCGTGTCTTCCCTCACAGAGCATGTCAGAGTTAAAGCTAAGAAAATGTACTATATGTTTGTAACTGAAGAACCATTTTATTTAAAAGAACAGCTCGGAATGTGAATGATTCAAAGACACTAAGATGACGAGGATTACTATTACAATTGGAATCTATTTTAGCGATGTATCAAATGAAAATAAATACTATGCAGATTTTCAGCTCCACCTGATCCATTTATTATTTTATTTTTTTGCATAAAAAAAAGAAATGATGTTCATTGATAGATATATTACTGGCAGAAAATATTTATAAATATCATCGAACCTTCTGATCGTGAGGTATTCATGTTTTCTATTTTTAAAGCATATTTTGGTTAATGGACTGTTAAGCACCTACGTAGCAGAAAAATATGAAAATTTTTCTATTCTCATAAAAAAAATAAATATATTCTTCGTGACGCACATTCCTTTATGCCTTCAAAAATGAAACGTGCTTTGTTTGGACGAGCGAATGAAAACCGCGAGATTCAGTTTTTTCAAGTAAGTACGATATATGAAAGAAATCGACAAACTTTGAAATATGTGTATATGAAAACAAGAGGAAATGGTGATTATTCCGATTGTATTTAACATATGTAAGCCATTTCATTTGTTTTGGAATTTTACAAATATTTGTTATGTATACAGTGTGTCCAAGATAAGGATGGCATAGCATTAGGATCTAGGAAACGGTAAGAGATACGGAGTGGCTCAAATTAGAAAAAAGTTATGTTTTTTATACCTAACAATATGCCGTTTTAAAATTCCGCGTAGTTCCAGAGATATCCGAAAAAAAACGAAATTTTGCAAAATCGTTTTTTTTAATCAATAATTTAAAAAAGATGTACCTAATAAAAAAATAATACGAATTTATGAAATGTTTTATTATTTCTAATCAGTATTGCTAATAGTACTAAAAAAAATGTTAGATATTTTGTGCTGTATTGACTTTTATACTGTTATGACTTCCTCCAATAGATATTTTAGATATTTTGAAAACGTTCAGAGCCGTACTCAGGAAAAATTTTAAATGGTAGCTGAAACAAGCTAAAAACTTTGTTAAGCGATTACAGTAGTAATATCATATAATTCAGAATTAAAAATGACTAGATTTTGTTATAAAAACAGCAGCGACGTATTTAAAAAAATTAACCTGATGATGGCTCTTGGAAGATGAAACGTCGGATTGCAAAAATGTTGACGCCATTGGATAGAGCGAAAAAGTGACATATGCAATTTATTTTAAAATTCGGTTTCAAATAAAGCCAGAAGAAAAATAAAACGATTTTGCAAAATTTCGGGTTTTTCCGGATATCTTCGGAAAAAACACAACTTTTTTCTAATTTGAGCCACCCCGTATCTCTTACCGTTTCCTAGATCCGAATGCTATCCCATCCTTATCTTGGACAGACTGTATACGTATAAGTTATCGGCAATTCCGATTTCTGCATTCTTCCAAGAAATAATTTGCTTGGAAAAACAATTTCTTAGGTAAAAGAAATCAAAACATGAATAAATTCTGTACATTACATCTGATACCCTTCTAAATCGTATTTCAAGATTTTCAGTGCAAGGTGAGGACCACACCGATTTTCTGAAAAGTATGATTCACCATGAAGTGACAAGAATTTTTCAGTAGCAAACACATGTTTTTAATTTTATCTTGCTTATTTCCGTGAAGGTTAAAAATAAAGACATAATACGAGTCCGTGTCATGTCATAAAAAATAATAACACGGTATCTGTGACTTTCATGACAGGAACAGGGAGTCACTTAAAAATAAAGGTTACGGCCTTAACGGCGCCAGGGTTTTGAAAACATTGAGTGGAGTGAGTTACAAAACGAGCAAAAGATCTTGATAGTCTGAAGGCAATGGTCTCTGTATAGCAAACAAATGCTTGTTATGTTTAGAAATACGAGCGTTTAATCATGCATGTCTGCTTTCTAGAGAATTTTGATTTATATCGACATGAAATATTGCTGAGCTATTTTTACATCAGTCATATAGCGTTAGAAAAGATATGTGATGCGCCCAGTTCTATTGTCTACGATAAAATCAATATTTTGGAATTATTTGCGTAATTGGGGTTTCGCCATACTAAAAAGAATTTTTTTTTAAGTAAATAACCTCTTACGCCAGAAAAATCAAATTATAGGGTTGATAAAGGAACTAACTACTACTACTTTCTCAATCTGTAGTATTCTGGCTACGCAATAGTTATTTACACCATAAAGGAGGTAAGTATTATTTACTAGCCGAGGATGATTTTGCGCCCGAGCGGAGCGAGGGCTGGTCCGAGACTGGTAAATTATACTTAACTGCTGCGTGGTGTATAACACTTTATCTGCTGCCACAGTTCTTTATGGTTCATGAAATAAAGATTAGGTTTTATTTTTTGACATTTCTTAATCAATTCATTTTGACATTATTCGAAATCATGCAAAGACGCATTGGTTGTTTGGATTTTGTCGTTTCTAAGGTGTTTATAAACAAAGCTACATAAAAGTTGCAATTTCGCTGGTTTTGAATTATTATTTCTAAATGAGTGATTTTCAAATAGAAAGTGCAGCAAATGCTGCATGCGAATTTTTATTATCCGAGAAGTCGAAAGTGCGCTACGGACGAGCATATGGATATTTCAAAGAATGGTGCCAGACAAAAATACTGGTGTTTCTGAAATGTCACTGCTAGCATATTTCATGGAGAAGTCAAGAACATTAAAGTCACCAGCGATTTTGTGGAGTGAATAGTCAATGATTAAGTCAATTATTTTCATAGAGGAGAACGTGGATATATCAAAGTACCCCAAGCTGAGGGAATTTTTCAAACGCAAGAATGACGGCTATACACCTAAAAATTCTCAAGAAATTTATCAAGATTAGATTGGAAATTAAAACTAAATTGTCACGCTTTTTTGTGCGCTATCAAGCAGGTAGATGTTACAACCAAGAAGTCGGCAAAAATATCCTTTCTATGATTCCTAATAAGATTGCACAGTTTTTGAAACTAGAACATCCTGAAACATATACAGGCCATTCATTCCGAAGAACATCGGAAACGTTATTGGCTAATACAGGAGTTAATGTATTAGCAATCAAGAGACATGGTGGGTGGAAATCAGCCACAATTGCAGAAAGTTAATATATGTTGCCAACAGGATTCTTTACAATGACATTTCAACTCCAGATTCTACTAGTAGGTATGTCGCATCATGCTGTTTTAATGGATCAGTTAGATAATATTGAGCGTCCGGTGATTGAAATGGAGCGGTCAAATCATTTTGAGAAAAATGTGACAATTAGTAAACGCGAGGGGAATAATTATTCAGATTTTTTTTATAAATGTTACTAAATGCAATAACTGTACAATTACTATAAATATTCATTCATAATAATTAATAAAATGAATGTTCATCAAATATTTCTATTTATTTGTTCATGAAATATGCATTTATAACTCGAAATCGCATTTTTTCCCTAGGGAGGCAAGTTTCCTCACTTACCTCCCATTGTCCATAGCAACTTCCACTTCTATAGTAAAATCCACTTACCTCATTAAAAACAATGTATTAATAGTATATTTTCTATAGTGGGAGCACATAAAAGTTCATTTAAATGAGATATGATAAAAAAAGTACTACACAAATAGGTGGTCACTGCTACTCAGCAAGACCAGTCTCGCCACTATCAAGACAAAAACAATTTTAATGGAAGATATTACAAGGAAGGCAGTACTGACAGTATCAATTAAAAGCTGGGATCATTCATCAGTAGCAGGTGCGAAATAGCGGGTCGCCATCTGCCTACATTGAAAATCTAGACATTGAATAGCAGTGACTATTCATACGAGTAGGTGTAACATTTTGTTTATCTTAAATCTCACTTATATCTAAAGTTGACACAAAAAAATAGGTGGATCATTTAACGGTCAACTCATCTATTAATGAGAAATAGTAAGTTCGGTATATGTCTGGTGGTTCTACTGACCAGCGGCACTAGCATCACTCCGTAGAGTAGTGGTTTTCCGCAATATCATTGATTAAAACTTAATTTATAAAATCAAACCCTTGATTCGCATTTCTAAAGCAATGGGTTGGTTATTTTTAAAAGAATATGTGACAGAAGTATTCAATTAAATAAAAAGGGTAACGGAAAATACCACAAATAAAAGATTCCAAACATCGTCTACCTATTTAATAAACTGCTATCTAAATCCTCAAGATACTACAGAAATATGGAACGCACTGAATATTTTGTACTATCTTGTTGGTTTTCATTTTCCATATTGCATTTCTTTCATGTGTGAAATTATGCAAAAACGTTTAACTTAATTAGGACCATGGCTATGGTGCATTAGAACTATTAGAAGTTTCAGAGCTCTTCCACATTCTCCATTTTCAAATATCCAGTAGTTCAATAGTTTATTCAGTTCTTCGTTCAACTTCATATCCTCATTTTTTTTATTATCTACAATATTTCTATCTATTTTTTTTTCAAGAGTGAAAAAATGAAACGTTTTTTTACTAATTCCTTCAGATTTCGTTTACTAACATTAATTTTCAAACTTTTATTTTTGTTCTCTCTTTACAATACCATCAAATCTAAGTTTAACTGTTTTTATTTTCATTATTTGTCTTAAAAAAAACTTTAGAAAACATTATATAGACCAAGGAATTCTTAACAAGTACAAAAATATTACATTTATATTTTTTGACCCACATGCCTCCTTACTATAACCTAAACATAACAGAACAGGACTCTGGTATTTAAAAATAAAGTAACATGATTCATATTGAATTTATTTTTAAATCATTGAATTCCAACCTAGTGCATTCTTTCAAAATGAAAATATTTGCAGGAGTCGTACACCCTAATTTAAATAAATAAACGATTTATAGATTTTGACAGTATATTTATTCTAAAATATTGATTCTACTTTTACGTCAAATTCATGTTTATTTGTTCTATATGTCAATCGAATATAGCGTCTATGGACGAAGAACACTAAGCAGATACAATTTTAAAAGAATGAATGAAAAAATGTTTCGAAGAATGTCGGATATTTAAAATACTCTGTTATCAACAAATTCAACAATGGTATGAAATAATATGTTAGTATTAATTTGTAGGTGTAATTGGAGTTTGTTTTTTTTTATCCTTAATTATAAAAAATATAAGTAATATTAAATTGTTTCCGGGCATTTTAACATTTTCAAAAAGAAATAGACACACATTTATACTCACTTCATGGATCAAATCTGCTGTTTCATCAAAAAACGGGAGTATTCTTGAGTTACCAGAGTCGATGATGTTTATCCGGTGGTAAATGACGTCATCTTGTAGAGGGGTGTAAGGCAGTTCAGGGGCACACGATACTATGCATGATATATTGAAGGTTTCAAGAATGTGGGGATTTACGCTGGCTGCCGAGGTTAAAATTAGGTCATCCGTCAGTTCTGACAGGTTATTGAGGAACGGGGATAGCAGTCTTGACTGTATGGACTCCGACGATTCGGAGCTGAAATAAAAATGAATACATCTCCATAAATAACAGTGACATGAGTGTTACTAAAATAATAGCTGGATTGCATAGAAAGCAGTTGTTGGATTATAAGGTTAGGAAAATCAAAGAAAAAAACGTCTGCTGAGCTCTACTCTTATATAGATTTACAGAAAAGTGTCGGTTCCAATGAGTTTTAATTTTTATAACTATGTCACTATGCGACTGTTTCAAGATATTTGCAAAAAACAGTAGACGATTCTCCTGATCATTGCAGAAGAGTTTGTATAAACATAGTCTTCAAAATGATTCATTTTTGAAATGTACAGTGCTAAAAAGTTACATTTCTTTTTTTGTTTGTACACTATATAAAAACATACAATATCATCTCGAATATCATACAATTTGGAATATCTATCACACATAATGCATTGTAGTGACATTTGGTTAATGGAAATTTATCAATTTTAGCAAAGCAGGACAAATTAATTTTAATTTAATAGAGAATGCTTGGTAAATTTATTTAAGAATATATTTCCATCTAGTATGAAAGACAAATACTTCAAAAACTTTCTTTGAATGCATTCAAATTTGTTGATAGATGTAGAGTAGCACGAATTACAAAATAATCTAGGAAATCTTAATTTAGGAATAAGAAACGTATTCTATAACACAAACTTCCGACAAGAATCCCAAGCATTTGGAACATTCAACTAGTGCATTATTAATGTGATCAGAAATTGTATTTTGAAAATAATTAATTTTTGAGATAAATATCTTGAGATCATCATCATAATGTCAATGAAGTTACTGTCAATGAAGTATTCATTGTCATTTATAAAAATGAGGAACAGTAAGGGTCCGAGACAGGAACCCTGTGGCAAACAAGATGTACCAAACAAACTGTAAACGTTCTAAGATGTAAGATTTTAATAGACGAAGCAAATTATCAGAGACACCAGTCGTATTCAGTTTATTAAACTGAATGCTGTAATGAAATCTATTAAATTCCTTACGTTAATTGGTATAGACGACATCATTAGATGCCGACAATTATATAATAATTGTCGGTATCTAACGCAGCATACAGATATTGAGTGTAGTATAGAAGATTAGATGTAACAGATCTACATTTCATGAAGACTATGATGAACTTGTTTATCAAATTCCATACTGAAATTGGTATAGATGACATCAACGTAATTACTAGATATTGAGTCAGACATAGAAGATTAGTTGTGGTGGATCTACATTTTATGAAAATCATGATAAACTGAAGTAATTTTTTTATAAAAGGTACTATAAATTAATAATTTCGAAGACCTTCGAGAAGTTGTATATAGGTAATAGTTATTGGTCTTTAGTTCTCGGTAGCCTTTTTTGTCCTTTTATGAATAGAGGAAGCTTTTGAGGCTTACTATATTTCTAGAAATATACAGGGTGAGTCATTAATAATAGTACACCGCTTAATGGCAGATTGTTAAAGTCAAAATATAACGATTGAGCCAAACATGCCTTAATCAATTGTTGCTCATTTTCGTTCTACAGTTGAAAAAATATTTTCTTTTTTTATCTATATTTTAAGTATGTATGGACCGATTGTTTTGAAAATTTGTAGTTTTACGTTTTTTGAGGTGGCAAACACGAATAGTGTTGGGGTCACGTCTAGGGGGCGCTAGTTGTACTGTCCTGTCAATGTAAAAATATGTCTAACTTTTTATATTTTACAATTTTGAATTTTTTAACTAGAAATTGTTAAACTACGTTCAATTCTAAATAAAAAAAGGTATACCTACTTGTTACAAATCGATAAACTCAACTGTTTTCGAGATACAGACATTTTAAGTTTTTGAGATTCGACGGAAATTAAATTAGAAAATTATTTTTTCCAACGTAGTAGGCATGGACATAATAAATTGACAGCCGTCACTACAATACCATATTGTTTTCTACTCAATTTGATTAACAAGTATTTTTTTCCATGTCGTTATTTTTTAGAGAAGAGAATATCTTAATAAAAGGCTAAGAAAGTACATTGAAGTTACTGGTAGTTAATAATTTGTTAAGATATGCATAATAAAATCTTTAATTGCTGTAATGTTTGTCTAAATTCTTAATTCAGGCTTGGTATCTTAAGACCTGCTAAATTTCTAATTTAATAATTGATTAAGGCATGTTTGGCTCAATCACTATATTTTGACGTTAACAATATGCATGAAGTTGTGTACCAACCATTATTAATGACTCATCCTGTAGAGGTTTTCAAAGATAAATAAAAGTTAAAGGAACGACCAAGATAAATATAATATAATCCCATATTAAGAAGAATGGAATTTGAATTATGAGCGATATAAGATTTTCGCATTTTTGAATTCTAATTAAACTGATCCGTCATATAAAATGGTTTGGTTATTTATTTTTTGTTGAATTAGCAAATTAATTGTTTGTACAAGGATTGTTATAAACTATCCAACTATTACTTTATACAACATTTTGACAATTCAGTTAAATTTCGTAGATTTACAGATAACAAAAATGCAATTTTCACATGAACAAGAGTGATAAAGGTTTCAAACTTATTGATTAATTAATTTGAAGAATATATGGCTTTATCCCGTGTGAAAATTGTATTTTTGAATAATGAACTTTAACACTGTGAACGAAAATTAAACTGAACTGTCAACATTTTGTTTAAAGTGGACGTTTTCTTTTCAAAGCACTCTTTGTAAAAATAGACAATTTGGTATTTTAACGTAAACAAAAACGATTAAAGATTAGAAATTAAACTTCTCATCGACAAGTTATTCGTCATGAAATTCCGACCACTTTGCCATTATTTTACCGATTATGTACCTCTTAACATAACCGAGATACCAATGTTTTTAACTGTTTTTTTTTTGTAATTAAGAACACTCCATATCACAAAAAACCAACTTTCATTAACTTGTGGCATAGAATATGCCATTAACTTTGGCTAAGCATTTTAGTAACACCCTGTATAAGATTGTGAATAAATTATAAAACGTGACGCGTGCCTAAACTCCTATTTTGATATTCTCGCACACCTTTCGTGGTTAAGTTATATTTGTACATCAAAGCCATCCGAGTTCAGAATAAATTGCAATAACTCGGAGCCACAAATCATGCGACGTTAATTGTGTCATCGAGGCAGTTTATATAGTCACGATCGTTATATAAAAGCCACAAATTCATTTTGGCCGGTCCAATAACTGTGACACATTTCACTTCAATCATACAGAAAGGTAGGCATAATTAATTCAGCGATATTTCAGCGTAAGCATAAAGCTCCGAGGCAATTTATAAGTTGGCAAAAGTTTCTAGGACAAATTTCATGCATACCTTTAGAAGAATTTATAACTTTACTCATAAAGTCTTTCCTGTTTCGCTTTAGCCAAACGTAAATTATGTATGATTACGGCCAATTTGCAGAATTTATGCACTCTTTGATGTGATAATTAACGCCGAATGGTTTTCTCCTTTTGGAAATGTGACATGCGTGTAGTTTATCAAATGTCTTGTTAGTGTCAGCGCTAAGGTGGACTTTTTCACTGGCTAGGTGACAATTAAGAAAGAGGCGCACAAATTAGAGAGTTGTATGATTCAGGGTGCTCCAAATTTTTCGAAACTACGAGAAAATTAAAAAATTGGAGTAGCTGTAGCTTCTGTATAATAAAAAAATAAAAAAATAAGTAAATAAAGTAATAAATATAATAATTTACATTATAAGAAAAAATGGGAAAAGGTACCTATTCTTCTTCTTCTTCTTCTTTTTCTTCTTCTTCTTCTTCTGTCAGAATATGTTGGGTGCCAGGGCACAAAGACATTTGTGGAAATGAGAACGCGGATGAACTTGCTAGGAAGGGATCCGAGACAGAGTTCATTGGCCCGGAGCCCTTCTGTGGCACATCTCCCAGTGTGGTCAGGCGAGCTCTGGGCACAGAACACAGGAAATACTGGACTTCAAGGCCAGGACATAACCATTCTAAGGAGCTCATGGAGTATCCTTCGAAGGAAAGAGCGAATGATCTACTGAGCTTAAACAGAATCCGGCTCAGGAGAGTGACAGAACTCATAACGGGACACTGTCACTTTAGGAAACATCTACATAAGCTAACGCTTGTAGACAGTCCGGTCTGCCGAGGATGTGAATCGGTGGATGAAACTTCTCTGCATATCCTGGGCGAGTGCCCGGGATTTGCACGTAGCAGAATGGCGCTCCTTGGGAGACCCTATTTGAACCCAAGGAACTGAGAGAAGTGTCAGCAAGGAAGCTTTTGGACTTTGTAAAAAGGACAAATCTACTTGCTGAATAGGACTAGTGTAGTGGGACGCACAATAGGCCTAATTAGGCCGCAGTGCTATGGGACTTATTAGGACCAACCACTAGATGAATAAGAAGAAGACCTATTCTAGTATTAACGCATTTATTTATTTTTACGTTTATATATTTTATATTAATTGTGTATTATTAACATTTTTAATTCGATATCAAGATATATGTTAAAGTTTTTACAAAATATGTATTGGAGCAAGTCGATTCCTGAATACATAGGAATACAGGGTGTTAAACTTCAAAAAATACTTTTAATTGTTTTAAATAAGTAATTTAAAAACTAGTAAGTGAAATAATTTGAAATTGGGCACATGTATGTAAACATTGTCCAAAATCTTAATGCTTTTCCTAAAATTTACACGCTCCAGTGGCGGAGATACAGGGTATCGGTGACATATTTTTCTAAATAAAATAGTACGCCACTGTTATTAATTTCTTTATTCGAATAAATAATAACCGAATGATTAGTGCTTGTCATGTCATTTAAATAAAAGTGTTTTCAGTTGTTTTTTTAAGTTTTACTCGAAAATCAGTCTTTTTTCGAAAAACATAAAAGAGTAGTATTTTATAGAACATTGAAAGACGAATCCGAAAATATCATGACTGTTAACGTAAAGCAGTGGTAAATTGTTACAGTAGTTTTGGTAACAGAACTTTATTGGCTTATCTTTTCTTGGAATTCTATCTTAACAAATATTGTACGGACTCTAAGGGACAACTCTACATGGAGGATCATAATAAGTAGGGAGTTATGGATGATCTTGTGTGTTTAAGGATTACAGAAAGATCGGAGTTTTATGTTTGAAAGCAAAACGTATAAAAATACCAATGATAGTATGCACTAGCGTGAAACATTTTAGAGAAAACTTGCAAATGAGAAAGGAACGTTAGTATTCTTAAGGGGTGTATTGCTAAACATTGAGAAAAATAACGAAAGTTGAAAAGTCTCATTATTAGTAGTTGGAGCTAGGTAAAGAGATAGCAGCCTCATGGGAGATATTGATGTGAATTAAGGAGAGTGGACACTTTATGTTGTAGGTTGGAGTGCTGTTTTTGTTGAAATATATTAAAATCTGAAAGTTATAGTAAAAAATTAAACAAAAAAAATTTTGAATGTCCGTAACTCTTTAACTCTTTAAGAAAACATTTTTGTATAATATGTTATAGGTTAATTGTATTGGTTTGGCAGGAGAAAGCTTTGGTTAATTAAATTCTTTACACCGAATTTTGATTCACATTGTATTCTTACATATTTACCTAGAATGAGTCATTCTCTCAAAGGAATTCCTGTCATTACTTTACAATTTATTATTTTTTTAAATTTTATTTGATTATTTAAATTATTTATATCTATCAATATTTTCCATTTACGATTATTACTCTTATCAGAGAAAATAGTTTATAACACTTAATAGTTTTTTTTACAGTCTGAGTCAATTTGATGTACTTACACTAATAGTCCAGTCATTATAGACATGAAAGAGCCTGTTTTGGGGAAAAAATACTATTAGAAGTTTATCTGCGAAATATTGTTCGGAAACCTGTTATAAATAAAANTACACACTGACAGTATTCATTTTGGGGTACTTGCAAAACACAATAACCTTCAAATTCCTTAAAATTTTTCGCCTGCGCCCCTCACACCCCCCGCAGCAATTATGATGTACGTCCTCTTTTCAAAATGCGCCCCCCCCCTGTATTCAAACCCACGGGCCGCCACTGATTCATAAATGAAGAAGCGTTTTCTTTTTCTAAATTTAAGAATATTCTTATAATAAGTGAGGTGCAAAGTGAATTTCTCAAATAATATGCAGGGTATCTGGTAACTATCTGCAAATCTCTCGACAGCATAAAGGGGAGGTGAAAATAATATTAGAACTTTCTATTTATTTTCTCATGTTCCTCCTAACTGAGATATCAGTCAAGTTCCCAAAGTGTATCTGGTGACTTTTATTTTTTGCTCTAACTTTAAAACCACCTTTGGTTTATTAAAAGTCTGCTGTTGCGTATTAGGTACAAATCGGTGTAAAATTAGTCTGTTATTGATACAGATGTCCAGAAACGGACTGGCCCTAACAAATATTCAGTTCTTGAGACAAACCAATTTCTCAAATGGGCAGAAATTAGATATATTTTTAAAAATTGTTCTAATAATCATAGCTTAAGAGAAATAAGTAAAAGATTAAATATAATAATTTACATTATAAGAAAAAATGGAAAAAGGTAAATATCAATGCTTCCCCAGTGCACATGAAATAACATTCCAGGATTATTACGAATCTGACTACAATTCTGTTCTCAGCACAAGTTACAGGTACCTATTCTTCTTCTTCTTCTAGCCTTGGGTGCCAGGGCACAAAGGCATTTGTGGAAATGAGAACGCGGATGAACTTGCTAGGAAGGGATCCGAGACAGAGTTCATTGGCCCGGAGCCCTTCTGTGGCACATCTCCCAGTGTGGTCAGGCGGGCTCTGGNTTATATCTATCAATATTTTCCATTTACGATTATTACTCTTATCAGAGAAAATAGTTTATAACACTTAATAGTTTTTTTTACAGTCCGAGTCAATTTGATGTACTTACACTAATAGTCCAGTCATTATAGACATGAAAGAGCCTGTTTTGGGGAAAAAATACTATTAGAAGTTTATCTGCGAAATATTGTTCGGAAACCTGTTATAAATAAAATATCAAAAAATCAACTCGAGGCTAGTTGGGAAAGTTGGTTTTTTGACTCGCGTAAAAAAACTATTATTCGCAGCGAAAAAAAGTTTATACAAAAAAGGTAGGTATTAAATAAGCCTACAAAATGAGAAAAGTCCGATTAAATTCCGATAATTTGTTTATGCATGCACACGAGCTCAAAAATGGTCGAAAATTGCCGTTTTTTTTCAATTGCTAATAATTAATGCAATTTTCATCGCAGACACTTATAATTCAGGATTTTTGAGGCTTTTTACACCCTTAATAATAATTTGTTATCTAAGAAGATGCTATTTTCAATTCATTTTTCCCAAGCTCACAGGCGTTGTAGGGTTTCGATCATTAGTTGTTTTTGTACCTAAATAGTTGTATTGACATATGCATTTACTGATAATTTAATTTTTCAAATTTAATTTGTTTAAAAATGACTGAAAAAATGTTAATATTTATTAAATTGTTAAGATAGGTAATTATTATAAAATAAAATAGTAACCTCTTTACTTTAGTTTTCTTCGAATTTAAAAAAAAAATCGTTGTTGTAAGTTGATTAGAAGCTGAGATAATTTTTTTTATTTATTTAATCGCAGTGACCTTAATTATTAATATTAAGAGCCGAAATTTGGAGAGAGTATACATTAAGAGCTATATTTTCATGTCCTACATTAACATTAAGGTGAATTCAACTATTTAATTGCGAAAAAGAAGATAGCGGCGATGCGTTCTATTACTTGGTCTAGCGAACGAGTGGGGAGAGCGAGGCGGAGCATGCGCGCTTAACAATTTAATAAATATTAACATTTTTTCAGTCATTTTTAAACAAATTAAATTTGAAAAATTAAATTATCAGTAAATGCATATGTCAATACAACTATTTAGGTACAAAAACAACTAATGATCGAAACCCTACAACGCCTGTGAGCTTGGGAAAAATGAATTGAAAATAGCATCTTCTTAGATAACAAATTCCGCCAACGCCAAGCTAATGAAGCTTTTGGGCTGAAATTTTTACCACTTATTAAGGGTGCAAAAAGCCTCAAAAATCCTGAATTACAAGTGTCTGCGATGAAAATTGCATTAATTATTAGCAATTGAAAAAAGCGGACAATTTCGACCATTTTTGAGCTCTTGCGCATAAACAAATTATCGGAATTTAATCGGACTTGTCTTATTTTACAGATTTATTTAATACCTACCTTTTTTGTATAAACCTTTTTTTCTCTATGAATAACAGTTTTTTTACGCCAGTCGAAAAACTACTTTTCCATAATTTTGACCATTGTTTTAACAAAGTTTCCCAACTAGTCTCGAGTTGATTTTTTGATATTTTGTTTATAACACGTTTCTGAACAATATTCCGCAGAGAAACTTCTAATAGTATTTTTTTCCCGAAAAAAAGCTGTAATGACTGGCCTATAAAATAAGCATGTTAAACGAGACCTTAGAACTATATCCAAGGTTAGAACCTTGCGGAATATTTTAAATGACATGTGTCAAGAAATATTTCATTTCATTCACCTCTAAAATTAAAGATGCGGTTGGAAGCCAATATATTAAAATGAATGTGACATAATCGTGAAATTCGAAAGATCAGTAAATTTTCACTATTTTCAATATTTTAAATGACAAAGGCGTGTAGATATTTCAGTTTATTAACCTGAAATTAATAATGTACAGAACGAAGTTCGATACTAAGCTAGTGAAATAAAACTTGGATATGACATTATTTTGAAATTCCAAAGATTAGCAAATTTTCATCAGCAAAGAAGTTTCCCGAAAAATCTAACTTTTCTTGACTTGAATTTGGGCTATATTTCAAATAATGTCATCATGATGAATTTTAAATTTGCATCTACAGGAAATAACAACAAATGAAAGTAACATGAAAAATAAATCGCTCATATTTTGAATGACATAAATAAAAATTATTAAGAAAGGTTGCTGTAAAAGTTTTGTCAGAATTTCAATTTGTAGGTAAATGGGACTACTTTGGCATACGTATTGAAAAAAGCAATCAATGTAACGTAATTCTAAATTATGAAAAAGACGATAAGAGTATTTACGAATTATTAAAAGATTACAAATTTAAGAACTGAAATTGTGACAATTTTCGTAAATCTATATAAAAGCAAATGCAGTTTACTATTATCATCATTTTCAGACTTTTTCTCATCCTGAACACTCTGTATATAAAAATTTATTACATTTGTTTTAAATGAAGGGAAAATTTAAAAACATGTTTCAAAAACTCACGATACGAATTGTTAGATAAAAATACTATCTTACCTTTGACTAATTTCCACATCCACACTTTCCTTGAGAATATCCTGCACGGCATTGTCCTTAAACTCCTCGAACTGCTCCGTAACCCCCTCGATCTCCATCGCGCTCTCCGAGTAAACAATGCGACTGATCAGCTGAAAACCGCAGCGCTGAAACTCCGTGGCTGAAGTGAAAGTGGTTTTCGATCGGGGACCGCCGAAATACTGAAATACTGCCAAATGCCAAACGCGACTGAGTCATAGGATCCCGCGCTTACCTGTGGTTTTAAACCGGGTTTAAGTGCCGCGAGCATGCGCCTCGTGGGCGCATTCCTGGGGGAATATTTGTGTAAACACTGCATTCCGGGCAGTATTTTCAGCTGAAAGGTTTCCAACGGCGCAGATAGCCGCTCTATATGCAATTAATACGGTCCGATCGATGGTATTTTTATGCGAGTTGAATGCATGTTTACAACCTTGAGAGTGGAAATGTTTCATTAGTTTTCTCCCCAGGGACATTTTTGATATTAGTGAGTTGACATTTTTTAGGTTTTCATTATTTTTATTATTTGTTATAAATTTTCTCATATTTGATATGAAATTCAAGTAATAGGCTATTGAATAGAGGATTAAAAAAAGAACTATGAACGTTCAAGATATTTTATTACATGAATCGTTCAAATAGTCATTTTAGATGAAAAACCCGCGGAATGCTATTAAATTAGAGGGTGGAAATTGGAGATAGGGGTGAAAATGCACCCCTTTCAGTTTTTTAATTGTAGCTCGAAAACGAAGCAAAATTTCGCTGCAGTTCATAGGAAAAATTATTTAAAGAATTGAATTTCCCATCGAAATATCTTACAAAAATTAAAAGGAAAATTTTACGCAAAAAAATCGTTAATAAACAATTTGAAAAAAAGCAAAAAAATCGACTTTTTGATTTTTTTTTACTTTTTTGCCTCTAGTTTTTTTTAGTAAAGATAGATAGGTATTTTCATAGAAAAAAACGAGGTTGTAAAGTATTTTTGGATGAAAACTGACTGATATATGGCCGCTCAAACTTAGCCAATTTTCGTCGCGTTTACCCTTATACGGTATAATTCAAATTTTTTGCAAAAAAGAAGGAAATAAGACGTTCAAGGATTTTCATCACATGACTTGTTCGAAGAGTCATTAAAAATTAAAAAACCGCAGGGTGCAATTAAATTAGAGGGTTGAAATTGAAAATAGGGGTGAAAATGCACTTTTGCAGTTTTTTAAATTAGCACGAAAACAAAGCGAAATTTCGGAATAGCTCATAGGAGAAATTTTGTTGAGAATTTAATTTCTCATCGAAATGGCTTATTTAAAAAATGTAAAAGGAAAATTTTATGCAAAAAATCGTTAATAAACAATTTTAAAGAAAGAAAACGATAAGATATGTTTACTTTTTTAATAAAATAATTTAGTAAAAACTCCTTTTAACCCTGTTTTTTGGATATATTCAATAGGTTCTAGTTAAACAATCTAAAAAAATATGTTTTCCTTTCCTATTATTCCCTATTCCCTACACTGAAAGATTTTGAAATTTTTTAAAGTAAATTTTTTGAATTATTAGTTGTAAATTGACAAAAAAAAACTAAGTAATTCCTCGTTGAAAATGCAACTTACGAATTTTCAAATGAGAGGATAAAAAATTAAACGTAACAGTTTTCGTGCAAAAAAATAGTTCACAGGTTTTTGTTCCGTGGGAGAGTTTTTATTACATTCAAAATACATTAATGAAAATAAATTGAAAGGAGTCATGATTATACAAGCAAAACCATAAAATATAATAAATATTAGAAATGACCACCTCCCACCATTAAACAAGTCTATGTGCCCCGAAGCATTGATCCACCAGTATAGTGTTAAAAATTCCTGGAGAATTTTGAATTAACGCAATATTTAGTTTTTTCAGTAGTTCGATTTCTTTCACAGGTGTCTTGCATTACAAAAGTTTTAACGATTTGAATAATTATTTTTAATACGTATGATTATTTGGAAGACGTGAATCTTTGGATACTTTTAATTACATATTTTTCAAATTCATAATTTGATTAAAAGTTAAGTTCCTGTTTTAAGAGATTCATCTCTCTAAACGGCTTGACCGATTCTCATGAAATTTTGTGAGCATATTGAGTAGGTCTGAGAATCGGCCAACATCTATTTTTCATACCCCTAAATGTTAAGGGTGGTCCACCCCAAATTTTTTTTTTATTTTTTGGACAAAATTTTCTGTTTTTATTTTTTCATGATTCAGCATTGAAAAATACATACAGTTCTAAATTTTCACCCTTATACGATCAACCCCTGATTTCTAATCGCGATTTTTATATTATTTTGTTCCATCCACAGTTCCACAAGATGGCAAAATAACGTTTGCCGGGTCAGCTAGTAATATCTAAAATTCGAGCTAAAATTTAAGCACAACAGTATCTTCGTACTACAAAATCGATACATTTTGTTTTATTTATTTAAAAACTGGAAAAATAGTTGTTTACATTTTTGTTATTCCGTAGGACAAGTCTGCCGCGTGCACACGTGGGTTGCATCAGCTGTGTACCGCTGTTGTCACATCGTGATGAAACTCCCCAATATTAATACTCACTGTATTTTGAAAAGTGTTAATCTTACTCCCCTGTAATATACAACTTTTTTGTTAATTTATGATTACTCTATCCCATACTGAAGTTATGGCAGTCATACTTCTTACACCTTAGATTGATTGGTCTATTTCATTAAGGAAGTTAAGACCAAAATATTTTATAATATCAATATTGACTCTTGGTTAATATGTAAAAATATATGTACAGGGTGTCCCGAAATTCATGCTACAAAATTTGTTCATAGATTCTTAAGACAAATTTAGATTACCCGTATTTTTTCTTTTTGCCAACTGGCCCCCTCTTTCGGAGTTACAGCTCTCTGAAATCTGCCCCTAAGAAATATTTTTTGTATCTCAAAACCATGTTGTACGAGAATCACTAAATTTGGTACACAGGTGTTTTATAACATGTGGAATCTCACAGTGCTACACTTTTTGGCGAGAAACCCCGTTAAGACACTTTTTCGTGTTGTCCCCCCCTTGTCTTTGGAACCAGAAAAATTTGGTTGCAAATTTGTTGTTTTAAAAAATTATTAGTTAGCTAGAAAGCCATTGAATTCGATCACATTTTGACATTTTTCTCGAAAACATTACGTTTTACGAAGTATAAGGAGACAAAAAGTTTCTAAATTGAATGGATTTCTAGTGACCTAATAATTTTTAAGAAATTTAAATATGCGACCAAATTTTTTTGGCTCCAAAGACAAGGGGACCCACGAAAAATTGTCTTAAGGGGGTTCCCCGCCAAAAAACGTGGCACCATCAGATTCCACATGCCATAAAACCCCTGTGTACCAAATTTAGTGATTCTCGTACAACAGGGGTCTGAGATATAAAAAAAAAATATTATTCTTTGGGGCGGAATTCAGGGGGCTGTAACTCCGAAAGAGGGGGCCACTTGTCAAAAATAAAAAATACGGGTCCCCTAAATTTGTCTTAAGAATATGTGACCAAATTTTGTTGCATTAATTTAGGGACACCCTGTATAGAGTATTACGTTTCCACTTGCACAATGTATATATTTTAAATTTCACTTGCAGTTTGGAAATAAAAATTGTTAAATACAAAATACATGAATTTTCATGAGGTGTCAGAATTTTATAGATTAAACAAATGAATATCGCAAAGGTGTTGAAATGAACCAGTTTTTGTTTTTTTTTTTTAATTTTTACTATTAGAGTGATATAAGGTTAGATAGGTTTACCTCTAGGATAAAGTAGATATAGCCAAAGGAATCAAGATCAACATGGCACAAACAGCATGGCCATATCTCCCTTATTATTGGAGATACACCCATCAAACCTTACATCAGTATAATCGTAAGAAGGCGTCCCAGCTAAGTAAAAATATACATGATATAAAATTTTGCAGGTCTATTCATCGTCATATTTTCATTTAATTCATAATTATTCCAATTTAATTGTGATAAATAAATGATAATTTGGCTCCCAATAGATCACTTATGAGACTTATTTACACCAAAAAAAGGAAATGGTGGAAACAAGAAAAATCATTCAATTTTTCGAGATATTTCAAGAATTATGGGACTTACTTTAAATTTCCTCCCAAAAGTCATAAATGCCTGTCTGTTTTCGTAATAAAAATTTTAGTTCTCAAATTGACTAAGAGAATATTTATTCTATTATTATTAATTATTATTACATCGTCGCTAAAAATATTCCAACAACTATCATAATTTAATAAAATTTTTTGAAATATTTATCACCGACTTTTTTAGTTTCTTTTTACCATATTAGATAGATAGACCGAAAATAAACCCTGAATAGGTATATAGCATTTTTACTGTACGTATAAAATTTTGAAAATTAAAGTACATTAATAACGTAGATATATAGTGGGTATTATAGTATTAAATATTTAGGTAAACATCTACATTTTCGTGGTTCGATATTATAAAATCTTCAGCATTTTCAGCTTACCAGCGTTTAAGAAAACATTTTTATAAGTTATATTTAGGGTAGAAATGACAGTGTGGCAATTAGCGTTTCCTAATGGAATTCCGGACAAAAATTCCAACCACATTTCGCAAACAAAATTCCAGCGGAACGAGAAATATTTGTTAGAAGAGATGCCTTCATTATATTCAGCAAACGCTATTTAAGAGTGTCTACTTTTAGACGACGGAAACGTACGGCTCATTCATAACTGAAAAACTGTTATTACTGGATTACCGTGGTGCTTAGGTACCTATCCTCAATTATCTGCCTTCATCCAAATAAGTTATTTTTAGAGACACTTCATTGTAACATGGCAATTGTTTTTACCTACAAAGTAATCAAATATAGAGCGATATTATAATAATAATCCTAACCAACCTAATCAAATTTGAGATTTGTGCGGGAGAAGTTACGGCATATTATTAGTGTGCAGGCCGTACATACTTCAATAATTAAAGATAGAGGATTGCGTATATAGAAAGCCATATTCTTAACATAAATATTGTCCATTTCTATTCTAGGAAAAGTAGAGATTTACAAAATTATGAACGATTTGTAGTCAGCTCTATAAGAGCAAAACTTGATTCTGAAGATTCTAAAAAATAGCTTAATTTTCAATAGGTACCAAATATCTAAGGATACTAAAGAATTAACTACC